AAATATATAATATTTATTCTTTTAATGGATTAAATTTTTATTAATTAACAAAATGATATTTTATATTTTTAATAATTTATTTAGAACTAAATTATGAAGTTATTAAGTTAAAGAATGTTGATATTATTTGGTAAAATTATTTTTGAAAAGAATTTGATAATAAAAATTAAATTTATATATAAAAAATATACATTGATAACAAGCTATTATGTAAGTATTATATCAACCAATTTAAAAAAATTTAATGTTAAAACTATTTTTTATTTTTCTTGTAATCATAAAATAATTTTATTATAAGTACCTATGGAAGTATTTGATTCAAAATATTAATTTGCTCCATTTAAACTCTATTTTAATAATCAGCTTTGCTAAATATTTTCTAATTAAAAAAAAATGCTTTCCAAATTCTGAAAATAAAAACTTGTAGTTAAATCTTTTAGATTTTTATTGTTAATTATATAAAAGTATTAAAAAGAAATAGAAACCAAATACGTAATTCATCAAGCTTTGTTAGAACTAATTGAATGAGAAAGTTGTTACTAAAAGAATACTCAAAAAGGATGCATTTTAAATAGTACCAAAAAAAAGTTTCGATTTTATTTTTGTTGGTCTGATTGTGATAAATTTTAAATTAATTTCTAATGCTATAAGAATATTTTTTAAATTATTATTGAGCTTATAAATGATTTTATAAATTTCGAATTTAATCTTTGAATATTGTTTCGAAAGTTAGAAGAATAAAAATTGTATTCAAATTGATGAATTAAATTGAAGATTTTGAAAACTTTAATTAAAAAGCAAAATTTATAATCTTGTAATATAATACAATGAGTACATGATCTGAAAATTAATATTTTTATTTACTAATGGTTATTTGGCAATTGAATAGTGATACTTCAATTTTGATATTTAATATTTTATTAATCAATGATTGAAAATTAAAAAGATGACTAGATTAGCCCTTCAGATTTTTGGAAGCATCCTGGAGAGCCCCAGAAAGGTCAAAAAGAGTTGAAATACATGGCTACAAAAATTAGTGAGCCAAGAGGGAGTGTTCAGTATCCTTAACATGTGCAAGTGGCTATTGAAGATGATAGTAGTTCTCAAAATGATTCGAGATGGTATGCAAAAAATGAAACATACAAATAACTTATTGGAAATGAGAGAACTGGGTTCATAAAAAAAGTACTGTAATTGAAATAAAAGGTGTATTCAATCATGATAATTTAATTGTTTATAACCATGCTAATGTGTTTAGCTTCATACTTATTACTTGATTATCGTGCATTCTAACTTTAGCATAGCGGATTGGCATATTTGGCTTTGGGCGTATCAATATTTGTTGAATTGTTGCTGTTATGCATTCCAAAATTCGCTTGGAAAGTGCCGTACAATTATATTTTATTGTTTATTTTCACATTCTGTGAAGGTTATCTCATATCAAATCTATGCAGTTATGTATTTGATAGATTCAGTGAAAACGGAGGTATTTCATATAATCCTTATGTAGGATTTATTGTTCTAATGGCGACTAGTTTTTCATTAGCTGTAGTGATAGGATTAACATTATACGCATGCAAAACAAAGTCAGACTTTACTACGAAAGGAGCACTATTGTTTATGTGCATTACTTCACTATTGCTTTTTGGTATAATGGCAGGTTTTTACTACCAAAATGTAATTAATCTTCTTTATTCGTTAATTTGTTGCCTTTTATTCGGTGCTTATTTAATCTATGATACTTAATTAATATTAGGTGGAAATGTAATATCTTTAAAAGCTATATGTATTAGACTCACTAATTGTCCATTGATGATTATATCATAGGATCAATGATAATTTATATAGATATTGTGTATCTATTTGCTCATATCTTAATGGTGTTAATCGCATGTCTAAGATGAAAGTTAATTAATTTCAATAATATAAACATAAAAATAACTTTTACTCATTTTCCTTCAACTTCCTTCTTTTTTCCTTAAACTCTGAATCTCAGACTTTCCACTTCAATTGGTTAAATACTACAAAGTGACAAGGTAAGTCGTACATTTTCCTATTTTGAGCACCACCATCTGAATATCAAAATCGTCATTATTTTAATTCAGTTTAAATTTTATCAATGATTACTAAAAATCTATCAATCTCTTAAGATAGAATTCTTATCTAATTTTATATTTTCAATTATTTAACATTTTCATCATATTACTTTAACTAAATTATTTATTTATTACTCCAGTAAATAGCATTTCTTTTTTAATAAATCTATTTCATCTTACTGATTATAAATCATCTTCTTATTTAATCATTTTATTTAATTTCTAACTATGAGCGTCTGTTTTCAGATTCTTTCCATCTTTTATCTTATAAATTCAAATTAGTAGTATTTTTATTTATTTCATCAAACTATCCTTATAATAAATGATATTGTGATTCCCATTTTTTCTTCTCTTTTCGAACTTCATCCTAATATCTTTCTTAGTTGCTTATTTATTCTCTATTAATCTTATCAATTAAAGTTTCTTTTTATATCTTTAGTTTTGAGTTCTACAAACTACCCTAATCTGTCTATCACTGAGCAATGTAAGATTATTCTGTCTATTGATTATTTTATCTTTCTTCAAAATTTTTATTGTATTAAGTTAATTCAAAATAAGCTTGTCTCTAATTTTCAATATTTACTTGGCCATTCATTTATTTTCAAAATAAATTCTATTTTACTTTTTAAATTTCAGCAAACCTTTATTTTTAGCTTTTCAAATTCTAGATGCTTACTTTAAAGCATTAAGAATAAGATGGGTTCAATTTTTTAGGAATTTAAGATGCAAGGATAAATTGTATATGCTTTCTAATATCTAAATTTCAATTCGAAAAAAAAATTTTATAGATGAAACTTAATTATGCCAAAATTAACAAATAATTCGCCCAAAAGGAACAACATAATATTATTGTATAATAACATTGAGTGGAGCTAATGGCAAGAAAGTATTTTTAAACTTAAGATATTAAGATTTAGGTATTATTAACAAAACAAAATTATTTACAAGAATCTTTTGTTAAAAAGTATATTGAATATATAAAATTCAGCAATTTATTATTATTTTTATAACACCAGACAATAAATTATCTGATGGTAGTAGATATAATCTTAGATGAAGATTAATGAGTAAATAGTGTCTAACCATAGGTTCTCATTTTAAATTCAAATAATAATTAATTTCACATTCACATAAAATAACCTAATCAATTATTAATTCTCTTTGATTTATTTTTTTTATAATTCCCTTACTTAACAGGTTTTTTTTCAGATTCACTTTCATCAATTTATTCTTCATCTTCATTTTCTTCATTATCTTCTTCATCTTCATTATTTTCATTAACTTCATCATCTTCATCATCTTAATTATCTTCATCTTCATCATCTTCATTTTCATCTTCATAATCTTCACTATCTTCTTCATCTTCATCATCTTCATCATCTGATAATATTTCATTTAAATCTTCTTCATCTTCATCTTCTTCTTCATCTTCATTATTTTATTATTCTAATTTATTTGATCCTTTTGTTTTTTTTCTGTTTTAAACATTTCTTAAATGTTCCATTACTCTTGACAAATGTTCTACTTTTTTATATGATTTAAGCATTTTTTTTTCCTTAGCATTTTTGAATTATTTGCTGACACAATCATCATTTTCTATTTCTTGTTCATCTTCATCATCTGAATCCTTCTCAATTTCCTTACGACTTTCTTCTATCTTTTTCTTTTTTGCTTCCTCTCTCTTCTATCTCATATAACTAGTTTAATCCTTCTCTGATGATTATACTATAGTTTCTATTTAAACTTTTGGCTCTGCTTTGAATGTCTCCATCAATTCAAAATAATCTAGACCCTCTTTTGTTGGAGCTTATGGTTTTGATTATTTAATTGGTAGTATGTCTAAAATTTATGGTAAAGCTTCATTAAGTTATAATATTTTGATTTAATTGCCCTCCTTTAATTTCTATTTATCTGCTTTTCTTTATTTACTATTTTATATTATTTCATCATAGATTTCCTTTTTACTCTTTCTTTTATCTTGATTTTAATCAAACCCTACAAAATGATTATTTTTAACAAATCCTTTTGGTAATTCATCATCTGAACTTACAGGTATTTAATCATTATAATCTTCTTATAAATCTTAACCATTATGAGTAAATTTCCAATTTTTTATAACCTATTATTCTTCTTATTCATTATCACTATCTAAAGCAAATAAATTTTTTTTTTTTGAAGCTTCCTCTTATATAGTTCGTTTCTGCTATAATTTTGGCTGCTATTAAAATTTCTAATCCTTCTTTTAAATCTTTTTATCTAAATTTTCTATATGTTACTCAAATTTATTTTGTTTGTGCTCAAATTTTTTTATTTTACCCATATATTAAAAAAATAATAGTATTATTATAAAAATTTAATATTAATTAAGAAATTTAACAATTCAATAAAAAATATCAAATTATATTTACTATTATTTTCTACATCTATATAAATTTTGCCATTTAGAGCCTTCTATTTCTATATTTTTAAATATTTCTCTTTCCTTTAATAACTTTTATTTGATTTTTCTCCATATTATTGTTCTGAAGATAAGAAAAAAAAATTTAAGTATTCGCTTTTCCTATTTTCTTTTTCTTCTTTTGTTTGCTTTATTTTATTATTTGTTGATTTTATTCTTTAATAATAATAATTTATTCTTTCTAATTGAATTAACTGAGTAAACCATTATAAGAGATTATAATAAGATTCTGTCATTTTTACAAATGTAGATAACACTAGATTTTTAGCCTATTTTAATTAAGTTCCTTTTCTTATTATTAATATCTGAATAGGCATTTTAGATCAAAAAGTTTTTCATGCATATTAAAAAATATAAATAAGAGTAAGAACAGTCTTTGCTTTAAAGATAAATTTTAATCATATTAATATAAATGCAGAAATGACAGATCCCTTAATCATACAATAAATAAAGATGTTTTGCATTCTATTTTCATTTTTGCAATTTTCAAGATAATTTTGATATATTTAATATTAGGAATTGATTATACAACATTGTTCTGCATTTTTAGTTGATTTTTATACATTCAACAAAATTTCTGATTATTCAACTTTTTTTTGATTATTCATTAAATCTCAATATCATACTATAACATTTTGAATTGAGGTTGATCAAGTTGAGTTAAGATGCTTTATTTTAAGCCGAATATCTTTATTTTGCATTATTAACTAAAATGTTCTAGAGCTTTTTCAAATTTAATTTTTTCTTCTGTTATACAAATTCATTTTATAGAATTAATTAAATGTAATCAAATCTTGAATTGAAAATAGCAATTATATTGTATGTTACCTCTTCTCTATCTCTAATCATTCCGTTCATCAACTTCTTTGAGTCTTTTTTCGAAATTCAATTCTGAATCTATAACTATAAATTCTTGGCGCAAATTTTAATAATAAAATTTTCATTTTTAAGATCTAATCTGATATTTATTAAGCTTATAAAAATTCTATCTTTTTTGATTATCAATAATCATTTGAGTATTTGATCTTTTTAGATAGTATTATAAATCCAATTCAGAGATTTTAATAAATTGATAAAAATGCAGAAGTATGTTTGGATGTTCACTTGATATATAAATATATTAAATTCATCAATTTTACTATTTATTAAGCATTTCTTTAAGTTCTTTATTTTCTTTATATAATTTCTTTAAAATTTCTTCTGTAACCAAAAGCTTTTCGATCAATTATTCTCTAGTTAGATTATCATATATCCCTAACAACCCAACTTTAGGCTCCTCTCTTTTTTCTTCTTTCTAGTTATACTTTTTCATTATTGATACTGTTAAATTAATTATTATTTAATTCACAATGGAAGATGAAGATTACAAATAGGTGTAGAACTATATCCTATGTAAATTTATTATTTTTAACAAGAGCGCACATTAGGGCAAGGAACTTTTGGCAAGGTTAAATTAGGCTATCATACTATTGCTGATGAATTCGTAATATTGAAAGTATATTTATAAGGTGGCAATAAAAATGCTTGAAAAAAGTAGAATAGAAAATCAGTGTGATTTAGTTAGAGTATAAAGGGAAATCTGTATCCTAAGAAAAGTTAGCCATCCAAATGTAATAAAATTATATGAGGTAATTCTATCATAATCAAAAACAAGATCTTAGAATCTGAGTCATGCGTCTATTTAGTAATGGAATACGTGAAGGGTGGAGAATTGTATGATTACATAATAAAGAAGAAATAGTAATCTGAATCCTAAATGAAATTAGCCTACCAGAGAACATAGCAGTGCGTTACTTCTAATAGTTAGTCTTTGCAACTGAATATTTGCATTCATAAAATATAATTCATAGAGATTTGAAACCAGAAAATCTTTTGCTTGATGAGAATAGACAACTTAAAATAGCAGATTTTGGTCTAAGTTTTTTATCCTAAACTAAAGGAGAATATCTTAAAACAGCTTGTGGATCTCCTTGTTATGCTGCACCCGAAATGCTTGGTATACATTTTTAAATAATAAGTTGGTAAAACTTATGAGGGAACTAAAAGTGATATTTGGAGTTGTGGAATAATTTTATTTGCCATGTTATGTGGCTATCTACCATTTGAACATGAGAACACAAAATAACTTTATGAATTAATTAAAAATAGTGATTTTGAAAAACCAGAACATTTATCGAAAAATGCTCTTGATCTAATAACAAAGATTCTTATTAAAGATCCAAATAAAAGATACAATTTTGATTAAATTAAATAACATCCTTTTTTTTAGTTGCATACTTCTATCCCAACTAAGAATTTAAGTTTGAATGATTAAACAATCATTTCAAAGATGGTAGATATGGGATATTAACAAAATTAAATTATAGTTTAATTGTAATCTAATAAGCATAACACACTCACCACTATTTACTATCTTTTACAAAAAAAATATAATCAACCCCATAGAAAAAGCTTTTTTTAAAATATTCAAAATATAGGGAATCTCAAACTTGACATTAATTAAAAAAGATTTACAATTGCTAAATTCTAACCATCTCATTAAGGATCACCTAATCTAGAAAAAATTGAGAAATTAAAAAAATCTATAAGAACTAGATTAGATAATTCCCCTTATTTATAGACTTAGATTTCATAAAAATTTAAAAAAGTTAATTTATCAGTTTAATCTAAAAGAGTGAGTATCTAAATTGAAAATTAGAGATAAAAGACTAATTCTGTTTAAGAAAAACATTATGATTATCCTAATATTATCACACCAAATATTTCTGATTAAAAATAAATTTAAATTGATCAAACAAAATCTAGACTTTAATCTAGGAAAAATTCAAAAAATTAACCACCTTATAAAGTTATGTAAAAAAAAGAAATAGAACAAATAATAAAAACAGATTATAATGAAGAAATTTTTAATAATTAGAAAGGTATTTACGCTTAAGTAAAATAAAGAAATAAAACACAGCCAAATAAAAATGATGAAGGGTAAAAATATTTTGAAAGAAATCCAAAATTGAATATCTCTCATTAAGTAATAAATTATTAAATTAGATGGTTGAAAAGACACCTTAAATTTCCCCTTATATAAATTTGAATTTAAACAATCATCGACACTTGTTCAAATAGATTTATAATGGAAATATGCATGATTTTATGAAGAAAAAAAATGAGTTTAAAGTCTAAAAAATTTTAAATAATCTGTCGTGATATAAATTGTATTTATAGTTAATTACTATTATATATTAAATGATTAATTAGGTTCTATGTATATTGATGATGATATCATTGAATTATTGTCGTACGAAAGAGGAATGGAAAAATAGAACTATTTATTAATTGTTAACAGATAGGTTTGCTTCAACTAAGACTAATAGAACAAGTTGTGATTTAGGGTAATATTGTGGAGGAAATTTCAAAGGAATAGAAAATAATTTGGATTACATAAAAAGTATGATTTTTGAATGATTTAAAGATTTGGGATTTGATGCTATTTGGATATCACCTATAGTGTAGAATTATGATGGGGCTTATCATGGATATGCAGCTAAAAATATCTATTAAATAAATGAGAATTTTGGAACAGCATAAGATCTTAAAGATTTAGTAAATGCATGTCATTAGAAAGATATTTGGGTTATGATTGATATTGTTGCTAATCATATGGGAAATTAGGATTTAGATTTTTCTCGTAATTATCCATTTAATTAATCATCACACTTTCATGATTTATGTGAAATATCAGATTAAGATTTTGCTACACATAATTTAGTAAATATAGAAAGATGTAGATTATTTATGTTAGCAGATTTAAATTAAGATAATTCTTATGTAGCAAATGAATTGATAAATTGGATTAAATGGATAGTGAATGAATTTAATATTGATGGTATAAGAATAGATACAGCAATGATGGTAAAGGGAGAATTTTGGAAAAAATTCACAGAAGCTACAGGAATATATTCAATTGGAGAAGTATTTGATGGAGATATGGGATTTTTGAAATAATTTATTGGACCTATGGATGGTCTATTAAATTATCCATTATTTTTTACTCTTAGAGATGTATTTTTACATTGGGGAGATATGTATAGAATAGAAAGTTTTTATTATTATTAATTATAAACATATGGTAAGAATAATATACCTTTTATGGCTTAATTTAATGATAATCATGATAATGCTAGATTTTTGAGTGATGAAGTGAATGGTATAGAGGCTTCATAATTGAAAATAATTTAATTTAAAGCATTTACAGCTTTTACATTGACATCAATAGGAGTTCCAATAATGTATTATGGTTCTGAATAATTATTTACTGGAGGAGGGGATCCTAAAAATAGAGAAATAATGTGGAATTCATTGAATTAGTAAATATATTTAAATTATAATATTAATAGAAATTCAGATACTTATAAATTTATAAAAAAGATAAATGAAGCAAGAAGAGCAGTTAATGCAGGAGCATAAGAATAAGTATAGAGATATGCAGATAATGATTTTTATGCATTCACTCGAGGTTAATTATTTGCAGCATTTACAAGTAAATATGACAGAGATGTGATAAGAAAAATTACTTATCATTAATATGCTGATGGAACTAAATTATGTAATGTTCTATACACAGGAGATTGTGTTTTAGTGTAAAATGGATCATTTTAAGTTTACTTAAGAAATGGAGAAGTTAAGATTTATTTACCTGAAGGAATATTAATAGAAACAGAATGAAATAATAATATTAATTATTATTCATTTTATTTTTCATTTAATAATCATGCATCTTCTACTTTTTCAGTGACTTCTTCTTTAGTGGTACCATCATTCATAGTGTATATTTTGGTTGTTATAATATGTTTTTTACCACCTTTGACAACAGTTTTAACTTTCTTTTAAACTTTTTTTGCACCTGGTATTAATTTCTCTTTTCCTCCATCTTTATTATCATCATCATCATCATCTTTTTACTTCAGTACTTATTTCTCTTATTTTTCTTATTTCTTTTTTTTATCTTTCTCTCCTTCTTATTCAGGTTTTCCTCCTTACTAAAACTTTGATGCAAAATCAAAAACAACAACATGTTTAAAAGCTTTATGAGGTGCCCCAAAGATACCAACTTATTTATAAGCAGGTTCAAAAAAATTAGATCTATGGCCTCTGCTCGGAACACCATCATCAACAATCAATTAAATAACAACTAAATATCTTAAATATTATAAATTTACCATCTTCAGCTGTCTATTTTCCAAAACTTATATTTTCTCCTATTGTACCTGGTTTCCATGAACCATGTCTTTCTATTCTTTATTTTGTAGTTGAATGATCACTTCCTTCATGTCCTGTCAAACCATTTGTTCCTTCCATAATATTAATTTATTACCTAAATCCTCTGCATGATCTCTAGCAGCTTCTTCCAAACCTTTATCATAAGTCAATGGACCTACAGGCTTTTATTTCTTAAGAAAATCAATGCATTCTAAAATAAGATATTTTGATTACCTTAGACAGAACTTGCACCTTCTTTTGTATTGGTAGCCTAAGTTCCTGGCAAATGCAAAATCTTATCCTTGAAGTATTTTAGCCTATTCTCTAAAACTGGAAGCATTAATGATGGATCTTATCTGACTTTGTTCTATAACTCAAAAACTTCTTTAGCCAGTGCAGAATAATTCATTATTATTTTAATAATTATATTTTTTATACTCATTTTTATGTCATCAAAATATTAAATCTTCAAATCTACACCTATTTACTATGATCTAATCCATCTCTTTTTACATAAAACTATATCAATTCATATCATCTATTTAGATTATCTTTTTCAAGAACATCTAACAAAAAAGATTGATTAAGTTTTGATATACAAAATTGATAATCTAAATTTATAACTATTTTAGACCCTATCAGAATTATTTACATAAATTGAATTCTTAATAATTTAAAATATTTAAGTTTATATTTACTGCTTAGATAACAGATAAATAATTCGAAATTCTTTAATATTAATTATTTTTTTCAAAAACAAATTATTAGAAACAGATATATTTTGTCTTTATGTTGATTCAATTTATTTTCTCAATAATTTATAGATTTCCACCCAAATTGATTTAATGATCAAAAAGGTATCCATAAATTATTATTAAAACTTAGTCAAAATTTCTAAAGGACCTTAAGAATAATGAAATAATAGATTCTAATAAATTATTAAGAATATAAATTTGTATCTTTTCATTATTATTTCCAAGACTAAAAAATTTATTCTTAAAATATTCATCAACTGAATTTATGATTATTTAGAATGAAAACTCATAAAATTATTATTAATAAATTAATTCAAGAATCAAAGCTATAAATAAAGATGAGAAAATTAATCTTAAATATATCATTTTTTATTAAATTAAAAAAATCAAAAATATGAAGATCAACTTTTTATTCTTTACATACTTGAAATTAGCCGATTATAATGAACTTATTTAATATAAAAATTGATAAACTTGTGTATCTTGAAACCCTTATGAGCTTAGATACAAAGTTTATAAATAATTTTATTTATGAATATACGAAACAAAACTAATTATTATTATTAATAAAAAATATCAAGATAAAAGATAAATAAATTAATAGATAAATAGATAAATTTAAAAAATCTTTTTTTTTAAATCTCTCATACTATTGATAAGGCTATTTATCTAAGATAAAATTATTCCAGTAATTATTTTTTAAAAAAACAACCAAAAAATAAGTATTATTCAATGGCATGGAGTATCAAATTATGCTTAAATTACCAAAAATGACTACAAATTACTGCATTCTAATAAAATTATACAAGATAAGGATTGACTGAATTATAACGTTATTAAATATGGTGTAATTTGTACTGAGATTTTATGAGTATTTACATAAAAAAATATTGGAAAAAGTAGTTACAGATAAAGAAATACCAAAGCATATTTTTCTCAAAGCTTAAAAATCTATGAATTTATTAGAATAAACATAGTATTTATGTAAGGAAAAATAATGAAAATTTTCTGCCATTATTCAGTAGGAATATAGTATTGTATAACAAAATTTAAATTCTTTTGAATGAAAAAGGATGATCAATGTAAGAAAGTATAGCTCCAAATTAAAATTTGATTAAATTATTTGGATTTTTATGTGAAATCAATATTGTCCAAATATATACCTGCAACTTTATTTATTGATGTTGTAATACTTCAAATTATTATTAGATAGAGTTAAACTTTTAACATACATATTAAATATTAATTATAATTTTAAATGGGAAGACTAATATATAAATAAAACATTTTTTTGATGTTTATTTTCTAGGATATTATTGTAAATAAAATAGTATAAAAAAAATCATTTTTTTGAGATATGTGATTTTTTTATTGAATAATTATATGTATTTGTATTATACACTAAATTAAGTTTTTGAGGTTATAAATTATACTGACCCTAAAAATGAAACATAAAAATACTGAAGCATGAAAGGAAGGTTATTAAATAGAGTTTTTTTTCTATGGTGATTTGGCAATAGATGATGATTATTATTTTGGATATTATTCAAATTAATGTTAGTTTTGTAACTTTGAATCATCCTTTACACCAGGTAATCCAATGATTCGATTAATTCTTTTATCTTATTCAGATCCTAATCGACTTTAAGGGAGAGTTTCATTAAGTTTAATTTTAAATGATTAATTGAAAGTTTTTTGGGTTAAAGATTTATTATCATCCCCTTCTTTATTATATTCTGAGATATAGTCTCCAATTTTATAATTATAAGCTTATTTATAAATTAAGGTTTAATTCTAAATAGTTTATGGGATAGTCTTTTCTAATATTTTCTTTGGTTTTGTATCACCAAAATCAAATTAATTAATTATGCATGGTTTTGAATCATTTCTTTCACAACTAGTTCTTCTCTAAAAATTGCTTTTTGGTCTTGCTTCATTTTCTTTATTCCAAAGGTCTTAAAGATATTAATGTTCTAAACACTCTAAAGATGTTAACCTTTAATTTGGATCCATAATTAAACATGATTTTAGAAAACTCAAACCTTTATTACACATTTTGCCTTAATATCTTTTTTCAATTGTTTCGGTTTTTGTAATATCTGGAAATTTCATTCCTATATATTTCTAATTTTTCTAAAATCTTTCAATCTAATCTTAGGTTAATGGTCCGATAATTTTTTAAATTAAATATAATTAATCCACTTCGTTTTCTCCTGGAAATAAAGGTTAACCATCTATTAATTCTCCCATTATACATCCTATTGCCCAAATATCTACCTCCTTTCCATAATTATTTGATATTAATAATTCTGGAGATCTATACCATCTTGTTGCAACATAATCTGTCAACTATTCTTAACATTAAATTGTCTATATCATATTCTAAAAATTACTCTAGCAAAACCAAAATCACACAACTTTATATTTAATTCATTATCGATTAACAAATTTTCAGGCTTTATGTCTCTATGTACTATTCCAACTTAATGACATGCATGAATTGCCAACACTAATTACAATATTACTCTCCTTATACTTTCCTACTAATCATTTCTTTACATTCAAATACATCTAATTATTTTCTCTCCTCTAATAATTCCAATAGATTTCTATCTACAAATTAGAATACCAAAAATATTTTCCCCTTTTTTTTAAATGCTTCCTTCAACTATATAATATTTTGATGTTTTAGCGTTCTCAACATTTTTACTTCTCTTTGTATGCTTTTCTTAACTGTCTCATCATCTTCGGTTTCTTTGAATTTTTTTATTGCCACTGAAACAAATACAAAAAAATATTAAACCAAATTCATTTGTCTCTTTATTTCTACATTTTAGTACTATCCCATAAGCTCCTTCTCCTACTACTCCAATTATTTCGTACTTATTCATTCTCTTTCTTAATTAATACCTTTTTTATTATAAAAATTAATTCTAATTTTATTATAAAACTTTTGATATTTTTATTATAATATTTAATATAAAGAAATAAAATAATAATCAAAAGGTTTCTTCTTTTACTTGCTCTTCCTTCTCCTCTTATTTTTCATCCTAAGACAGATATAATTGTTGATCCCCAAAATATTCATCTATTTATTTTTTTTCTTTTGAGCGAAATACTTTTCCAACGAAGCTATTATATATTCTAAAAGTTGAATCAGATCAAATAATGTTTGAGCAATTAACTATTTGTTAGATCAATATTCCTTTAATTGATCTAAGTTAAGGGTGTGGCAGATAATTAAAATCATAGAGTAATACTTTTAATGAACATTAAATAAATTAATTCCTTTAAATAGCTAATAATTAAGAAGATGGATAAGTAATCAGAGGAGCAACCTCAGTAGAAAGAGTCTTATCAGTTTTGGAAGGTTTAGAAGCTAATATTTCAGGATCACTTGAAGCACTTGAAAAAAATGAAATTAATGTATCATGAGAATTAGCTGGATGGTTTCTTTGAGTGAAGCAGAAGTTCAAAATTTGAAGGTAGAGTATGAAAGAAAGCAGATGTATGCAGATAGATTAATTACTGTAATTATATCTTCTATTCATATTTTAGTAAATCTAAGCTGCTTTAGCTTAACAAGCTAAATCTAAGATTATCTTATTAGAATCACAAGAGGCACTAGATTAAGCTTAAGCTAATTTAGAATCTAAATGAGGTGATTATAAATAAGCAAAAGCTAAGAGAGATGAAGAAAATGCCATAATTGAGCAAGTTAAATATATTTTCAAGAAATAAGTGGCATCATTGTTAAGAAGATGAAAATCAAATCAATATATCATTATTAAATATTTGATAAATTGCAATCATAATTGCATCATTAATTTCTATGCTTTCTTAAAACTATTTAACATGTCTTCCAATTATTCAGGAAATAAAACAAATTAACAACATTCTTATTTCCCATTATCATGCTAAAATGTTATGTTTGTATCAATAAATCTGTTCCCATCTATTTATTTCTAAGGAGCCACACTCTCTGATACTATGAATTTACTTATTCCATAATGAAATTCTATCGTCTTTCCAACTTTTTTTACATCATTATTTTATATTACCTCTTATTATTTGACCTTCATAAACCTATTACAATTTATCTTTGTATTATTTAAATGTCTTGCTCAATTATTCACAATTCTCTTTTGGCAATCCCAAATCAATTAACTCCTTTATTAATACTTATTCAGAAACATCATATTTTGCAGAGTTTTCAACTATAAATGATACACAAGCAATTGTTGAGTTTATTTCTTATTAATTAAAACCTGACCCTTCTAACATCTTAAAGATCTTAGCTGTAGTATCTTAACCCTCCACTAAATTCTATAAAATATATTATGTGACTAATTTCATTTTCACAGAAGCCTTAAATAATATTGTCAATTTTATACAATTTTAGTTAGAAGTGCAGATTCAGCCAAAAACCATTCAGGGCAATTACTATCTCCACAAAATAAAAATCTCATTATATAAATATTTATACATTTTTTACAATTAATTATATAACCAAAAAATTATTGTCTTTATTCATTATTTTATATATTATCATTTGCTTAAGAATTTTAACATATTGATATAATTTTATAGTATTCTTATAAATATTAGATAGCAATTTTAAAGATACTTCAATTTAAAGAAAGTTGTTTTAATAACTTATCAATGTTTTCAAAGATATAGAATACATAAATAAAAAATTAAGTACTTAATTTTTTAGATTATAATTATAATCTAATTATATTGATTTGAAAAGAATAATGATAATTTCTAACATTTGTCATTGTTTATGAAGAAGTTATAAACTTATTTTAAATAAATAAAAAAGTAAAAATCAAAATCATATTATTTATCAGAGATGAATTTTTAAAATTTGAATTTATCTCTTCATTTAAATTTTGATGATTCTTCTTTATTTATTGTTTTTCATCTGTTTTATCACTTTTCAACAAATGCAATCAACTTTTCTAAGGCTTTTTAAGCTGATTAATTATTAAATGGTCCATCTCCATTCAATTTGGAATGAACTAACAAGGAAGTTCCATCGTTTTTTGTTACAGTAATTTCCATTTCACCTGTAACCTTCTCACTAGCCTTTCCAGAAGCTTGAACTTTTGGATATAATTATTTAATATATGAGGCAGCCAGATTATATTATGGTTTATATCCTCATCCACCACAATAGGTAATGTGAACTTTAAAAGTTAACTCTTTATTTGTTTGTAAAGCAGCGATATTTTCTGGAATTTTCTACATTAAATTAATTAATATAGGATTAATAAAATTTAAGATTAAAAATCTCATAATTTAATTTCTTTTATCATTGTACCCATATTCCAAATTCCTTATTTATAAAGTTTTCCATTTTTATAGATAGCACCATCCCCATTCTATCTGCTTGATCTCCAATATCCAATAAAAATCTTTCCATCTGGATATGTCATTTATCCTTGGCCTTCAAATTCATCTTATAAGAATTCCCCTTTGTACTCTTAACCAGTCGGCCAAATCATTTATCCTTGACCTTCTTTAGCTCCATCTCTCCACTCACCAATGTACTTTTTACTATCATTCCAAAAGAATGTCCCTTTATCTTAGATTAAAGGAATTCACATACTGTTAAAAGTGTCTCTAAGAAATTCTCCTTCGTAATATGAATTATCATTAAAGACCATCTTTCCTTATCCATCTTTTAGTCCTTTCTTAAATTATCCTTAATAAGTGATCCCATTTGGCCATACTTCTTTTCCTTAACCATGTTTTTCTCCATTCTACCACTCACCTTCATACTAAAAAGTAGAACTATACACACCTAATCCATTAAATTGATTATTTTCGAATTCTCCCTCATAATAGTCACCATCATAAAATATCAATCTACCAATGCCATAATATTGATCCTATTTGAAAAAGCCTTCATAAACACTTCCATCTAGATTTATAGCCTTCCCATATCCATGTCTCTAATCATCAAGCCAATCTCCAGAATATAATACTCCATTCTTTAATCTCTTAACATGTAAATAACTATTACATAACACCCTTTCTTATTGCCCATTAATTAAGTCAGGTCTTACATTTTGAAATGAGGAGACTCTTTAATAATCAACTTTTTCAATTTCTCCATAGTAGCTAAAATTAATGGATTCAAAATAATAAATTAATCTTGTGTTTCATATACTCTTGGTGTAATTGCATTTATTAATTAATGAAGACTTTCCTCAACACTTAAATGATCTGGTGTATTATGATGACTAAGAAAAGTAGGTGGATTTTAATATGAGCAGCAATTACCCATTAAATATAAATATTTATATTAATAGATATTTTTTAATGTATATAATTTATCAGGCAACAAGTACACATGCTCCACCAACAGCCTTAATTCTTCTTTCTGCAGTTTTGCTAAAGAATTTCGCTTTTACAACAACTGGTTAATTTGGTAACCTTCCCTTTCCTAAGACTTTAAAATAACCTGCTTTTGTAACATCAATCACTGCAGCTTTATCTTTTGATTTCGAATATTTTTCTCTAGTTTCATCTGTAACAAGTGACCATAATTTATCAATGTTTACTATTGGTTTATAAAGTTAGTTTTTCTTTAAATGAAAATGTCTCATTCCATTCTAAGATTAATTTTATCACATATACTTTTTGGAAATACCCAGGATGATATTTATTAAAGTTTATTCTGTGATGTGTTAAACCTCCTGATACACCTCTACCACTTGGATGTTTTCTATGTTTACCAACTCTACCATAACCATGACAAACATGTCCTCTCATCTTTCTGCATTTTCTTAATCTGCTGACCATTTTTTTTTTATTTTAAAAAAGATTTTAATATGTGATTAATATACAAATTCAATACCTAAACTAATTATTTATAACTTTCTTAACAGCTCTTCTTTCTTATAAATAAATCTTATTTTAGATCAATTAAAATAGAGTCACATACAATTTAATTATCATTTTTTAGATTCCCTATACTAACTCAATTTGCTGATGTTTCATTATGATGATATAATAATGATGCTTCATTACTTTAAATTGAAGATTTTCTATCATCATTATTTTAATCCATCTCCTTTCTCTAACAAAATAATATCAATTCTTACAAAAGATAAACATACAGTTACAATATTCACTTGGAGTAAAATATTGAAAAATGTTTGAAAACAAGGAGGTAAGTTATGCCTTAAATGATCTTGAAAACTATAAAAATAAAATTCTGCATAACAAAATCCTAATAGTTAAATTGGAAACATAAAAAAAAATAATATAATCTAGAATGGTATCTAAAACTAAAATAAATGCTCTTCTAATATTTTTATCCCAATATTGATCGTCCAAAATAAAATTATTATTAAGTGTAATGATTAAATCTTTAACGCTTTTATTGAAGTCAAATTTTCTTGAAGTCTTATTTCTAATTACTTTATGGATATTTGTAATTAATAATATTAGCGTATTCCAAAAAAAAATACAAATGCATTTATAGTTAATTAAAATATCCACCAAAACATCATCCATGCATTCTCCACTACTAAATCTAAGTTACAAATATAAAAAAAAGTTTCATCATCATACTTAATACCATAATGTTTAAATTTTGAAAAACAAGACCCTAAATTGCAAAATATTGTAAGCAAAACAATATAAAATGAGTATTTTTTTATTTCGGCTGAAATTTTTCTTCTTTCTCCTATTATTCCTTGAAGCATCTTACAAGATAAAAAAGAAAACAAAGCACTTGCAAACCAGGCACCATTATTAGTGATTCCTTGAAATTTACAATCTATTTTATAGAAACATTTCTTATACATCCATCTGTCATGCATTACTATTAATTCAATATTTCTGAAGCTTCTGAGCATATAATAAAACCATATGAGAAATCACAACATTCTTAAGCATTTTTTGAGTAGAAAAAAGGTCCAATTGTCTAAGGAATAAAAAATATGAACAATATCAAAGACTAGATGAAATATAAACTATTTAGTTTCATTAATTGGCATACCTTTATATTAAATATTTGCTACCCTTTCCAAATATATATAATATGGTGATCAATAATAAGGAGATTAAGCTGATAATGTTACAAATAAAAATTATCAATAGGAAGACATTGTGATTGTAATCATAGAACATTTTTATAAGGTTCTGTTAATTAATTTAAAGATTATTAATTTACATACTTTAATGATGCATCAGATTTTTAATTAGAAAAATTTGATGATATCATGAGTATACAATGTCAATTATTTATTATAAATATTTTTTCATATTTCAATAAAAAGTTCTCCTTATGTAAAATATCTCATAATGAATTATATATATTTATAAAAATAAAAATGATATTTTTTTATATTGTTTCAAAAAAGGTTAATAGATTAAACTAATATGAATGATGTATTGTGATAGAATAATATATTCATTTTAATTTGATATGCTATTCAAATGTTTTAAAAATTTATTAAATCTAGTTATAATGAAATTATGCATATAAAAAAAATCATTTATTATTGTATTCTACAGGTTTAATTTATTAAACTTTTTATTTGATTATCTAGTTACTATAGTAATAAATACATCAGATTTTAAAGGATTAAATTATTAAGCTTATGAAAATGATTTAATGGAATATTAAAATTCTTTTACTCCTATATTTTAGTCAGAGACGTCTTATTTTTATTAAGCAGTATTTACTAAAGATTTAATTTTTTTAGATTCTTCAAGATTGAAACCTGAAACTAATCCAGTTTTATTATTCACTTATTCTTCTCCCCTTTATATCTCATAAGTCTAATATAAAAATTATGCATTATTAGTTTAATTTGAACTCAATCTTCTTTAAGTTTTAGAAAGCTCATTTCTAAGCATATTAATTTCAGATTCATATTCTGTTGCCTATTTATAAATTAATTTATTACTCGTTCAATTAATTTATCATGTTTTGATTAAATTTACTCTTTTAGCATCATCTATCTTTAAATTTCAGCATTCAAACCTTCAATTCTAGTTTCTAATTCTACAAGTTTTTAATTACTAAACTTACAATAATTCATTACTTTTAAGTTTCTCTTATAATAATTTACTATTTGCTTGATTATTCTAAAATTGCTTCATGCTCAACTCTTAATTACCTTATATTTATAGATAATTCTTGAATCATTTCGTGTAATTATACATTTTCAAGTTCCTTCTATTATAATATACTCAGTAACTCTCTATATTTTGATTCATTTGTTGTTGAAGCCTTTCTATTATTTTCTATATTTCTTAACTATAATTCTAGTTACTATATTTGTTCTACTTTTCTTTTATTTTCTATTTCTAACCTATTTAATTTTTCAAAATCTATCTACTAATATCTATCTTAATAATCTTAATTTTCACGATTCAATTATCTTAATTTTAGTTCAAGTTCATTATATTTTGTTTTACTTTATGTTAATTCATTTTAACATTAAAAATATATTTTATTAACTCTATCTAATTCAGCTTTAATTGTATCTCTGCTTTGCTCTGAAGATTTCAATTACATTCGAATAGATTCAATTTCTCCAGAATTTGTACTTACTTCTGTTGATAAAGCTATAAATTTTCTCTTCCATTATTCGTTTTCTTCATTTTTATTTTTCATTAGATCTATCATTTTTTCATTTTCTTTTTATAATTATTCTATTTATTATTGATATTCTTTAATTTCCCTATTTTTAGAATTTTCTAAATACTACAACTCCTCATTTACACTATTTAATTACTAAGTTTATAAATTAGTTATTTCTTTTTTAAATTAAGTTTCTTGAAGATTGATCCTTTCTTCATATTATTTTTTTTATGATTAGATTTCTTATTTTAACCTTTCAATTTATTTTTCATTTTAAAATTATTCCTCTTTATAAAATTTAAATTTTAATTCTTGTTCTGTATATCTTTCTCTTACTTACCTTAATTCTTCATTTTTTTTCTCTAGTAATTTAATTTATTCTGAAAATTCTTATTCTCTTCTTTCATATTAAATAAGAATTTATTTTTATTTTTATCCTTCATCTATCTTTAATTGTTACTAGGTTAATTATTCTTAATAATCCAAATTTTATCTCTAAATATTTCTAAATTACAACTTTAGAGATTTTAATTCTTATTCTAATTCAAGATATGAATTAGAATATTCTTTAAGTTGTTTTTCATAGATTTCAATTTAATTTTGTTCTTAAAATAATTACCTTTCTAAGCTTTAAATTTTTAACAAATCTTCTTATTTACTAACTTATTTGGTTTCCTTCACTATTTGTACTTCTTATTTTTATTTTTGAATGATAGTAAGATTATCCCTTAAAGTAGATAATTATTGTTCCAACTATCTTATACGATATTAATCTGCTTCAGAGGGAACTTCAATTGTTACAGTTTCTTTTATTACTTCTTATTTCTTTTAATTCAAAATAAAGAATTCTTATTATAAAGTATTAAGTTAGTATTCTAACTATTTAATTTTGATTTTATCAGATTCTATAGGTACTTCTACTATTTCCCTAATAATTTCTGATTTTCTAGATTATAAAACTTAATATTCACTTTTTAATTATGAAAGCTGCATTTCTAATTATTAAATTCTAAATTAATCAGCTTGAGAAGGAACCTCTATTGTGTATGTTTCTTTTACTACTTCTTATTTAATCTTATTTAATACAATGTAATCTTATTATAGTTTATTTAAGTCTTACTCTAGTTCAATGATTCTTCTTTTGTCAGATTCTTTAGAAACTTCTATTCTCTCTGTAATTACTTCTCGAATAGCTTCTTATTTTTTTTTTGAAATTATTTATAATTCCAAAGTCAAATTACTTAATTAAAATTCTAATTATGCAATTCTTTATTTATCTACTGAGGATGATACTTCTACTCTTTCTGTAATTACTTCCTTAATTACCTCTTATTTCTTTTAATTTAGGAGGTCGTAATTATTTTATAAATTCAAATACTCAGTTTTTATTTATAGTAATGACTATTCCAACTATTAAATTCGATATTTATCAGCTTATGAGGAAACCTCTACTGTTACAGTTTCCTTTATAATCTCTTATTTCTTTTAATTTAATTAATTATAATCTTTTTATAATTATTAAATTTGATTTTCTAATTATTTTATTAGAAGTTTATCTTATTCATTTGGTACTTCAATTGTTTCTGTAATTATCTCTCGAATTATTTCCTATTTTTATTATTATATTATTTGAATTTCTGACATTAATTTTTAAACATATGATTCTAATTATTAAATTTAGAATTTATCTGCTTCTGAAGAAACTTCTACGGTAACAGTTTCTTTAATGATTTATTGTTTCTTTTAACTAATTTAATAATAATCTTCATTTAAATTTTACAATTCTTCTTCTAATTATTAAATCCTTATTTTATCTTTTTTTGAAGGCACTTCAACTGTTTCTGTAATTATTTCTCTTATCACTTCTTATTTTTATTTTGTAATTATCTCAATATCTGATTTTAATTATAAAACTTATGATTCTAGTTGTTGTATTCTTAATTTATCAGATTATTATGGAATTTCCACAGTGATTGTTTCTATTATTTTTTCTTATTTTTTTAAATTTAATAACTAATAATCTTTTTCTAATTTATTTAATTAATCTTCTAATTATTAAATTTTTATTTTATCAGATTCCAAAGGAACTTCAATTCTCTCAATTACATATTCAGTTATTATCTCTTATTTTTATGAAGAAACTATTTAAAATTCTTTTTTTAATGATGATAATTAAAATTCTAATTGTTAAATTTTTGATTTGTCAGCAAAAGAGGGAACTTCAACATTAATAGTTTCTTTGATAATTTCTTATTTTTTTTATTCTAAATATTAATAATCCTTCTGTAAACGTTAAAGCTACATTTATAACTATGAGATTTTCAATTTATCAGATTCTAATGGAACTTCAATTCTTTCAGTTATTATTTCTCTTACTACTTCCTATTTACTTTTTGCTAGATTGTCATATTCTTTTTTTAATTAACCTAATTGAGATTCTAAAGATTATATTTTTAATTTGTCAACTTAAGATGGCACTTCAACTTTTATTTGTTATGTTATAATCTCTTGTTTAATTTACTTTAACATATAGATTTGTTCTTTCAACATATTTACTTCTGTTTCCAATTCTTAAATTCTTATTTTATCTTATTCAATAGGAACTTCAACAGTTTTTGTTATATATTCTCGAATAATTTCTTATTTTTTAGCAGATGATTATTTTATTTAATTTTCTAATTCTTAAATTTTTATTTTATCACTTTCTAATGATTAGACTTCTTTTATAGTTTCTACAACAACTTAATTCTTTCTTCTATTTAATTCATAATATTTAGTTTTCCATAATTGTAATTCTTCCTCTAAACTAGCAATTAATTTAATATCTTCTGAACTTCTTACTTAAACAGTTTCTCTAATAGTTTCTCTAATAACTTCTTGTTTAGATGTAGAAACTTATTTCAATTATAATAAAGATAATTATTATTCTAAATCTTAAATTTTTTATTTATCTTATTTAGAAGGAGTTTCAATCAATTCTTTTTTAATTTCTTATTTATTTTTTTAAAGCACTTCAAATGAAACTTTTAATTCAGTTATTTTTTATTTATCAACTTCCCATTCACTTTTTAATGAATTAAATTCATTTCTTTTTTCTAAAAGTTGTTTTTCTAAATCTCTACACTTTATTCTTAAAGTCTCAATATCGAATTCTAATTATTTAATTTTTCTAGTTTGATCTTAATGTTATCTGCCATTTTCTACACTTATTTAATATGTCTTAATTTATTCCTTATATTTTTCTTCTCTAATTTTTATAACACGAATTTCTTCTTGCAACTCAATCAATTTTTATTCTAGTTATTGAAATTTGTATTTATCTTATTCAGTTTAAGTAACAATATAAGTATGAGATTCATATTATGTTTTAATGTCAATCAATAATTATCGAACTTCCTAATGTTTTAATTATTCATCATAAAATTTCTCTTTCCATATTTTCACTTAAACTTCCATTTCTTGATATTATTATTCAAGTTATCTATAATCTCTTCTTGTTTTTTCAATCTCTTTTTAATGATTTTCAACTTCAAATTAATATTGAGCATTTTAATGAATTTCTATTCTTTTATCTTACTAATACCTAATTTCTTTAGAATACTTAGATTCAATTTCAAATGCTTTCTAAGATTCATTTTATAATTAATTATTTAATTACTTTATTTGTTATTGTTCTTTCTATAATCTATCATTCAATTATTTAATTTAAATTTCATAATATTCATTCTAAGATGTATCTTATATAGTTTATTCAATTTTCAATTTGAATTCCTTTTATTAAGTAACAATTTAATCTTCAAGTTAATAAATTTATTTCTCCAATTCAATAATTTTTGACTACTCTTTCTCAGATAATCTTTAATAATTTGCCTCATTATCTCTTTTTAATCTTTCATATTATTTTTATAATGATTAATTCTCTACTTCCAAAGAAGATATATGTTATTTTAATGTAGAAATCTCTCTTTCATATTTTTAAGAATACTTTTACAGTTGAACATCATTCTATTTTAAATTAGTTTGTTCCCATTATTATTTTTCAATTTTTAATTAATCTTCAAATAATATTCTTAGTTTATTTTCATTATTATTTAATTTGTATTAAAGTTTAGTGATAGTCTCATTTCTATCTCTTATCTATTTCTCAAAATCATATGCTCTATTTTAATGATATAAGATTTATTCTTCTAATTCTTTAATTTCGATCTTATAATTACTGATTTACTAGTTGAATTAATTAATTTATAATTATAATCTATCTGATTCTAATGAATTTCTATTTTTCTTTTCTTCTTAAGGAGATCGATATCTATTATTTTATTCTTCAATTTATTTAAATTCTTAAACCAAAATATTTATTTCTGCTTTAACTTATTCATTTTCAATTATTAATTAATTGTTTTAATCTTCTAATTATTTAATCTTCCCTCTAAGGTATTCACTATCTTTTGTTTTAATTTCTAATTAAATATATTTTTATTTCCAATTCTCTAATTCATTTTGAATATTGTGGACTTGTAAATTATCTCTTTGAATTTTTTCACTCTACTGTTATTCTATTTATTTGTTGGTTTCATTGACTCTGATTTCCATTTAAATAACTCTTCTCTCACTTTCTTCTTTCTATAACTCAAACATTTAGCATTTTTCTTACCATTATCTACATTAAGCCTAATAAAAATTAAGTTCTTATTTTAATTAATCAATTTCATACTACATATTACCTTTAGACTCTGCCATAGCTGATTCTAATTTCAATTAATTTTAATTATGAGCATCGATTAGTATTTATATATCATTATCCATTTCTTTTATTTAATTCCTCAAAGTTGAAATAGTTCTTTCATACAGATCCTTATCAGTTGTTCTTAATTAAGCTTAAGATTAATATTAAGTAATTTCCTACATCAATCTTGTTATCTCACTCTAAGTATTAGAATTTCTCTGTTCATTAATAGTTTTAATCTCTAGTTCCAAAGCAGATGTTCTATTTTTATGTGTCTAAATATCTTGTTCATATTTACTCTTCATTCTTAAAAACTCTTCTACTTATTTTTTGTATTCTGTCAACATAGCACTTAATTAAGTTATATCTATATTATTTATATCTAATACCTTATTAATACTTAATTTATTGTTCAGTTAATGATGTAATTTCTTACTTATATCTAGTTACAAGACTCAATTATTCTGCATCTGATGAATTCCTCATTAATAATTGAGATCTCAATTTAGCTAATTCTTATTAAGCAGCTTCTAGTTCTGATTAGTTAATCATGTATTTTTGCTTTATATTATAACTTTCTCCGGACATTTGCTTTAATTATTAATTGTCTTTATCTAATTGTTCAATCACTTCTTTCAATTTTCTATTGTCTTATAGTAACTCTTCAAATCGCCTTTTGATATTATTAGACTTTACTTATCTTCAAATAATATGCTCTTCTTGGTACTATAATTAATTTCAATCAGTTGTCTAATATAATTATTGACTTTACTTATCAGCACTTGTACCCATTTGTTAAGTAGTTTAATAGTTGTCATTATTTAATTATTATCTACTTTAAGTCATAGGTATCTAGAGATATTGTTAATTCATTAATTTGAATTTATATTAAAATTTGTTGTTTTAAGTTTAATTATTGGAATAGTAAAATAATTAAATATAATTGATTATAATTAGTACCAATTTTAAGAATCAAATTTATTCTGAATAGATTTATCATTAAAATTCAAATATTCATTTTAATTAAGAAATCAAATTTTTTTTAGGAGTTCCCGAATTCTAGTTCAATTATTTAACTTCTTTTTGAATTAACATAAAAATATTAATTATTTGAAATGAAAAAGAATGAATTCGGTCTTTTAGAAGATTTAACAGAACCTGGATTAATAAAAAAAAGCAACGACGTATCATGGAAGAACGACCAAATTTATAAATAAACAAATTTTGAGAAAAATACAACATATTTCCACATAATGGGTAATTTAATAATCTTAAGATTATAAAAGGTCATGAAGAATCTCATGCAGTTAGAAGAAGAGAAATATTAAAAAAACATCCTGAAATATAAGTGTTATTTGGAAATGACATAAATTCAGCTTGGTTAGGTATTACCTTTGTGTTGGTGCAATTAAGTTTTATCAGTCTTTTTAGTTAACTAAGTTTGTTTTGGTTTATAATAACTGCTTATGTGTTTGGTGCAACATTGAGTCATGCACTTCATGTATTAGTTCATGATTTCACGCATTTTACTTGTTTTGAAAGTATACCGTTGAATAAATTGATGGCAATATGGGCTAACTTTGGATAAGGAGTTCCTTCAGCCATTACATTTGGTAGGTAATGAATACATATATTTAAATATGATTAGATATCATGCAGATCATCATACTTTTTTGAATTTGGAAACACTAGACCCTGATCTTCCATCAAGATTAGAATTAAAGTATATTAAAGGACCAATAATGAAATTTTTATTTGTGGCTTGCCTTCCCTTATTTTATGGATTGAGACCAATCATTGTTAGACCACTTATACCAAATGCTTATGAAATAATTAACATAGTTTCTGTCTTCTTTGTTGATTATTTAATAATCCAATATCTAGGAGTATAAGCTCTATATTGGCTTTTACTTTCTACTTATTTTGGATTAAGGTATTAATCTTTATTTATTTAGTGTTCATCCTTTTGCTGTTCACTTAATAGCAGAACATTATGAATTTATTAATAGAATGGAAACATATGATTATATTGGTTGGGCTAATTTCTTTGTTCTTAATATTGGATATCATACAGAACATCATGATTTCCCAATGATTCCATGGACTAGATTACCATTATTAAGAAAAATGGTACCAGAATATTATGAAAATTTGCCATGTCATACAAATTATGTGCAAACATTATTTGCTTATATTTTTGATGGATATATGGGACCATTTTCAAGGATTGTAAGATCTTCACCTATATATTTCAAAAAATGACTTTTTTAAATTAAATTGTACAATTCCATTTAGACATTACATGTCTATTTTAATATAATTTATTTATTATTATATTAAATAATAATCATGTAAAATAACAAAAATTGTTCTTAATTTGAAAATCAAGATAATTCTGATTGGCCTGTTTTTCAAACTCCAAAGAAAAATACTAATTAATCATTTTGGGATAAACAACCATCTTTAATATTTGATTAAAATCAAATTATTATCTAAGGATGTTTGAATAGAATTGGCAAAAACAAATAAATACCAAAATAATATACATTTACACTTTTAAATACAGGATAACTATTTTATGCTGATAAAAATTAAAAAGGAAGTATTTAACTTAATCTATCAATTCTTATTAAAAAAATAGAATTAACAAATTAAGAAAACTAAGATAATGAAAAAATATCAGCAATACGAATAGAAAGATTTTTAAATTGTTCTATTTATATTTGGAATGAAGATAATTCGTATTATTTGTAGTTAATTTCTAGTTTAGAATTAACATTAATATTTGGTATAAACGATTAGCTCAATTTTGTATAAGTTAAAACTTTGAAGGTTTCTTTTAATTAGAAGAAAAAATTGATTAAGGAGCCTTTAGTTCTGTTTTTACAGTTACTTCTTAATTATAAGGAGAAAATAATAAATAAACATTTGCTGCAAAAGTGTACTCAAAAAATCTTTAATAAAAAATACCTGCTTAATAAATGAAGGTATTAAAATGTATAAATTAGGATTTCATCTAAACTGAATGTTAGATTTTAAAATTAGTAAAGTGTTAATATATTGTCTAATTATTTGAAATTATTCAATTAGAAGATGTAGTAATCTTGATTCTAGAATATATATCTGGACAAACCTTACATCGTTTACTACAATAAAATCTAGTCAATGAATTAATGTGTTGTGAAATAACTTACTAAATATTACTAGGTATTAAGGAAATTCATCAGTATTATATTTATATAAAAATAGCCATGGCTTTGTACATAGAGATATTAAATTAGAAAATATTATGATATCTTGCTAAAATCCAATATAAATAAAACTTATAGATTTTGGTTTTGCAGAGAAAATTAATCGTAATAAATTAGTAACTGGTTCTGGAACTGCAGGATATTTAGCCCCAGAATTATTTTAATTAGCTCCATATACAGAAAACTGTGACATTTTTAGTTTAGGTGTGCTTTTCTATATGCTACTTTGTGGAAAATCTCCTTTTTGTGTATAGAATAATGAAAGTAATTTTAATAATTAGTAAAATAGCTCTTTTAGAATAAAATAAGAATTGCAATATTTAATATCTTTAAGAAGAATGGATGAATGTTTCTTCTTCTACTAAAAAAATTGTATAAAGATTGTTAGATAAAGATCCTTTAAAAAGAATTACAATCTCAGAATTGAAATTACTTTTGGAAATACATATAAATAATTTAAGATTTAATTAAGCTAATTCTCGATAAGCTCTTAATCAATTATAAAATTGTAACAATGTCATAATGTAAACATAAAAGCTTGCAATTAAGACAGTAACAGTCAATAAGAAATGTGATGATGATGATATTCTGATAGAAGAGAAAAGCATTGATAATACAAACTTAATTAATCTTAAAAATTCCCATTAATATTACAACAAATCTAAATGGATATCATGAATGTTTAATACATGTTGTTATATTAATTAAAAATTATCATAAATATTTCCAGAGCTGAACGAATTAATTTTATTAAAAAAATTTATAATTTATAATATATAATAAATACTGTTAATGGAAGAACAATAGATAAAGAACAGAAAAAATAGAATAACTCTTTCACTTCACTAACCAATATAGTATACGATTTAGAAAATATTTGAAGAGGGATTAGAATAAAATTTGAAACCAATTATATAATCTTCAACAAATGTAGAATTTTCTTGATTATTTAGAATATTAAATCAAATAAATCTCAAAAGTAAAACAAAATGCAGCTATTTTATAATGCAAAATTACATAACATCACTATCACAGATATTGAAGATGATTTAAAATCAAGAATGAATCATTCTGTAAAAATTTTAAGGACTGAAACAAAAGAAGATTTAAATTAACGCCTACAGACTCTTCCTGTAAAAAATGTAACCATGAAAAACTCTTAGATAAAGAGAAGGAGACTCAAATTACGTATTTCTGTTATAAATCAAATGATGATGTATACTGAAGAATAATTATAAGAAAAATGCATAGATATTTTCCGAAAGCTGGCTAAGCCAATAGCTGGTATACCAATTCTGGAAAAAAGCTAACTTTATTAATATTTACTATAAATTTTCCATAATGAATAAATAACTATGAAAACAATTAAATATCTATCTGTCCCTTAAAGTATGAATTATAAGTAATATTGCGACGTGATTATGAATTTTAATGAATGGAGTAAAGTTGGTAATTGATGCTTAATATCTAGATATTCTCTTTTATTGTTTTTATGTATTTTAAGATAATTACTCAGCAATATTAGATTCAAAATCTTTATTTTAATTATTAACCTCAGAGTAATGTTTTTCAGATGATGCAAATTTTATTACTAAAACGTTAAGGTAAAGATAGGAATTGAATAAGAGAAGCAATTATAAAACTTATCATACTAAATTGCTAAAAATTCCTAATCTAACATTTCGAAGATTTAAACGAGAATAAGAATCGATTATAGAAAAGCTTCGTAAATAAAAATTAGATTTGTATTAAATTAAAACAAAGATGATAATATCCAACATAAAAGAGAATCAAATTGTAGATAAGGAAGAGAATTTATATTAATTACCAATCTAAAAGGAGGATGATATTATAGTTACATTTGAGACTTTTAAATCTATTTATAGTTAATCTCATCCTTGTTTTTTTGGATGGTTATTGAAGTGTCTTGGGGATATTGATATATATTTTGTAGGGTAAAAATTATGAATATAAATTATTTATATATTTTATATTTATGGATTCTTCATAGATGCATAGTACAATCTTAGATCCTTTTTTATTTTAACAATATTTAAGACAGAGTTCTAATATTATTAATCATCTAATTAAACAAATAATACGAAATATATCTTAATCTTCATTTCTAGTAAAAGTTTGATAAAAAATTAGAATATCGAAAATAATATTTAGTTCTCATATAGATACTATACAAAAAATATTAATTCTATATTAGATTTGTAGATAATTTACTTATATCAGATATAGAATAGTAGAATAGGTAGTTAGCTAATTTTATTAAATTCTATTTTGGCTTCTCTCTATTTCAATGAATATTTTTTATTTAGGATATATCCATTGCTATCTCTAAAGAAAAGAATTTTATAAAAAAGATTAATTTTGGTTATCTTTAAAGAAATACTTTCATAAGTAAATAAAATTATTGTAATCAATAATTTTAAAAAGGATTTGATAGTTTAAACCTATAAATCAGCTTGTATCCAATCATTTATTTTATAAAAAAACAACAAAATTTAAATTAAAGGAGACAATTTTATCTTAGTTTTAGCATCTATAAACAGAATATAGAATAATTATTAAAATATTGAACTCTTGATGAAAAATTAAGAAAATATAATTAAAGTTTGATTTATGGGGCTCATAAATTTTGATTAGTATATAAATTAAAATTTTTTCTGTTAATTTTCACACTTTTAATTAATATTTTCTGGGTATTAATATAATATTTATTGGTATTATTTATGACGTATTATTTATAATTTTTTTAGATATTTCCTCCATTAATCAATGATAATACGTATGTATATAATATTTTTTTTCAATTAAATATATCTAATGATTAATATATACAAATAAGCAATCACACAATCAAAACAATTAGGAATCCTCTTTATAATCTGTTTTTTTGATTATGATGGGAGAATCAAGATTTGGAACATCATTTACAAATTTTGTTCTGATACCTGTTAAAATTTAGCTACTATCACTAGAATCATCATCAGATGAAAGAATGTCAGCAAAAGGTATTTTTATAAAGAGTTTATTTTCTAATTTTACTTTTTTTTTAATTGGAATTTCTTCTGTGTCTTAGTCCTAACATTTGTCTTACTTTGTTTCTTTTTAAATGCTTTCTGATAATTTTGATAATTTAAGTCTGCTCATATTTTAAAAAAATTAATATATTTTGTTCCTATAAAATCCAAAATTAAAATAGTTTAATAAAATAGAATCTAATTCTTAAAGATATTCTTGCATCATCATTTTATCATACTGAACATTTAATTTATAAAATATCATAAAGAAGAACTCTTCCTTTTTATTGTTTATAAAGAAATTAAAATATATTAAATAATCACTTCATAAATAATTGTCAAATTGCCATAATTATAAAATATTATCAAAAATATTGAAGAATTATTATTATTAGTTTTTGATCATTAATTTGAATAGAATAATTGTTTAGTCAGAATTTAAAAAAAATTTATCCTCCCTTTTCAATCAATAATACATTACATTTTGATAATTTTGTTATTTATAGGAATTTTAATTTTGTAATTAAGTTTGATTAATCTCTATGACGTTGAAAAACATCAAAATAAAATCAAAATTATTCTATTTAAAGCCTAGCTTTCTCAAATCTCATCCATTTTAACAATTGTTCATATAAGTTAATTTATAATATAAGAATAAAAAATGCATAATTACTCATGCCTTAGGTTATTTAATTAATGTCATTTTATCATCAAGATCTTTAATTAAAGCTTATATTAAAGTTAGACTTTTATTAAATCCAGCTGCATTTGCTCTTAAAGAATCAATCTTAGGCATTTTCACAACTTCTGGGATAGATGTTGTAAGACTAATTCTTTAATTTTTTGCTGCAAATAACTCGTCCTGATTTTCTAAAATTGTTAATCAATATACCTTTTAATGACTATTTTAGACGTTCAATTTCTTCTTAAGATTAAGTTTTATTAGCCTCTAAATCAGTTTAAGCAATTGCTAATTACTCGAAGACTTTGTCTAATTTAATTTCTAAATCTTTAGTTGTTTCTTCCAGCTATCTATGTTTAATAACACTTTATACCTAATCTTATTTTTATTTTAGTCTTGATCAACTTCTAAGTCTATAATCTATAATTTCAAGGTTTGCACAGTTTTTTAAAATTCTGCAATTTGAGTTTCCTTTTTAGTTAGTTGCTTTTCTAGTTAGTTTTGAGTCAATTATAATTCGTTCTTAAAAGATTATAAATTAATATTACTCTAGCTTTTAGTGTTTCTTCTTTTTATTACAATAACTAATTTTAGGCCTAAGCAAGTTGTTTATTTAAAATCTCTATGTTTTTCTATTATTGATCTTCTAAAATTTGGCTTTCTTCTATAAATTGATTATATTCTTCTTCCATTTATTAATATTTTTAACACATTTCTTCATACAATTACTTAAAGTCCATTTTATCAATATTATTTATATACAATAATATATTTAATTGAATTGTAATTAAATATTTTGAATGATCCTTTTTGTTGATGTGCATTATGAAAAAAATAAAAATCAAAATCTTTTATTGAAACTTTACATATTAAATAAATAGAAAAAATATTTTTAAGAATTATTAATTGAGTTTAGATTCTTACATAATTAATATTAAATGATTTCATAAATTCTTAAAATTTATAATAATTCTTAAAATTCTATCTTAGAACTTAAGAATAAAAAAAATTATATAAATATAAATAGATTAATCATTATATATTTTTCATAATTATTTGCTTTAAAATTTAATCTTGAAAAATGATCTGAATTTAATAAAATTAAAGACTAAGAAAATTTGCTTATAAAATCCTTATATATATGTTAATTAAAAATCAATATAATTGATCAAATCTAGGAATAGTTTTACGATGCTCATCCAGTTTATCACAAGATGAAAAGTCTAATCTTCTGATTGCATTTCTATAAGAATCTCGATCTTTTTGATAAAATGCTCTTTTTGCATAGCTTTCATACATTTATCTTTTATATTAAATATTATTGCAATCACGTTTAAGCTAATCAACGTATTACTATTCTATTTCTAATTCGATCTCTTTAAGTTTTTCTTTAGTTGAGTATTCTTCCTTGAAATCAGAACCTATATAATATTTAACCTTGATTTATTTTTAATTTATACTTAAAGTATTCTAGTGGTTTTAACAGTAGGGTAGTCATAAGACCTTTAAAATGAATAAAGGGGAGCTTTTTAAAACATAGTCATAATCCCTGATGAAGATAAAAATATCAACATTATAATAGGAAGAAATTGTAAAAATTACACATTTATTTATCCATTAGGATGCTATCTATTTTAATGATGAGCTCTTGGTGTTCCAAAAAAGGCTTTAAATATTTCCTAATCTTTATTATGGTATTTATACATTAGCAAAGTCATCACCATAACATTATTCATAATAATATCCATTTTAATCCTAATGATGATGCTAACGTTGACTTTCTGGTCTTTCTGTTCCATATTAATCATATATTCTCTTTTTATCAGGATTAGAAAGACAATTATATGCTTGAGCCACACGTTTAAATGCTTCTTGAGCTCCTTCATGTTTATTTTTATCAGGGTGGAATTTCAAAGCTAATTTTCTATAAGCCTTTTTAAGCTCTTCATCTGTGGCTGATTTTGATACTCCCAATATTTCATAGTAATCCTTTTTTTTAAGAAATTCCTTATTTTCTTCAGCCATTATTATATTGTTTTAAAAAGAAACTTTTTTTAATTTCAATAAAATACAACCAATTACAATATACGCAATCAATAGATTAATTATATATAATATCAATTGTTTTTTAATTTTTCTATAATTTCATCATGTTCTTCAACTACTTTTTATACATCTTCAAATTCAACCAATATAGTTTCTATTTCTTATATTCTACTATCAAGTTGATTAATTTTTCCTTCAACTTAAGTAATTTTACTTTCAATAGCTTTATTATTTGTACTTTTTCCAGTATCTGCAATAACTCCTGTCTATTTAGTTATAATATAATAAATACAGGTTATTAATTTTTTATATTTTAAATTTCTTCCTCTAATTATTTCATTCTATCTTCAAATTTATCCATTTCTTCTCCAACTTAATCTTAAAATTCTCCTAATTATTATTCTGTAACTCCTCCTTCATCATTTCCTTTATTTTGATTAAAAGTTTTAGAGTCTAATTACTTTTTTAGAGCATTAACTTATTAAATAATTTATTCTTCAAACTATTCAGAATTAATTTTCATATCTTCAATAAGTTTTTTAGTTTCTTAATTATTATTATCTCCAGTATCAATAGAAGTTCTTGCTAATAACTATTTTTATAATTTTTGTAATTCTTCATCCATCCTTTCAATTTCTTAAATAATCTCATCGATTTGTTGCTAATTATTTTAACTTTTATTAATAGGAGTCTATGATTTTGGAGATTAAATCTATTTATTCGATTTTAAGTTTTTCACTTAATCATTCAAAGACTATATTTCTGTTATATTCTTATCCAATTCCTATTCAATATCATTTATTCGTTATTCTAATTCTTTTAATATATTATCTTATTATGGTTATGATTATGGTTTACTCTAATCTTAATTTCCTTAATTTTAAAAAGCAGCATTTGATCCTAAATTATCAATCTGTTATTATAATGTCTATATTTCTTACATTAAATCTTTTTTATAAGTTTCTAAAGCAATTCCATAATTTGTCATATTCTAATCCAATTCTTTAGAACCTTATCCTTAAATTGCCAACTTAGATATTTTATCATTAAGTTCTGAAAATTAAGTATTTATATCTTCTTTCATCAAACTTACATCATTTATTATTTTTCCAACATCATCTGATATTAATTTCATATTTTTATTTTATAAATCATTCTTTCCATCAATAACTAATTTTAAATTTTATTCTTATTTTAACATATTATTTAGATTGGTTTAATTATTTTTTAAAATTAATTCTAAAGTTTATTCAATTTAACTTTTTACATAATCAGATAGATTTATTTCCATAGCTCCATTCATTGTTTACATTAATTTAACACTACCAACAATTTATTATTATTAAAGTTAACTTAATTTCTATTATTCTTCTTAAATTTTTAATTATTCCTCTTAATTCTTTATAGATTCTTTATGATTTTCTAATTCTTTTTCGAACTTAGTATTTTATTCATCTTAATCTATTTAAATTTATTCTAATTAATTGTGTATTGTAGCAAAATTTGTTAATTTATCTTCTAATTCTTATATTTTAGTATCTGAAAATTTATTCATTTAAATTAATTATGCTTATAAATTATATTATTATTCTTCATTAATTGTTTATTAAATAATCTATTCCATTGTTAATTTTGCATCAAGTTCATTTAAGAATTAACCATGTGCCTTTATTGCATCTGTAATATTATTAAAATTATTTTAAACTCCTTTAACAAAATCATTCAAATCTTTCTTTATTTAATTTTTCTTTTCTTCAAGTCTTTCCATATCTTTAACTAATAATTATAATTTTCCAATTATTCCTGTATGTCTTTCTTTATCTAATTCTTCATTTGCTTAACGTATTTGTTCATTTAAATAAAATTTAGATTAAAAATATGCAAAACTCTAATCAATTTATTGTTTCAATTGATTTCCTGATGTTATATGTAATTAAACCACTTAAGTTAATCCATTTTATGTATCAGTTCTCAATTAAGCAAGTTTCTAACTAATTTCATCAAATAGATCTTATAAGTCTTATTTAATTTTTTCATTTAACTCTTAAAATTAAGTGTCCACCTCATTTTTATATTAATTAAATTATTAATTAAATTCTTCATTCATTTTATTAATTTGTTCATTAATTTTATCTTCTAAATTCTTAGCTGCTTCTTTTACTTATTCATGTATATCTTTTAATTCTTAATTAAACTCTTCTTTTAATTTTAAAAATTATTGATTAACTTATTCATTTAAATTTTGAACTGCTTATTTAAATTCGGAATTTACATCATCTAATTATTATTACAAATTATTATTAAAAGAATCAATTTTATTATTTAATGATATATCTAATTGATTTATTTAATTCTCCATTGAAAATTACCATTACAATCTATCTTATTTTTCTTTATTCATTATATTGATAAGATGATCTTAAAAGTTTTCAAGTGTAGTAATAGTATACATTCTTTCTAGATACATTTCACTTTATATTTATATATGAATTTCTCTCATAGCTTAATCCATTTTTTCTATTTATTTAATAGTCCATATTCTTAATTTAAATACATCATCTTCAATTATTTTAATCATCATTTTTAAATCATGTTTAGTTTAATCTAATTCTGATTGGACATATGATTTAAGATTATTTACTTATTTATCCATATAAAGCATCACTTATTAGTTATTTTTTTTTATTTCTATACTTAATACTTCTAAATTTTATGTCATTCGATTTTCAGAATTTTTTATATCTTATTTAAGTTATCTTTCCATTTCTTTAAATTTATCTTATTAATCTCTTTCAATTTTGGAAATAGCATCATCTAATTTTTCATCTTATTCTCTTTTTAATTGTTAAATTTCATAATCTAAATCTTCCTTTAATTTTCTAACCATATCTCCATATTTTTCAATTAATTCTTAAAGTCTTTATCTCAACTCTTTTTCTTCATCAATCATAGATTACAATTTTTATAAAATATATTCTTCTCTATTTCTTATAAGATCTTTCATTTAAATAGACAAACTGTCTAATTTTGCATTTGTTTATTAATCAGTCATTTCAATTTCCCTTGATATTCTTTCATTAATTTATTATGAAGACTCTAAAACTTATTGAGTTGCATCCTTTTTTGCACTTTCAATAGCAAAATGTATTTATTCATGTAATTAGATATTGTATTGCAACTATATATTTTTAATTATTTCAGATAGTTCTATTCTTAATTAATCCATTTTGAATTCTTAAGAACTTAATCCTTACGTAACTTTCTAATCTAGATTCTTCATTAATTATAGATATTTTTTATCATAATTTTCAAGTTCATTAGATATTTTTTTTATATTTTCTTAAAATTCATTTTTATCCTTCAATTATTCACCTTTAATATTTTTAAGATTGGTACTAACTTCAGTAAAAATAACTAGATTTTTTTAAGCAAATTGTTTTTTCCAATCCTCATTTAAAGTTCTTTCATCATTTAATAATTTATTTTAAATATCAACAGATTTTTGCATTTATGATTCATAATTCTATAATAATTCTTATTATTTCTAAAATTCTTTTTATAGACTATTATTAATAAGATTAGCATGTTCATGCATCATTTATCTGGTTTCTCCAACTCTAAAATTTAATTCTTTTTATCCTTATTCAATCAAAGCTACTTTTGCTAAAGATGATTCTCTTATAATATCAACAGTTTTAGAAATAGATTTAATATTTTCAGTCACAATAGTCTAAGAAGCAGCTAAATTAGCCTCTAATTATTCTTTAGTATTTTTAATGATTTAATTTAATGATGCAACACTATCATGCATTTATTTCATGAATTTTTATTCTCCTAAAAGAATTTATTTCTCATCATTTCTAATTTCTTCTTTAAATGCTTATATTTTATTTTCCAATTAATTCCTTTAATCAAATTCACTCTTTAATCTTCTTTCAACTTCATCTGCTATACGTGTTTCTACACTTCCAATTAAATTTTTAATGTAATCTTAATCCTAATTAATTTTTGCTAATTTCATATTATCTAATGATTTAATACTCACTTTAGTTTTTTCATTCTAATCTAAAAACTCTTCCCTTTATTACTTTAATTTATTGTAGAATTCTGATTCTTGCTTAACCAATCGATAATGAAAATCTTATTGTTATCTTTGTAAATCTTCTACAATCGTATCTCTATGAGTTTTCTCATTATTAAATGCTTCTCTTAACAATTTAACTTCAAGATTATCTTAAATGAGTTATTATGGTGCTGGTTTAGAGACATTCAATTTTAATTCAATACCTTCTTATTAATTAATCAAAGCACTCAATTTAAGTTCTTGATCATTACTTTTCTTTTATAATTCAAGAATCATTTAAGACAGATTATCTCTATTCTTTTCTCCTTAATTTCGTAACTGACTCATTGCATCTTGTAATATGATCTATTTATCATTTACCTATTTCCATAATAGCATTTCTTATGATTCTAATTATTTAATTGATTGCATAAACTTTTATGGATTATCCTCTACAGTCTTTTATATTCTTCTTTCAATATTAGCTTTGAAATCTATCATCATTATTTCCAAATCTCTAACTTTACTACTTAATTCTAATTGATTCATCTCTTTATCAACATCTTTTATCCCTAATTATTGAATTGTAGCTCTGCTATCCAAACGAGGTAATGTTATTGCATTTTTTTAACCTGATGGCAATCTCGCTATTTAATTTTATTTAGGATCACTCTACATATTTCTATTCAATATACTTCTATAACTTTTTATTATCCTAATTATTATCGTAATCGTAATCTTGGCGTTGATCGATTATTTGTATCATCCATTGTTTAATATAAATATATAATGGTATTAATTTCTTACACTAACATTGTGGTTGATGATTTTGGTTATGCAAAACGTAATCCACTTAAAAGATACATCTATTTTTTAACTCATATGCACTCTGATCATTATTAAGGAATCACTAATGGTTGGAATTATGGATAAATCTTTTGTTCGACTGTCACAAAAGCATTACTCTTAGTTAAATTCCCAGGAGTTGTTGGAGTTGTAATTCATCAATATTTATATGTAGATGACAATACCAATGAAAACACCAACAGAAATACAATTATGCTCAAAATATAAAGTAAGAGTAACATTTTTAGATGCAAATCATTGTCCTGGTGCTGTTATGATACTATTTTAAGGATACTTTGGAACTATATTACATACTGGAGATATGAGATTTAATTTGGAAATGATTCCTAAAAATCCACATCTTTACCCTCCTAAAGATTATTCAAATTCCAATGAAAAGTGTTCAATTCATATTGATGAACTTATTCTTGATAATACATATTGTGATCCAATCTTTAAGTTTCCCAATAGAGATGAAGCTTTTAAGATGCTTTGTGAAATCATTGATAAAAATCCTAATAATAGAGTTTTTTTATGTGTTGATTCTGTAGGAAAGGAAGAACTTATGGTTGAATTAGCTAAGCATTATGAAACTATTATTGTAGTCAATGAACAAAGATATTAAATTGTTACTGCTATGAATTTTTATGTTGAATACTTTACTACTGATAAATCTTAAGGATGGATAGAAGTTATAAGAAAAGGAGATGTAGAAATTAGACTTAAAGAAAAAAATACTATTGCAATCACTGCAACTGGATGGGCTAACACAACTAGTTATTAAATGCCAGATAATAGAAGATATGTTATCCCTTACTCTCTTCATTCTAATTTTAATGAACTACATCAATTCATTAAGAGTATTCAACCTGCTCTGTTGTAAAAGGTTGTTAAAAATAACACAGGAAAAAGTAGCAAAATTTATAATATTACTTAATTTTCATAATATATGGTTACTCTTCATCATATAAAATAAAGAGTATAAATTTAATTTCATATTATTAGGGATTTGAATTTTTTTTGAAGAATTATACTGATGAAAAAAGATTATCATATGAATATAGATCTATTATGATGGATAGTAGAAAATAGAAAGAAATTAATTAAGATCTAGGAATTGAATTAACTGAATAAGATAATTAAGTGATTAATCAAATGATATTTGAAGATTCTAATTAGAATGTTTTCTCTAAATAAAAGCAGTATTTTATTTAAAGTTATTTTTGTAGAGTTCGTAAAGGATTCAAGTTGGAAAAGCCAGAAACAAATAAAAATTTTAAAATTACTCAATTTATTAGAGCTAAAAAGCAATTAGTAAATACAGAATAAGCATTATAATAAGAAGTAATTCCAGTAGATAAAGAAAAAAGAAAAGACAAAAATGGTGAAATTAATGATATTACTAAATAAACAAAGGATCCAATACTTATTGATTGATTTATGTATTATTTTATATTTTGAATGATTAATTATTGATAAAAAAATTGTTAATGAATTTAAATATTGATTCTTCATAAGAAGAAGAAGAAGAAAGTTATTTAAATAATTAATTTATAGTTTAATTTTAGAATAGATAATGAGTTTATTAGGAATAATATGATTTAATATTGTAAATAAATAAATATATAAATATAATTGTATGATATTAAAAAAGTAAGTTATATCAGTAGTGCGAAAGTTGAGTTCATATTGATTATCGTACTCATTAAAATTCATCAATTATATTTAAGGTTATAAAAGTTAATTATAAATATATTTGATGTATGAATTTTGTATATGGGTTATTTTTTTTAATATGTAATAATCTGTAAACAAATTGTTTGTTAAATGTCAATCAGAACCAGAGAAGGAATAAATAATATTTAAGACTGAATTCTTTAAGTTCACTAATCATAAATCAGTTCTATTGCTTTTATGCAGTGATGAACACATTTACAAAATAAATGTAAAATCTTAAATACTTAGTTTGTAGAAATAGAAGATTTATAAGGTTTCACTATAATCTTTACGATTTAGTGTAAAAGCTGAGTAGACCAATAAACAGACTCAAAAATAGATGAAAGGTGATGAATTTCATACTTAAATATACAAATTTACTTTGGAGAGAGATGATACCGATGCTTCTGAATTTTACAATTATAACTTCTAAACAATGTATTGGTTTGACAATCTGAGGAATAAATTAAATATGCTTGATTATTAGGTGAACTATGATATTTCTAAATTAATCGGTAAAGGGACATTTGCATCAGTTTATGAAGCAAAATCTAAATTTGATAATTAAATGTATGCAGCAAAGGCATTTTATAAGAAAACACTATTTTAAGATCCAAAAGGGAAAGTAATTTATAAAAATATATTGTTTAGGAACAAGTGGAAAATGAGATTAGTATAATGAGATAACTCAATCATCCAAATCTAATAAACTTGCATGAAGTATATGAAAATAAAGCTTAAATATATCTGATTATAGATTTAGCAAGAGGAGGTTCACTTGAATATGCACTTAAAGTATTAAATGGACCAGTGCCTTTTTTATCAGCTAAAGTGATATTCCGTTAAATAGTAGAAGGATTAAATGGATTACATGAAAAAAATATTATGCATAGAGATTTAAAACCAGGTAATATACTTTTTAGAGATTTTGTTCCATTAAAAAGATATGGATTAATTCATATGGGACCTAATATAATGGTTAGTGATTTTGGTGTTTCTAGTTTTGTCTAAGAAAAACTTAATGTTTATTAATATACTGGAACACCAGGATATATGGCACCTGAAGTATTTGAAACTTAATTAGATCAAACTAAAACATATAATGAAAAATGTGATATATTTTCTTTAGGTTGCATTTTGTATTATTTATTAATTGGAAAACCATTATTTGCTAATAAATAAGCAAATATGGAAATGAAAATTGATTGGATGTCTGTTGAATAAGAATTGAATTCAAGTCATTCACTTACTATGCTATTGTAGAGAATGTTATCTCCAAATCCTTAAGAAAGACCATCATGTAAAGAAATTTTAGAGAATAAAATATTGGAAGTAGAATACGGAGAAGATGGAGTTCCATTATTTAAAGACTTTTAAAGGCCTAAAAGTAGTCCTCCTAAAAGATTAATTTAAGAAGATTCTCTTAAAAATAAAGGTAAAAGAGGTAGTGTTTTAATGAACAATAAGGCTATCAATATGATGCCAATTATGGAAGAAAAATAAAGAGATTCTGGTAATCATAAATTCACTAAGAGAAATACTAACATGGATATCTAAGATATGAAATCAAGTCAGATCAGTGTTAATCCATAATCAGTGAAACAGGCACGGCGTTCGTCAGCTATTGTTCCTGGAACTGCTAAAAGACCATCACAATAATGATTAAATTAAATTAAATTAAAATTTTAATATGTAGCAGATTAGTAAAGAAAAAGAGTAGTAATATCAATAGTATATGGAGTTGGAGAAAGAAGTTATGAGTACTTTGGCTAAAGTCAGACAATATGAAGCTTCAATGACTTAACTCAAAAGAAACATATAAAAATGCCAAATTACATTAAAAGAACTTGGCAGTGTTGAAGAATAAAAGACTTTTTAACCTGTTGGTAAATGGTAATTGATTTTATCTAATTTAGTTTTATTCTTAAACCCAAAAAAGATATTGCAAATGAAGTTATTGAAATCATTAAATCACATGAAAAAGATATTGATGAATATGAAAAAGTCAGATAACATTTAATTACCAAAGGAAAAGAAAAAGAAACATAATTATAAGAAGCCATGAAAGCATTAAAAATTTGAATTATTCCTATTTAAAGTTTCTAAAATTAATATAACAAATTGTTAATTTAAGACTTAATTAGATATTATACTAAACTTTTTATTATCAAAATTGAGTTGTCTTAGGTATTTCTTTAAGTTACTATATAATAAATTAAAAATTATTACAAAAAAGTCAAAAGTCTTTCTTGGCATCTAATTTCCATCTTTTCTAATTTATAAAACATTAGATTTGTTTTACATTAAGAATTTTAGATTGTTATATAATTAAACAGCCTCTTCTATTTATGCTTCAACACATTTATTTTTTTATAAACTATTTTAACTATTGTAAGATTCTTTGTGTTGATGAAACTTATATAAGTTATTATCTTTTACATAAGATGAGCTATTATTTTTAGTAGAATTAGATTGAACCGGAATTGAATTAAATTGAACTTTCAACATAGTCTTAATTGAAGTTGATTTTTTCTGAATAAAAGGAGAATCTTATTTTGATGAGTTTCTATTAATTTAAATAATTGATTTAGGAATTTTGCGTTCACTTTATGCAATCTTATTTATTGTTGTTATTGATTCTTTATTTTCTGATTCTACTGTTACAGTTTTGTTAACAGAATGATATATTTTTTTTTCGGATGAATGTTTTTTTTAAGAAAAATTGTAATTTTAATTTTATTATTATTATTGTTATTATTATTATTATTATTATTATTATTATTATTATTATTGTTATTAACATAACTTTTTTAAGCTTGAACTTTTTACAACTCCTTTGAAACATTCAGCTTTTTTTGTGTAAGATGAATCAGATATATGTGATTCCTTACTTGATTATCTTTATCTTAATTCATAATACACTTTTGATTATTACTATTGTTATGATGAATTTGATCTAGGGTTTTTTCTTGAAACAACATCTTTAATAACTGAAGATTAATTAGAAAACTATGATTTATTTACTAATTTATCCATTTCAAAAGTTTTTGTTTCTCTTGTTAATCTTTGTATTTCTAAATCTATATTACCAATATCTTTCAACCAAATTTTCTTTAAATTGGCACTATCACTTTAAACAATAGAAAGTGATTATACAATTGGAGTTGGCTATTCTATTTATTATATTTATTCTATTTATTCAATATCTAATTCTGGAGAAGCATTAGAATTCTATTGAGGAGATTCTTCTTTTACAATTTTTAATTTTTTAGATTCTTACTTTGGAATTTTTAATTATTATTTATTTGGGTTTTACACTATGAATTCTTATTTATTTATTTATGGTTTCTATATTTTAGATGATTTTTTATTTTTTTAACTACTCTCGTATTATTCAAGTAAATTATTCATTATTTATTATTTTCTTAAGTAAATCACAATCAGTACCTTAATTCAAATTAAGCAGCTGCTTCTTCCTCACTTAATTTACTGTATCTGCCTTAATCTTTCATTCAGTTAAATAAATTAATATGAGTATTATTATAAGCTAATTAATTTTAAAAAGTTTTATCTTAATAATAATATTTTTAGATTTATGAATAAATCAAAACTATGCAATCTAAAAATAAAGACACTTACTTCATCATTTACTTATAGTATCAATTATTAACTTAAAATTGATCCTTTCAAATTTTTTATTTTTCGAATTATAAACATATTACAAATATCTAGTAATAAAAATGTCTTTAATTAATCTGTTTTTAATAGTAAATGATTGATTATAAATACTACTTTTATATTATGAATGACTTTGACAATTTTAAGATTTTTTATTGATATAAAATAAATTAAATTTCATTGTTAAATGATTCTTTTAATCGATTATTCAAGTCCTTATGTTAACTTTGTTAATTTGACATTCTATGGTAATTGTAAACAATATATTGTAACAGCTATCATGTTTGGATTTGATCTTGGATAAAAAAAAGATTACACTCCACAAGTTTTGCAAAAATAATGTTTTGCCTAAATTTAAGTTAAATAAATACTTATTTGGTATTAAATGTATATAAACTTAATTCATCCATATTTGTCAATAACTTGAATTTAGATTATGGAATTAGAACATGATGATTTTATTTCATTCGGCAAATAGAACAAACACATTAAATTACTTCCATTTCAAGTGGACCATAGAATTCAAATTATACTTTGCAACAATGGCAACCACCTTATATTAATTGTTCCATTTTCTTAATTTTTTATTATATAATTAACGTGTAAGATATTTATAATAGTATTATTTGTTAATTGTTTATTCTTTATTCTTTATTCTTTATCAAATTATAAAATAATTTTTAGTTGGAAGAGAATCAACATTATGAAAAAAATATGATTAAATATTATTATATATTTTAAAAAATTAGAAAGAATAATTATATAAATAATTAATTTGAAAAAATATATAATAATTTCCAAATTAGATAATTCGAAGATAATTTTTGTATTAAATATTGATATTCAATTTATTAATAGTAAAATATGCACAGCTAATTCACAATATAAAAATATTATTGTATTTGTAACAAGAGCTCTACTTACTAAGTCAATTATTTCAATCTATAACTTTAAATTTATGAGTTGGAAGATAAAATAAATTTCTTCTAATAATTTTGTCTATTTCTAGTATTACTTTAATTTCAGTATGTTTATGCCTAGGTTTTTTAAATTATAAAAGTTCTTTATTTTGTAATAATAATGGTAAAGCTTATAATTCTAGAGATTGTTCTTTTTTTTAGACAGATTTATTATTTTATAGTTTAGTATTGAATACTTTAGGATTAATATTACTAAATTTAAGTTTTGGTAATAAATTTTAGCTTTAAGAATTGATTTGATGAGTTAATTGCTGAAGATGTTTAATTTAAGATTAATTTTTATTAAATAAAGATTAGTGTGAGTAATTAGAACATGAATTAGATCTAATTTCATCATTAGTTCAAGGTGTAATGTCTTAATCAAATAATATTTTTCTATCCTAATATTATTTTTAATGCGTAAATTCTTTACATAAATTCCTAAAGCAGTCGAATTATTAAAAGCTAATGCAAGTCTTCCTGTAAGAGTTCATATTGAATATTGTTCAGGATGAGGATATCGTTCTTAAGCTATATTGGCTGAAGTTTGTTTAAAGCATCTTTATCCAAAAAGTGAAATTACATTGAATTCACCAGATTCAGTAAATATATAATAATATTAAAATAGAGAACAGGAAATATTGAAGTTACTGTATTTAAATAAGATGGAATAAAAGAATTAGTTCACTCTAAAAAAAATGGATAAGGTAATATTACTCCTGATAATGTTGCTGAAATCATGCAAAGAGTTATTAAGTTTGTGGAATGAAATATAATAAGAATTTGAATATTATAGTTGAGATTAAGAGATTAAATAAATGAAGAATTGGAAAAGAAATACGGATTCCAATTTTGAAAAAGCAAATTTAATCTGTTTAAATGAAACTATATTTATTCATCACAAATAAATTTAAAATTTAATTCATAATGAGATTAACGATATTTATTCAGATATTTAGTTGGAATCTTCATTATTTGATTATTTATTACTTTTCAAATTTTATTATCCTATCTTCTCTTCTTAAATCATATCACTTTTTATTTTCTTCTATTTTTTTATTTCCTATATTTCTAATTCTATTGATATATCACTTTAAAAATCCAATTCATGACTAGAATCCTTTAATTAATTATAAGAATTTTAAGATAATATTGTATCTATTTCTTTTTCATTTTAATGTAAATTTTTTACTTAACTCAAAGATGCATTTTCTAAAAATAACTTATAATTTTAATCTGTTGTTTATTTTATTATTTTCTTTCTTTAACGATATATCCTTCTATTCAATTCTTTTTAAGATACATTTGATAATAAACAATCATTTGCATCTAAATTTTTCTATATTATTAACTCTTTAACTTATTATGCTATCTCTTTAGTTGATTAAATGCCTAAACTTTTTGGAAGGGTTGCTATTTAACTACAATCTGTTAAATGTTTTAATTTAATTAATGACAGATATTTAGCTTAAAAATTAGGTAATCTCATTAACATAAAAACTATTGCAAGATCTCTTCTATCATTATCTATTAAATCTTATAACATCTATTTGAAATATTGCTCACGTTCTTCAATATTTAAATGTTGAAAAGACTATTTTGTAATAGCTTTAAATTCTACATATAATCTATTATACTCTCTTTTAGAAAATGATACATCTATATTAAATAAATCTATTACTATGATATTTCATCAATTATTTTAATATTGATATATTTTTTTTGTTCTCCTTCAAAAAATTAAAAATCTCCGATAAATCCATTGTATTTTTACCTTTTAATAACATAAATGAATAAAATTGTATTAATACTCGAATGTGTTCTTCTCTTTTTTCTGGTGCATATTCTCTTAAATATTTAACCTAATTCAAACATTCTTGAAAATAAGTAGCTAACTCTATAAAATTATGCTTAATTTAATACATACTTTCCTAAGAAATTTTAGAATTCTCAATTGCAATATCTAATTCAAATAATTAGTTTTAATCAGTTTTGTTTTAAAGACATTCTTGATGCTCTTGAAATGCTTTTTATAATTCAAAAATATGGACTTAATTTAACATGTGCTTTGATATTGTTTCATTAACATTATTTTAAATTTTGCATTGTATTCTACATGCCTTACAATAAAGGGTATTGTTTTGATTTACTATGTAAATTGTTCCTAAAAAGAGATCTTCTTGATTGAGAATCATTTATAAAACTGTTTCAAATAGAAAGAAGGTCTCATTAATAATTTATAATTTTTAACATACATTTATTTTATTAAAAATAAAATAATCAATTTTATTTGTTAGTTAGATAATCTACAAATACTTAAATGTTTACATCTAATTATTTTATAAGTCAGAAGTATGTAAACAAATTAGATAAAATTAATGAATTTTTGTAAGTTATGTTATATATTAAAACTTAAAAAATTATATATAAAGGATAAAAAAAAAGAAAATAGCAAATGCTTAATGGAACACCCTTCAAATATACAAAGATAAAATCAATTTTGGAATTTATGTATAATAATAATCAAATTTCTGAAAAAGTATAAAATACTTAACCAAAAGCGATATAAAAAAAGAATTCGATTGAAAGATTTAGAATAAATGTTTATTGTAACATAATTATATAGTAATTTTTATTAAACAAAAAGTTTAATTGAAAGAAGCTATTAATTTAGAACTAAAGATCTTAAATGTAAAATTATTCTGGAAATATTGCAAAATAATTTTTAAGCGTTTGTTTTTTTGAATAGATTTGTTAGAAACTTAAATTTATTTTAGTAAAGTAAGATTGATTCAAAATTTAGTAATTTTAATTTTCTAACCAGCTGAAATATTAATATTCCTTTGTATTGCATATTAAAGTAATTCAATAAATAAATTTGATTACAGTTTTCAAATAAATCAATCATTAGGAAAGTTAATTCTACTATTTTTGTAGAAAATTTTAAATATTCTTCCAAAATTTGAAGAAAAAAAGGATGATATTTTTATATTTTAATGAAAAACTCTATCATAAGCTTAAAATGTAATGTAAAGAATTTAATTCTAGAGAAATTTAAATAATTGCATAACTTAATAAGAAAGAAAGTAATATAATAATTATAATATTTAATATGTCTATTTAAAATTCCAAAAAGGTTAGGTTTATATATGAATTAAATTAAGCAATTTAATAAATTCATTAATTTTAATAATTATGATCAAATATATTTTGATTGGAGCACTTCTCTTTTTGGTTTAAATAACTTATGTAAATGGAAGTATAAATAAATTGTAAATTAGATTGTATGTAATTGGCTTAAGATTTCAAATGCACATATATGCATTTATAATGTACAGATAATAATAATGGTGAATGTTCTTGTGAAGATGGTTCTACATGTAGATGGAAAGATGGTATTGGAGATGATAATTGTCCTTGTGGAGGAGCTAAACCTAGAAGAAGAAGAAGAAGAGTACACGATGGTCTGTGAATAAATCCTGAATTATAAAATCAAACATATTAATTTTAATTTTTCATGTAATCTCTAAGCTTTAATGCTTTCATCTTAACAATATGATAAAATGTATATCTACCTTATTATTAAAATATTCTCTTTTCTTACTAACTTAATTTCTTACCAATTTATTAAATTACATGATTTGCATTATTATGAATCATATAATTTGTATATTGATACATTTTATCAATATCTATTGAAACATTTTAAATTTATTTTTCTAAATCGATAAGACAATTAACCTCTGTTTCAGCAAGATAATCAATTAAATTTTTGCATTAAATACTTGGAACATTTTCCAAATTTTATGATTTTACAGGACCTTAAGTTTATATAGGTTCATTATCAATTAAATTAAGTGTATTAGATTACAATTCTATTTTTTAAAAATGAGTTGGAGATTCATTATTGTTAGTAGGATTTTATCCAAGAATTTGAGATATTTCTTATTACATATAACTCTTTACTGATACTTAAATAGTATTAAGTACATCAAGTGTATTCACTTTTAATTTAGTTCTTTACCTTTAACATCGAGTATTGTTTTCACTTTGAAATTGCAATTTTTTAAAGCGTTATTCAAAATTTGGTTAATAAGTAAGTTTAGGACATTAAATATCTAAATGAGAATAGCTTTTGCAAATATTGCATGGAATTCTTAATTTAGAGAAATCTTTATATAGATTTATTTAATCTTTCATTTGATGAAATTTTTCAAAATCTCGATGATTTCTTTTTATAATCTGTAAGAATTAATTTCTTTCTAATTTATAGATTTAACAGAATTCTAGGGCTTTGATTGTTTCTAATGGTTTAAATCCACTAAAAAATGAATATTCTCCAAAAGTATTTCCAGCTGTGATTAAATTCAAAGTATTTTAACTTTTCTCCTCTATTACTTAGAGAGATCCTGATTATAAATAATATAAACCATCATCTTAGCTTTAATTTTATTAGAATAAAAGTTATCCAGGAAACATCAATTTCTTAGTTAAAATTGAAGCAGTATTTGCTAATGTTGATTTAGAAAACAATCCTTATAAGACTTTCATCTTTTCAACCATCTTTTTTTTAATATTTTATTATAGTTCAAGTCTCAATTCTTATGGCAATTCTGATATAATTGTATCAAGAGCTTAAACATTCTCTTAGGATTCTCTTTCGTTTTATAATTATAAATAATTTCTTATTTTATGTTAAGTAGATTAATTAACATTATTAGAATACATATAAGTATTTACTAATTGTAAAGTTTTTCTTAAATATATTTTATTCTTTACCTAAATCTATAATTTTAGTTTTGAATTGCATTTAGTATCATTCCTATTGAATTCATAGAATATCCAAAAATACAACTAGATACTAACATCATGACATTCGAAAATAATATCTCATAAAAGTTTGTAGCAGTAATATCTCCATATCCAACTGTAACCATTGTCATTGTAGCCCAATAAAATGCTGCATTATATTTCTCACTATTAGATTTATCACTAAATTCATATTTAAGAATCCAACTTTATCCTAAATATTATGTTTTATCCCCAATATAATACCACAAACATGCAACTATATGTGCAAAAAAGTATAGATTAAGTAATAATGTAAATAAATCTAAAAGATTTGTTTAATATTCTTTAAGGTATAATTATGATGTACTAATTGAATATTTTCTAAATATTCTTATAACAATCAGAAATATTTAAAATATTACTAATATCTCAAAGTATACATTGCTACTTTAGACAAAAATTTAAAGCATCCAAATTAAAAATCCTAGAAAATCCAAAAAAAATCCTCCTTTTAAATAAGTTTCTGTTATTATCATTCTACTTCTAACAAATTATCCATTTATTAATATAGACCTATTAAAATTTAGAAAAATTTCGAAACCAGTGTTTATTAAGAGTATGATTTCTAATAAAATGTCATTTGTTGAAAAACTTAAAATTGTAGCCAAATATGCACAATACCATAGATTTACAAAGTCTAAGATTAAATTTATAATGTCCCAATAGAATAAGAAACGACTATTAGATGTCATTAGGGGGATTAAATGGTCTGATTCATCTTATAACTATATTTAAGATTTAATAATCTACTTATTCAGACTTCACTTTGGTTAATTTCAAAACAGATTCAATTTTACTTTTCAAATCCTTCTATAAAATATACGATTGTTCTAATATATTTTTTTTAAATTGATTAATGAGTTTATTTCTTTGAATTAATTTAGAAATATTTGAAGTTTGATATTTTGGAATTTGATGTAATTAAATTTTCAATTTTTTTGGTGTGAAGCTACTCATTAATTAATTCACCTATATACATATATTAAATACTTTGTTATTTGGCAATTTTATCATTTGTTTTTTTATGTTTAAATTCTAGGATTATAGCCCCAGGTTTAGAGAATTTCTGTCTGGAGTAACATTTAAATCAGACAATTATGACTATATAAATGATTCATCTTTTTCCTTATAACATTCTTAATGGGGAAATGCAAAAGCTTTATGTTATTGAATACTTCCTTATTATTAAGAAATCATCAAATTCTGCTGAATTAAACTCTAAAATAAAAATAATTAAAATCATAGATGTAAATCAAAACTTTAAGATTTTTAATTACATATAATGTTTTAAAAATGATTTAAGATTCTAGTTATTCTTAAATAATATAAATATTACTTAAATTAATTTCCTTCTCAAAATTAACAATATGACCTTATTGTAATGATCACATTAGTGGATAAAATCATTTTCTTTCTGTTTTCTACTGAACAGAAAATATAAATTATTTTAATTATAATTTATTATTATTTAGAAGAGAAAATACTTATTGAAATAGAGAAAAGATTAATGAACCAAATATTTACTTTTTTGAGATAAATTACTAATTATTTATTGTTGTTATAACAAAAGTTAATAATCAAAAGTTTTTTTAGTAAAATGAATTTGTTTGTGAAATTCTTTATGGATAATAATTAAGAATAAATTAAAGAGGATTCTTGATGATATATCTTTAGCAAAGAGTTCTTTGAAAAAGGTTTTAAGATTGAAGTGATTAATTTTTTAATTTAAATTTGATAAAATACTTTTTATATCTAAACTTTATTCAATTTATATGTAGAGAATTTTTTGTTTTTAAGGTTTGTTACATTTAAATTTCTTAGGAATATAAATAAAATTAGAATTTTATTTTGAAATATTATTGATATTAAATAAAATGCAAATTCCAAATAACAATGGTAATGCTTATCCTTAATATTATTATCCTTAATAAGGTTATGTTTAATATCCATAAATGTATCCTTAATAACAATATTAATAATATCCTGGATAACAAATTCCATAATAATAATATGCATATTAAGTAAAATAATAGAAAGCTGTAATTGCTCCAAAGAAACCTGCTCCATTTTCTTTTGAACCAGGAAGCAACAAGGAATTAGATGATGCTTTGAATAGTATTGATACAATGTACAATGATATGTTTGACACAGTTGATAATTAAAAAATGAAATAAGAACCAGGTATATTTAAATAATAATAAATAATAGTATAGGAGAAGTAAGAAGAATATTATATAGGTATTCCAATAGATTAGAAAAATGACGGCTAATAAAATTAGTTAAATTAAGTGCCTAATGGTTTTGGGAATATATGTTAGGATCCAGAGAAATGGAATTATTATAATGGGAACCGTAATTCATTTTATTGATTATGGATATTCATTCTATAGAACATTACTAAAATATTATTAATATAAGTATATTTGAAGATTTATTATTCTTATGTTATAATGTATAAAATATAAGGGGATATAGTGTTAATATAAATATTAATAATCAATGGCTAATGGCGTAACAACAGAATGGGAAGATATTCATGTAAAACATGGAAACTATGTGGAAAGAGAGAAAGTAACAACTTTAAAGGAAACATATTAATAAGCAATATCTAAATTAGAAGAAAAACAAGAGAGTGATGATGATTTTTTTGAAGATGATGAATTTACTAAATAATATAAAGCATAAAGGTATATGTGTATATTAATGAATATAGACTTTAATAAATGATGGAGTAAGCATAAAAGAAACTATATGGAGAGGTCTATGAGATATCTAGAGATGAATATGTTAAATAAGTTACTGAAGCATCTAAGGATAGATTTGTTGTGTTATCTCTTTATTAAGATTATATTATTGAATCTTTAAAACTTAATGAAGTATTAAGTGAACTAGCTAAATAATATAAAGAGATTAAATTTGTAAAGATGGTAGCAACTAAATGTATTGAAAACTTTCCAGATGATTAATGTCCATGTTTTATTATTTATAAAGATACTAAAGCTGTCTCTAACATTCCATTCATTCATAAACTCAGGAAAATTACATTTGCTTCTATTGAAGATTTACTTATTGGTTAAGGTAAACATTTAAATTATTATTAGGTGTTATTCCTAAACCACCTGATGAAGATGAATAATATGAAGAAATCAAAGATAAACTCAAAAATCCATATAAAACTAACAATGTTAAAGATGTTGATGATGAAATTAATGATAGAGAATATTCTCATCAAATTAATTTCTAAAAACCTAAATGAATTTCTATATGTATTCTATGGAATTTATTTATTAATTTATTAATCACTCATTTTATTTATTAATATATCTTTCTCTATTTATATAATCACTTATTATTATCCATAATCTTAATACTATTATATAATTTATATTTTACAATTATTACCGCTATTATTTATTTTTTATAAATTAAAAAAATGTTAAATTCAAAAAAGAAGCAAATAATTTGCAATCAATTTGAATTATTTAAGGATAAGAAATTTAAGTAAATTCCTTCATTAAAAGTATATTTTATATATCATATTTAGTTAGTTAAAGTTGAGAATCCTAATTATAAAGAATAAATATTTAATGAGTCTAGCGCTGAAGATATTTTTTAATAAATGGGAAACAAAGATAATAATTAAAATTAACAAATAAATATAAATCAAGAATCTAAAATCTCTAAATATGATGATTGGAAATCTTATTATAATTCAAGATTAAAAGAAGTTAAATTAGAAAGACCTGAACTTAATCATAATTAAATGACACAATTAATATCAGAAGAATGGAAGTTGTTAAAAAAGTAATTCAAAAAAGCTCCTTTATTTTCAAATCAAGATGAAGAAGTAATTAGTAAAAGGAAGTTAAAATAATTTAAGGATAATTCAAAATTTTGTTCAGAAATTATTATTGAAAAATAAGAATCTGATGGAGAACTTGATTTTAATCCTTTTGAATGTGCCAAATTTATTGAAGATTTGAGACTAAAGAAATTTAAAATAGTTATTAATGATTTGCCATATGAACTTCCAGGAAATGCTATTATAGAAGCAGTAAATAATGATTCAGTTCTAATATATTTGAATTAAAATAATAATAATAATAATACAAATACAGTTAATGGAACACCCAATGAAAAAATAAATCCAAATTTAGAGAATATATTAAGTGATAGTGAATAGAGCATTTGCAGAGGAAACGATGATTTTATTTTGTAAAACAATATTAAATCATTTTTATGATCATTAATAATAATTATGTTACCCATTTAGAAAATAATAGCTCTAAAAAATTTTTAAATTATTATTTATACGACACTAATGTTTTTTTTATTTTTACAATAATTTTAATTTAAAAACTTATCAAAATATTACGAATATTATAAAACTTAAACTAAATTGATACATAAATATAAAATTTGATATTTAATTGTAAGTTTAAAACACCATAAAATTTTTACCTATTAATCTTTATAATTTTCTTTATAATTCTGTTTAAATAAACAAATATTTGTTTTTCAATATATAGAGATAGTTTCGAATAAATAAATATAAAGAAGCAATCCTTTACAATTTTATATTTAAGTTCATTAGACTGAAACAATAATAATTCCTGAGATAGAATGTAGATTGAATGTCTCACAATAAAATCTCTAGTGGCATTATTTAATCCAATAATATCATCAAAAAGAAAAAGCTGATGATTAGGAATAATGATTATATTCATAATAAATCTCTTTAAACTTTATGATTATATATTGGGATATTTGATATTCGATATATTAATGATGATTAAAAAATGTTTAGTTTATTGAGGATAGATTTTAGATGATTGAAAATATAATATAATAATTTGATTTTAATATTTACATTATTTTATATATATTGATAACATAGTTAAAAAGCACAAGATTAAATTATAGGATGATTGACAATGAGATCGGATTATAACCGTTTTTGTATTAATTTAATTAAGATAAATAATTTTTATAAATTTTGTTAAGATAACGTTAGTTTAAAAGCATCAGATCTTGAATTTGAAGAATTATTGCAAGCATCAAAATAGGAGTAATAATAAAATACAGGAACTTAATCAAATGATGTGTTTAAGCAATTTATTTTTATTGAATGATTTAAAGACAAGAAATATTGAAGCATATGGAGTAGCAGATGGAAAGAATATTCTAGATGAAAAAATAGAATAGTTTAGAATTGCAGCTTCACAAAAAATTTTTGAATTAAATTAAAAAGCATGGACAAAAGAATAAAATAAAAATAGTATAATAAAAAGGAAAGCATAATATTATATAGTTTGTGTAACTTAAAGATTAGTTGATATTGATTGAAGAGAAGTAGAATTATTAAAATAATTTTATTATTTTATATTATAGACGAAAATGTCATAATTGACGAAATTATCCATATATTTAAATTATAACTCTTAGAAATAATAAATTAAAACTCATATGCATATAAATATTATTATTATGAATTTAAATAGATAGATATAGATATATATATATAATTATAAATATCAATTAATCCATTTATTAAATTATCCATGATGCCAAATTCCTTCTCTTTCTTTTCCTTAAGGAGTATATTAAATTCCTTTTCCATGTTACATTCCATTAGCCCATTAACCTTTATACATCCATCCATCTGGCCTAATTGAGTAAAATGTTAGAATTTACCATATAAATACTCCTTGTCCATGTTCTTTATCATTTTCATATGATCCTTCATATTTTCTAGAATCTACCCATTAATAGATTCCTTGTCCATTTCTCTTAATTTAACCATCTTATGTTATAACCCATCCAAAATATCTATCTCCATTTTTATATTCAATTTTAACTTACCCTTGAATTAGATCATTAGAAAATTCTCCTTCATAAACATTTCCTGTAATTAAATCTGTCAATCTTCCTTCTCCAGATTTGAGATTATTTTTAAAATCTCCCTAATATTCATATTTGCCATATAATATATCTTTTCCTTTGCCATGTTTTAAATCTTCTTCCCAATCTCCTTCATATAAATAATTAACACTAGAGAATAATCCTTTACCATTTGCTTTACCATTTTATGAGAATCCTTCAAAATAATCTCCTGATGCCATTATCATTCTTCCAAATCCAAATGGTAATCCTCCTCTCCAATATCCTTCATAATATTCTTAACCTATTATAGCTCTACCCCAACCAAATCTCTAATTATTTTATATCTAACCCTCATATATTATTCCATCTGGAAATTAACATGGAGGTACACTCTCAATATTATTTAATAATGAATCTTATTATGGTGGTACTAAATGTCCTATCTTATTTAATGTTTATTAAATCACTTAACTCACATGTGGAAACTATTCTAATGTCTTGACACTCAGTATCTAAGATTAACTATTAGATCTATAGAATCTCTAACTTTAATGACCTGTACTTATAAATTATGATCCTCCCAGAGTTCTTTATATTACTTAAGATTGTTTTAATTATTAAGAACACTCTAATGATCCTTAATATAAACTTCTCTTCATATCTTCCACTGTTTAATAATCCTATGTAAGATCTAATAATTTCTAAAATAAATAATTCAAACTAAGAGTGAAATCATTCTTTAATAAATTATATTATTGCTATTGATTCTATGTGCTCTTGTATCTAACTCTATTACTTTATGATGATTATAATGTGCTAACAACATTATTCAAACAATTCAAAATCTCACATCTTAATTAATTCAGATTTCCATTTCTTCATATTACACTATTTTATACTTATTAATAATCTACAACAATGATTATTCAGATACAGGTAATTCTTTATCTTACTCTTTTGAAAATATTGTGTTGAATAAATAATTGTTATTCTCATTCCTTTTTTACTCATTCAATTATATCTCCTATAATTACTATTTAAAATTTAGATTTTTTGCTTGCTATTCACATAAATCTCTTCTTATTATCTCTTAAATCTATTTCTTTGCTTTATCTTAATACTCACAGAATATTTTAAACAACTACTATATATCACAATCTAACTCTAATGCCTCCTTGTCAATCAATTAATTATACTCCTTTAATCTTTTATCTAAATCTTAAAGTGCACTATTTATATTTGGTATCAAAACACTTTTTGTTTTCCCATTCTACTATTATAAAAAATCATTCAACTAATTTAAATAATTTTTGTGTTCATTTTTATGTTATAAGTTTCCATTTATACCTATTATACTTCAATCTATTTATTTACATTATTAACAAAGAAGATTACCATGATTGCAATTTACCTTTGTACAAACAAATGATATCTAATTACCTGGATGTTTGCGGCATTAAAGTACATATAACATTTTATAATTATTTAATTATTTTATTCATTTTGGAGTACTTATTGATAACTATGGTGCTTAACTTTAATTATCTATTTTCTAATTATATATATCCTTTGTATCTAATTCTGGTTGCATCTTTATAGTCCAATCACTTTTTATATACTTTGTCTCATTTTCATTATTATTTATATCTCCCTTCCCTTTATTATATGAATCATTATGATATTATTTATCATATTTATTATGTCTCTCATACTTATCATACTTATCATACTTATCATACTTATCCTTTCTATCATGTCTATTATATTATCTATCTTAGTTATCATGTTTAAATCTTCTTTCCTATCTAAATTAATTCTCATATTTATCATTTCTATCACGTCGATCTGTATAATTATTTTTATCATCATATCTTCCTCTCTCATATTAATTATCTACTCTATAATCCTTTTATTTTATATTTGAATAATCACAACTATATTTCTTTTTTTCTTAATCGTTAAACTCTAATTTTTAGTTATCTTTGTAATTATTAACTTTATATTCATCTTTAACACCTACTTCTGTCTCTCCAATCCCAATTATAGATCTTAAAATCTCAATTATACTTTTGCTTTCAGAATCTCTTGCAAATTGATCTAAAATATCCAACAATGTAATCTTTTATAAATTACAAATCAATCTATCTGAATTTATCATAGGTGGAATTGAATTGTTCTTATCTTATGCCTAATTTGTTGCATTACTTTTTTTCCTTATTATTGGCTTAGAGTAGTCCATTTATATCCTCAAAATTACTTAAATTTTATGATAAAGTAGAATTTTTTCATATTAACTTTTAAACACTACAGTTAAATTTTAGTTATTAAATTTAATATACTCATTAAATAGCATTATATATGTATTAAAAAATTCATAACAAATATTAGAAAAATTCAGTACAAGGTACTTAAGAAGGTCTAAAATTTAGGATTAGACAATCTTTTAGCTCCTATTTCCCAAGAATACTTTTTTTATTATTAAATAATTTCTTCCATTTTTTTTATTTACATTTGCATTTATAACAATTATGGATTAATTTCTTATGAATTAATCGTCTTTTTTCTTTCAGGCTATTTCTTGAATCTCTAGAAAGATAAGAAATTTCTGGGTAATGTATGTTTAGGAAAATCTGCTGTGGTTCGATAAATCATTAATTCTTTAGATAACCTGAAATCGCAATATTATTTAACAGGTGTTGCTTTAAGTAACTATCTCTAAGGTTGATCAATGCTTTTAACTCTATTTCTTTAAAATTTAATTGGAAATTCACCACAAGTAGTAGTTACATTGAGTTTATTTAGCTTTGAATAGCTTGTTTTGGTTGTTATAAATTTGTTCTTTTCTTCTTAACTAGAATACAAAGGTAGTTATGGTTCGTTAAATTCTTCTAATATTGCTTTAGAATTTTAATTGACATCCTACCATGGACCAACATCGTCAGTATTGAATTTATCTTAAATAATATTTTGTTATTACATAATTTATTTTTTTATATCATCTTTACATTTTATGCTTTTAATTTTACTACTTCAAAGATTTATCAATCAAAAATACTATAAAATAATCAAAAAGAATTTATATGTAATACATTTATATTAAAAAACTATAAATATTAAATGTTTGAATTCCATAAAAATTTTATTTTTATTAATACTACAAAATATTAGACATCTAAACTTAAATTCATGTTAATTTGCCTCTTTCATTTTAAAAAAGTGGTATTGGTTTGCATATTTTTTCTAAAGTTCCTCTAAGATATATTGATATATTTGACAAAATCTAAGATAGAAATTATTTATAATGGGTTCTCTCCTGAATCAAGATTTTTATTGAATATAATTATAATTAAGTTTGAATATCGGACTAGCAGGTCTGTATTTCTTAATTAATGATTCTTCAATATGTATTTTCTGGTTAACATTTATATAATAGTTGATTGATTTTATATTTAATAAAGCTTATTATTCAGAAGGTATTTTTTAATATTTATTTTCTTGAATTGAGTATCCAAAGTTATTCTATTCTAAAGAAAAGAATTATATTAAATTTATAATAATATTTTGATTGAATGATTTGATTTTACAATCAATCTAAATGAAAATTAGAAATCTGTCTTTTATGAATTTACTCAAATTTTATTTTAATAGATATTAACTTCTGATGAATATAGATTTACTTATTAATCTATTTCATACTTCTAAAATTGAATTTGAAAGTTTGTAGAATGTTTTATTATAAAAGTTATAAACGCTTCCTTATGATTCTTAAACTTAATTGATAATAATATTTAACACATTTATTGATAGAGGCTATCATAATAATTTAACAATCGCCTACTTAAATAAATGATCCAATCTCAAATTATTATGATTTAAGACTTTAATGTTTAAATTATAAATTTAATTTTGTATTCTTATATAATGGTTTATGAACTTTATTATAATTCTAAAATTTTTTCTAATTTAGTATTCATCTATTCTTAAAAATATTAATTATCATTTTGAATTAACTTAATAATTCAAAATATGGTTTTCTGTTATATAAATTTCTCCATATTGAAAAATAATTTAATTGTTATTCTCGTACTTTATTTGTAATACTGTTTTTCTAAGTAAATATTTTAGAAATGGCTCTCGTTATTTCTATTCTATGAATTGTTTCAATTTGATTTAAATTTCTTAGATCTAACATTTTATAATTAAAATTTTTATAATGTTTAAATTTATTTTTGCCATATATCTACACATTTATGATATATATTCTTATTTCTTAAAGTTGCGTTCCAACATCTTTTCATTCATACTTGATAAGTATTTTAAATCCTCCGATTTAATTAAAAAAGTAACGAAAATTATTATTATTAATTCTTGGCTCATTTCCTTTTATAAAATGATGAAAAAATCAAATTAATCCAGTATTCTCCATTTAAATAAACATAAACAAAATAATCCAATAAATATTTATGATAATTTAAAGTGAAAGAAATATTAGTTCACGAAGATCCAGTATTGGACCAACATTCACAAGAAATCCTTCATATATATAATATAGAAAATAAAATTCAGATTGCTCTATTTATTCAGAATCAAAAGACTAAGCTGAGTCAATAAAACAATTTAAATAAGAATAAGAGGAGAGATAGTCAAGAGCTTAGTCTATATATAGTTCATTTACTGTATTATGCATTCTAAAGTTAGAGAAAATTATTTTCAAAAAGTGGAGAGAACAAAAAATAATTTAGTGAATCTGGCCAAGTTACTAACTTTTTAAAACAAATCAAAAGTAAAGCTATAGTGAATAGATTTATCTCAAATCTTTTTAGGAATTCATACATTCTACCTTAAAAAATGTAGTCATAAATCTAAGATGAGTACATATCTAAATTTACTTCCTATTCTAGATAACTATTGAGTAATATTTATTTAATATATTAATAGATTCAACAGATAATCCTTAATTTATTTAAATATTTCAACCAGGTAGCTAATTGTTAATGTATTGGGATTTGATTGGAATTATTATAAATATGATTTCTTTATGGTTAAGCCCTTTTTAAGCAGCTTTTACTTATCAAGCTCCAGTCATTTTAATAGTCACCATTATTTGGTATTTATTTTTGGAGATTTTGGTGAATTTAAATAGATCCACCATTTCATTTGGAGAAATCATTAATACAAGAAGTTAGATCATAAAACATTATCTTAAAGGATAAGGAGCATAAGATATTATAAGTCTTATAATTTGGATAATAATATTCAATAAACCTGAAGAAAGTTTAGTTTTTGAAGTACTTCAAATAATATAAATAATTGTCACAACTAAAAAAATAATAACAAATTTTGATAAATTTTTTGAAGCTTTGTATTCCAAAGGATAATTATCAAATTTAATTGATTTATTTTCTCTTGTAATAACAATATTCTTTTTTGCTCATATAACAGCATGTATATGGTATTATGTTGGATTAAAGAGTGATCTTCTTTTAGATAAATCATGGTTAAAGAAATATGAAATTGAAGATGAAAGTATAATGATGAAATATAATTATTCAATATATTGGGCTACAACTACTATTGTAACAGTTGGTTATGGTGATTTGACACCTTAAAATTGGATAGAAATAGTATTCACAGTAATTATGATGTTTTTATCAAGTTGTGTTTATGCATATTCACTCAATTCTATAGGAATTATTTTGAAGAATATTTAAGATACAAAGTATTAATATAAAAAAATGCTACTCAGAATTAATGATTATATGGACAAAAATAAAGTTGAAATGGAATTGTAATTAAGAGCTAGAAACTTTATTAAACATCATTTATTTGAAAATGAAAATTAAGAAAGTTAAGAAGAAATTAATAATATTATGGAAAAACTTCCAGAAGATTTAAGAAATCAAATTACAAAATCGATTCAATTAAAAATACTTAATTAGATAACATTTCTTAAAGATTTGTTTTCAACTTAAGCAGTGACTGATATATCTCGATATCTAGAAACTTTATATTTAATTTCTAATGATGTAGTGTTTTCATAGAATGAATCTACTGATTCTAGTTTGTATTTTATTTGATAATAAAATAGATATTTTGTCCAATCAGGATAAATTGCTATATTTGAAGAGAAATCTAATAAAACTTTAGTAACATTAAATAGAGGTGAGAAATTTGGTGAATACTCATTTTTTACTGGACTTTATCCAAAATATTCTGCTAAATGTGTTAGTGATGCAGTTCTTTATAAAATATAAAGAGAAAAATTCTTATAAATAATTTAATATTACTAAAAAGATTTTTAAAGGTTTCATAATATAAAAGATTAAATACTTCTTAATTCTGATTATTCAAAGTGTATTTCAAGTTGTTAAAATTGTAGATTATTTACTCATGAAATAATAGATTGTCCAATATTATAATATAAACCAAATTTAGAACAAAGATTAAAAGTAGCAGCTTATAAAGAGAATGAAAATCTAAGAAAGTATTAAAAAAGATCATTACATAAATCTAATTGTAGAAAACTTTGTAATAAAATAGAATTATCAATTAAAGCATTTCAAGATGAAAATGAATCAAAAGTTTAAATTTCTGATTATTAATCTGGCAATATATATAAAACTACTTTTGAAGAAAGAGATAAATAAACATTTGAAGAACCTAAATCTAAGATAATAATTAATGATTAAGATCATATTTCTCAAACTCATTTTGTTTCATCAAATTAAGTATAATAGAAAAGACATTAAACATAATTTAGACCTTCTATTATAGCGTAAATACCGAAAAAAAAAATGACAATCCTTTAATAAGAATTTAAATCTTAAAATTAATTATTAAATAATTCAATCAATTCTTCATAATTTAATAAGCTTTAATCTGATTTATTATTGGTATCATTTCATTAAACTAGCTTGTAACTTGATTAAATGATGAATTATAAAGAATACATGCCATAAAATAATATTTCAGCAATTATCATATAGTTAGAGAAGAATAAAAATAGATAATATAAAAGAAGAAAAAGGGATTTAGAAGATTTAAATAAATATACGTTCTATCATTATGTGAAGACTACGGCAATTAAAATTAGAAGAGCTTAAAGAAGGATGGCTTTATAATGGTGATTCTTAATAATAATTTATAATTAATATCATTTAATCTTTAATTACTTAAATTTCATTTTTAAGATATCAGGAGAACTGAGTTATCTTAAATTTGTTTTATTCTAATTTTAAATTTCTTAAAAGTTTAATCTCGATTTCGAATTTTATGAATTTTAATTGGAAGTTGATAAAGTAAAATTTTAAGTAGTTTTTTTATTTAATTTCCAAACTTTTTATGGAGGAACAAAATAATTAGTTGTTTTTTTGATTTCATTATGAAAAAATGGAATTTTTCCTAAATTTTTCATTTTATATTTCATTCCAAGCAATTTTAAAATATTGAAAGCAATTTCATCTTAGGATAGATTGTTTTAAATAAAATTACCATATTATTAATATCTTTATGTATAATTTTATATGATATTTCCATCAAGTTCTTGATCATCATCCCAAATATTAAAAGAATCTTTAATATCTTATGAACTTGTAATTGTAGGTGTTTTATTGTAACCTCTGATTTTGTCTCTAATTTTTTATTAATGTGTTGAAATAATATTGATTGGTTGATTATTTTATATATCATCTATTTTATAATCTATAGACTACTAAATATTTTGATATAATTCTAAAATAATAGATAAAGTAAAATACAACTAACTTTAGGAGATCTTGAGGTTTCAATATAAGAGGAATTAGAGTAATTACTATTTGAACTAATAGGAATTTTAGTAATCCTTTTAGGCATATTAATAGTGATAGGTTATAAGTTTTCCTTGTTATTTTTCTTAATCATAAAAATGAAGTTGAAAATTAGTTAGAATTGACATAAATATTATATAATTCTGAGTAATTATGATGAAAGAGTAATTGAAATAAAGAAATAATATTAAAAGTATGAAATAGAGAGAGAATTAAGAAGTATGTTAGTTTTAATGATGAGATTGAGTAAATATTAGATTAAAATTTATATATTATTGAATTTGTAATAAATAGAGAAATGGGAGATAAAGATGAAAAGGGAGATAAACAGAAGATAAAAATAACAAGATTGATAATATTAATCTTATCAGCTCTTTTATTATTTGGAAATAATTATTCTTTTGACAACCCTTAGGCATTACAATCTTAAATAATGGAAGAAGTGCATATTTCATTGACAGAATTTAATTACTTATATTCTTTTTTTAGTTTACCAAATATCTTACTAACATTAATAGGTGGATACATAATAGATAGAATTGGTATTGAATATAAATAGAGTTAGGTTGTCGAAAGAGTATACTAATATTTGCATCATTAGTTACCGTTTCTTAAATTATTATAGCATTTGGTGGTAAATATAAGAGCTTTAACTTAATGTTAATCGGTAGAGTATTTTTAGGTGTAGCAAGTGAAAATTTGATTATATCATAAAATGTAATAATTACAGCATGGTTTAAAGGACATCAATTATCAACTGTAAATATAATTCTTTATATTAGGCAAGTGGATGTATAGTTACATTACCAGAAATAGCAGCAGCATTAAATTCTTATTTTTCACCTATGATCTATGATTATACAGGAAGTATCACATATCCATTGTTTACAAGTGTTCTTGTATGCTTCTTTTCACTTTTATGTGCATTTTTATTATTATTTTTTGATAAATCTAGAGAATCAATTTTATCATAAGAAAAATTAGAAAAATCTACTATCTCTAGTAATGATGAAACACATGACAATTTAAATGATAATTAATAAAATAAATAAAATAATATTCATGCTGAAAAAGCTAGATTATAAGAAATTAAGGAATTTCCAGCATTATATTGGTATTTAACTGCTATTTGTACATTATGTTTGGGAATATATATCTCCTTTATGGATGATGTAAGTGATTATTATCAAAAGAAATTCTAATTTAAAGCTGTTGAAGCTGGAAAATTTATTACTATTCCTTATATATTTAGTGCTTTATTATGTCCATTTATCGGATATTATATTGATAAAGTTGGTCATAGAAGATTTTTCTTAATGATTACATCTTCTCTATTTATTATAGCTTAGATATTATTTGGATCTGTTCATGTTGCTAGCAATGACAAATGGATTGCTGCTATACCATTAATTATTTAAGGTTTGGCATTTACTTGTTATTCTTGTGTAATGATACCTTGTGTATAATATTTAGTAGATTAAAAATATATGGGAACAGCATTTGGAATATTAGGTATGTTTGAATCAATTGCTTTATGTTGTTTCCCACTTATTGCTAGTAAAATTGTTGAATCTGCAGAAGATCTATAAACTGGATATAAAAATATGTCACTTTTCTATTCTATTTTAGGTATCATCATTTCATTATTTTAGGTCTATTTTCTTTGTTTTTATGTATTGCACTTTATCATTATGAATCATCAAACAAATTAGATTTTATAGATCCTAATAATCCATTACCAGAAGAAATACGTAAACTAAATGAATATAGTATGATCACTGAAGAAAAGTGTTCTGTCTCAGAAGATAAATGATCGTACCTATATACTCATATTTTATTGGTATTTGAATTGTATATATTAATAATATATATAAATAAAATAATATATATTAATAATATTAATTATTTATTTCTTAATACAAAGGAATAATTTTTAGGAAAAATAATTAATAAAACATCAATTGAATAACTTTAGCTCTATTATTTATTTCATTTTATGATAGAGAAAGCATTATTCAAACATATTTTCAATTTTTACTAAAATACATATAAAAAATCAATCTCATTTTTTTAAAATACCATACTTTTTAAATCTTGCTCTCAAAGTCTTATTCTAATGCAAAATACTGTTTGGATAATTGTATAGATAAAATTATCTAAATTTTTTGTATTAAAAATTCATCAAGTTGTGAAAATATTTTTCAATAATCAAATAATATAACAAACACGTTAACTAAATGAATATCGTCCTTATTATTAATAATTTACAAATACACTAATGCTTTCTCTACTGAGATATATTCACTTATTTTAGAACTCATCTATTAATTAAATTCACTTATTGCTAACTTTTATATAGTAAATACTAATCCTTACACCTATTTAATCTTATAAAAAATTACTTCACTATATTCTAACAATCTTTTTAATGATGCTTTTTCAAATCTAGAATCACTTGAATTTGTTAATGAAATTGATATTTAATATAAAGAGTCATAATAAACAATTAATCCTTTTGTTAAGGCTCCATTTAATGAATATTAACATTATTACATTTCATATGATGATAAATCTATATTTTTGAGATAAAAAATACTTAGATTACTATGATTACATGAATTTCCATAAAATAATGATTATACAGTTTATAAATTGTTGTTATATACTTATTTACTTATTTACATTTATTAAAATTCACTTATTAGTTCTATATATTAATTTATATTAATTTCATCTTAATATTTTTAATTAAAGCAGTAAACATCTTTAATTGCAACTTAAACCCAATAAGTAAGTAAATTTTATGTGAAGGCATTACTTTACATAAAATATGATATTCCTCCTATTATTGATTATAAGTAGAAATTATAATATATACCCATCAATAATAATGTTGAAATAATGCTGACATAAATGATAAGAACTTTTATTGATAATCTAATCCAATGTTATGATTCAGTATATTTAATATTTGAACATTCCTAATCTTGTATTTCTTATAAATTATCTCTTTACATAAGGTTTTCTATTTGTCTTTAAGAATCTAAATTTATATTTATTTTAATACTATTTCCATTTAAATTGCTAATATTCAAATATTTTAATTATTGTCTCAAAGAAATTAAATACTTGTAGATTTAAACAAATTGCTATTTGTTTATCATTTGAAATGAACTTAGTAATAACTAAAAATATTATTAATTTATATATTCTACTTTAATTTTTTTTATCATCTAAAATAGTAACATAATATTTGAAAATATAATTGTTCCATTAAATAATGTAATGAAAAGTAGAAAAACTTGAAAAATTTCTTTGATAACTTCTAAATTAACTTTTATTTCCTAGTTTATACTTCCCATTGATTTATTTAAAGATAATTGTAAGTAAGGTATTATATTTTATCTACAAAATGAGATTGTTTCATTAAGATTGTTTTAATTAATATTTTAGAGAGCCTATAAAAAGATATTAATATTTGTTTTAAAAGATCCCATTAAATCAAGAATGGAAATGTTTTCATTAAAATCAGCATTTTCAGAGAATATAGAAATATAATCTTTTGTTTCTAAAGTTAATTAATTAAGTTCTTATACAGATTGCTAGGTAATTTGATTAATATTAGTTAGATTAACAATTTAGATATTTTTTAAAGATAAATCTAAATCAATAATTGAACTATATGTTTGAGATATTATTTATGCAAATGTTGTTACTAATTCTACCTTATTAAATGAATTGTAAATAATTGAACTAATATAATGTTATGGTCCAAAAATATATTCAGTAATTATTAATGCTACTAAACTTATTAATAAAAAGCGATTCAATAATTTAATATATGTTAATTCTTATAATGATTTTGGAATCTTATTTAAATCATCCTTAATAAATTCATTTTTGATCCAATTCTATTTAAGGAGTCCTTCATTTTATATTGCTTTTTGATTAGAAAAATCAATTTATAATTCATTTTCTGTAATCAAAGTTTTATTGATATTATCTCTAATTGAATCATAATCATTTTCTTAAGGTAAGGTTTAAAAATTAATAGATTAATTCTAAAAGAAGTTCTAAAAAAATATGTCTGAATTTCTTCTTAAAATAAATTAAGTAGACTATGAAGATGTTGTTTTCTTTCTATCTGATTAACTTGAATTCTAATGAACAATAGTAATTAATAATTTACAGTATATTTTTTAGCTTCTTGTTCATAGAATTCAAATCTATTAAGTTTTATAATTATTGTTTTGTCAAATGATGCTTTCGTAGTGAAATGAATAGAACCTTCAATTTTTATCACTTTACATAGATTATTTGTATTAGAACAGTATTCTTCAAAAAGCTTTTCTTTATAATATTATATTGTACTTATTTGAGAATAATGCTTCTTTTAACATAATAACCTATATTTTTATATTCTTCTCAATAATTCAAATTTATCAAATCTCAATAGTCCAAATTGATTTCTTACAATTATTTTACGATATCTTTATATTCTCATTGATTTTGTTATTTAATCATTTTAATATAAAGATCTTTTGAATTCTTAATAATCATCATTAAGTTGTTTTGAGTCTAATGGTAATCTTATATGTAAAGTAATATTGTTTTCATCTATTATCTTATGAAATTTCATATTATTCTTACCTAAACCCAATCCATTAATATTTTCATCAACAAGAGCTTAATCTAACAAATACTTAAAATTATCACCTCTTCCGTTAAAAAATCTTCTTGTTTAATGAGATTCATTAATTGTATTTTACTAACTTTATATATATTAAGTTAATTCTTATATATACTATGTTTAATGTTAAGAAATTCTTAATTAAAAGAAATCATAATCATTTTCTTTCATTAATAATTGATATTGAGAATATTTTAATAATTTAGGACATTAAATTAATAAACAACTTTATTTTGTAAATAATTAATCTAATTATGCAGTCATTGAATCTATTTCCCAATATTCATTCAATAAAATAAAATTATTAGGTGTCATTTTTATTATTGGTCTTATCATACAAACATATTCTATTTACATTTTTTAATTTATAATGCATTTTAGATATTTATTAGCTTAAACTATATGTGATGTCTCATTTATATAAAATATTTTTAATTTTTTAAATAAACTTTATCTTTTGCCATTCTCTATAAATTATCTCATTGCTATTTGATGATTCCTTTACATAGAATGAGGAATCAATTCAAATATTGAATTTAATTATTATTATCCATATAAATTTTAACAATTCTGACTAAATTTTAATATTTCTCCATTAATATTACAATGCAGAATTCCAGATAATAAATTAAATATTTTTTATTGATCATAAAAATGATCATTCTCACTATTTGAATCTGAATCTTCTTAAATAAAATCATCACTTTCTCCTGTTATTATCTATGACTATTTCACTTTTTTCTTTAAAATATTCTATCTAAACCAATTATAAAGTATAACAAATTCTTTTTTTCTATGTAAAAATGATCTTAATTCTACTTTATCATTCATTAATATTTATCTCCTTGTAATATCCTTCCAATTAATTTTTATTTCTTATATTTTATTTAGCATTTATTCAAAATCTTAAATCAACTCTTATTCATTAATATCATTTTATTTTATTATAGATTTGAACATTTTTATTTATAAGTTCATAATATAAATAATAGATCTTTAAATTTTGTTGATACATTCTTCTATTGATACAACTATTTCAAAATCAAATTTTTATTTATAACTTTAAGAACATTGAATTTCTATTTTCCTTTTAATGTTTATTGTTAATTTACAAAATTAATATTTCTCACTCAAAGATTTTAATTATGTATTCACTTTATATAATTCTATTAATGATTATGCATGTAAATTTATCTTATAAAATAAATATTATGCATATTGTAAACAAATAAAATGATTATTCTAATGATCATGAAGATAATCTTCATACCAAGATTTTATAACAAATTTAGAAAAGATATTCATATGTTTAATTATAGATGAAGATAAGTTTCTAATATCATTTTGCTTTTTTGGGTCATAAATCAATTTCATTTTACAATAACATCTTTTAAGATTATATTTAGTTTAATTATTCTTGCAATCAGAATTACTATGTGATCTAATAATTCCTAAGACAAGAATTAAATTTGATGATTAATCCCTTTTTTTAATTATTTATTCAAATGAATAAATTTTATTCAGTAATGTTTATTCACTGTTTACTTTAAAAAATAAACAAGATTTTAATTTTTGTTATGATATCTTTAATTATATATAAAATAACATTATTAAAATCCATATAAAGTGATATAATCCATATCCTTTTAAATCACCTTTTTCAAAAGTGGTTTCTAATAAAAATGAGATATATAGGGAGACATTAATATTAATTATAAAACTGAATTAATACTAAATTAATGTTAATTTAAAAGTTGGCCATTATGTTATAGTGAATAACCACATCATTATATGTAATAAAATATGTAAAAGTATCAAGCTTAACTATTATTAATAAAAAATACATGATACATATTCTTCTGAGTTGTTTGGTTTATATAAACAAGCTAGAAAGTTTTAGAGTAATTAATTAATAATTGCATAAATTTATCCATTCTTAAAGTATAATGAAGAATAATCACTTTTTGAGAATTAGTCATTTCTAATGAAAACAATTATTAAAAATTAAATAATTATTGTTACAATAAGAATTGTTATAGATTAAACAATTATAGCAAAATCTTCAAAAGAAGAAAAACCACATAAATATTTAAAATTAGATTCATCAAAATAATTACAAGAGATTATTAAAGTATGAATTTAAATTGTTGGATAAAATAATATCCATTCTTATAATGATAGCAATCTGATAAAAAACTAGGATATATTAAATATTACTTTTTCTAAAGTATTTTCTTCTGATCTATGTCTAGAGTGTCGTTTATAGTGAAAATAAAGCGCAAAATATAAAATTATTATAAGAATAGGCATTATGGATGTTATAATAAACATTCCTAAATTGATAATTTAATTTGTTTTGGCCAATCCTATTATGTCTATGTATTTGAACAAATTCTAATTCCATTAACTTTTTAGAATGTTATGAGTATGTCTAAATGAATTTATCTGTTTTACATTCCAATATGAATGAATTGAATAATAATGCAATTAAAAACTAATGATAGGACTGTAGATGTAGGTGATTTGATATACTGGGGCTAAAACTTATTAAACAAAATAAAGTGAGTGCTCATAATTAATTATAATTTTATATTCAAATTATGATTATATTTTAAGTATGAGTTATCATCATTCAATTCTTTTATTTTAAAAAGTGTAATTAATATAAATATATATGAATTTCAATAATTTTTTGATAACAATTCATTATTTGCTAAAAATAAAGAAAGCTTCGTACACTAAAGCTTTTTCTTTTATTTGCATAGGGTAATTGTTGTTTTATTTCAATTTGCTGTTTAAGTAATTTTGCAGATCAAATTATAGGATTGAAGCAGTATTCAAGACATATTAGGATTTAGAAATAGATGTCATAGAAAGATTGTTAACTCCTTTTCATTTTATGAATATTGAAGCTTTGATTTCACAATCATTATAGAGTTACATCTTTCTACTTATATTAAGTGTATCTATACCAATTTTGATCATTATTTTATTTTTAATATTATGGTTCTAGATTAAAACCAAAGGAGATCGAACTACATTTCTAATGAAATTAGCATAAGTAAATATACTATCCTAAATAGATATTTATTCATTTATAAGATGTTTATTAATGGATTTTAATTTTTCCTATTGCTTATATACAATCTACATATTTGTTCAATTTCCAAAGTTTCGATTAAAAATTGCAGATATCCCTAAAGCTTAAATTTTATTTCATAATAAGTTTGGAAATATTATCTGTTTTAGGATTTATACTGAATTTTATCATTATAACCTTTTAACAAACATTACTCTATAATTACAAACTAAAAATGGATTACTTAAGCTATAATGATAATAATTCTCTTATTTACTTTAGATTATAATATGTTATAATTGGAATTATGTATAACATCAAATTCGACTTTATAAATGAAAATGTATAAATAATTATTGAATCTAGGTCTTCTTTTTTATTGTGCAAATTCTTTTTAGCCTTTTAATTTTGTAATAATTATACTCTGGTAATATATTTCTCATTTTATTTTAACCTAAAATTCAAAAGCTTTATGTTTTAACATCTCTCTTATATGTAAGTATTACAATATCTATGATATATACTTACTTAGCATATTTTATGAATTTAAGTAGCCAAGAATATATATTAATTATTACTTTGATTGTCTAAACATTTTTTATGTTGACCTACAAAAAAGTTGTCTTGACAAAATTATCTAATCTTGTAATTAAAATAAGTTAAAATACAAAAGACATAGTAAGAAAAGTATTCTTTCTTTAAGAATTGATAAATGATATGAATGAAATAAAACAACTCTATTATTTTGGTATTATAGTTCATCATTTGAATACTTCATATAATCATAGTGATTGGAAAAATCTAGGAATGAGATGCTATTGTCAACAGAAAATTATTTATAATGCCAAAAAGAATAATGATGTTACAAGATCTTTACATTCTGTTAAAAAACATAAAAAACTATATTCTAAATTAGAAATAAAAAGCTTATATGAGTAATATTTGATTTTTCAACCTAACGATATTGAAATACACATACTATATATTAGATTTCTGGTATTTAATATGAATTAAAAGTCTTTGGCTATTTCATCTATTACAAGTTTACTAAAAAACAATTTCAAAATTAATATTCTACAAAAATTTCGACTTCAATTGATTATTTATTAAATAAAAATAATGATTCAAGATTAAAATACATCATCATATAATGGGTAATTAGATTTTGAAAGAGTTTTAGATATAGAAAGTATTGTTCAATAAATTAAAGTTTATATTCAAGAGATTTTAAATTTAAATATTTAATTCTGGAAGCATTTACTAAGAAATCAAATAAATTAAGATTTATTAATTGAATATGATGATTTGATTAACAAAAATATATCTGAATGTAATGCTCTATGGGATTCGATTATAAATAGTGAAACTAGAATTAGGGATAAAATAATGAAAATATCATATTTAGATAGAAGAATGAAATGGCAATTATACTATACATGGTATTGCATTCATATTTTAAATTAAAAAGTTAAATCAAATATGTTTCTCGAAAATAATTCAAATGAAGAATATGTTTATGAAGATTCAGAATCAGATGAAGATAAATATGTATTTAATAAATACTCAAAAGATAAATCATTCAATAAATCTTCATTAATTTTACACACAGATCTTAATGGAAATGTTTTAAAATAAAGTTAATCTTGTTAAGAATTAACAGGTTATTGTTCATTGAGTAATGTTTATTAACTCATTCCTTAAACGATGATTCGAAATCATTAGATTTAATTGCTAATATTTAAAACTTAAAGTAAAAATAATTCGTTATATAACAGAAGAAAAATTTATCTTTAACACTAATAAAATTATATCATACCTGCCAATAAATATTTAAAACTCGAATGCAATAAATTTAATTAATTAGAATTTATTTGTATGATTAGACCTTTATTGAGATTATAATAATAAAATTATTTGATTTTAAATGAAGATTGGGAAGTTGACTCAATGACAATCTCTTTGATACCATTATTATTGCCAAAACTTTGCGTATTTATTATTTGTCCATAGCTTTTAAATTTTACTAAATATCAAAGATACATCACTAAAGAAGATTTGTCAATTTTCAACCTTTCGTTTAGAAATGTACCATAATAATAAGAAGAGGAATCATTAAAATTAAAGGAAAGAGAAAAAATAAAAGAAGAATTAGAAGATGTATGTGTATTAAATAGCCAAAATTATTTTGAGTTTAAAGATTTTATCAGTAAATCAACCGATTAGGCTTAATTTACTTCTAATTTATAAATTATTGATGATGAATTAATTCGAATTGAACATTCAAATTTTTAAAAAATTGTCAATGTTGAACATACTTAAATTTTATTAAGAATTCCTAAGAATATAGAAGATTTAGTTGAAGAATATCAAAAATTAAAATTAGAAATAATGTCCGATTTCTAAATGAAAAAGTCAATGATGTATCTTAATTTATAAAGACATTTAATTGTAAAAAATAAATTTGGATAATTAAAAATCAACTAATCTGAATTATTGTAAAGAATTTACAGTTTAAAGGAAGAGTATCATCAATCTCAATACTAAATACTAAGTAAAATGTTCTTATTATTTAGAAAAATTGTATATAAAATATTGCTATCGTAAAAGGAATCTCAATAAAATCATCAAAGTAGATGGCTCAATTAAATTTAGTAGAAGAAACATGATGGATAAGAATATCATTATTAAGTTTAATAGATTTGAAATTTATGAGGATAATTTTAGATCTAACATCTACGTATATAATATATATTATTTCTATTAGAACTCAATCGCTTTAAAATAAAGATTATCCCTGAAATAAGCATAAAATAATGTCAATAATATAAATCAAATTTAATAATAATTAAATTAATCATGTAGTTAGTATTTTGATGAATCGTTTAGAATCAATTAAAGTAAATCATTAATAACATATGAATAAATCACTGGAGATTTTCATAATTAGAATTAATAAATCAACTTGAGTCTAGGAATAGAAGAGAATATCTTTTTAAAAGACGATTAAAATAAATGCTCTGTGATAAGTTTTAATGAATTTGTTTAATTCAAATTGTATAGTCGATTACTTTTATTATAGATTCTATTATCTTACATATTTATTAGTATATTTGCTGATTCATAAGGGTCCAAGCTTGTATTTGAATAAAATATCTCCTAATAAAACCTATTTTTCACAATTTAATTATCAATATTAAAAGCTTATAATGCATTTATTGATGTGTCATTATTTAATAATCATGAAATTTAAAATACAGTTCTTAAATATACTGATTTTAAAATTGATAAATTTTATGATCAAAAAAAATTTTTGATTGAGGAATAGTTAAAATTAGTAAAAAATACATATCAATCTCAAAATTACATAGATTGTTTTTATAATATCGATATTCATGAAACAAATAACTAGTCAATAATTGATATTTATAATTCGTACATTGTTAATTTAATTTTATTCCAGTAAGAACAATTTGCAGAATCTAGTTCTAGTTTGAAATTATTAAACTAATTTAGAGAAATTGTGTATCCTTATTTAATGGAATCATTAACATAAATAATTTCAGAAATTTCTAGAAACTTGGAGCTGCAATAAGCTCAGCAGTTCTTTCTTAGAATAATAACTATAACATATCATACTGTATTTAGTGTAATTATTGTAATTATAAATGTTTTGATTGTTTTTAAATTGATTAATAAGCAAACTGTAAGAATAAAGTTTTAATATAGTTCGTTTAATAAAAAATATTTGAAATAGAAAAAGATACAGTTACTAGAGTAAATTAGTATTATAGTGGTTTGAGATATCAATTCATCCATTGTTTTGAAACAAAAAACTTACCTTTAAGTAAAATATTAAATTTAACTCTCAGAACCTATATAAAATTCAATTACTCATAAAGTTTATCATAGATCAGATACTGAAACAATTAAGACGAAAAGCAAGTCATTAAAAAATTAGATGTATAATTCACAAGTTCAATAAAGATTAAAAGTAATATAAAAGTTATATTAAATAGTATGTTCTTACTAGCTAATATTTAATTTTATAGCCAATATTGGTTTTGTACTTAATAATAATAAATGTTGTAGCCATAATAGAATTATCTGAAATGAAAGATGGATTTGATAATCAGAATTTCTTTTTGAGTTCTTCAATGTTTTAATCAATGACATTAATAAAAGAAATTTACATAGCTGATAATGATATTTATAAAGAACATGGAGTAGATGCTCAGTACTTTTAGAATCATTTATCATAAATTTATGATTAATTAGAGGATAAATACTTTGAATTTACAAATTATGTTGAAGAAAATTCAATATTAAAAGGAAATATTTGCTTGAATGAAATATTGATATCAAAGTAATAATAATGTTAGGATTATTTAAATGGTGCATTAAGACATGGATTAAATTTTTATTTTAAATTAGTTTCTTAAATGATTTTGGTAACTATGGATACAAAGGAAAGTAGGTATGATAAACTTAATCTTGAGGATATATATTATTATTAGTTGGTATAAAATGATATTTAATATTTAGTTTTAAAATGAAATTTTCGATTCATCGTCTTTAGCAGTGCATACTTGGAACTTAGTTATAATTTAGGAGTATTTTCAATTTTTAGATTTAGAAATAATAGTTATGTAATAAATAATTAATTATTGTAGGATAACCTTTTTCTCGTTGATTGGATTCTATCATTTTATATTTTTTGAATTTAAGTATTTTGAGTCATTGAAAATACAATTCTTAAAAGTAAATGAATATTATAATCGCTACATTCCTAATGAAACATTATAGAAATAGAAAATAATGCGTTCTGAATTTTTAAGAAAGGGAGTCATAAGAAAATGAGTTTAAATTAATATTTTCTGATTTAAAAGATTAATAATTATAATTTTTTAATGATCAGTGATATCAAAGTAGGAGATGTAATCTATGGTGATGATGTTTCTTTAGCTGATAAAGAAACTGATGAAGCTTCAATTAAAAAAAAACAATATATTTTGTATAAATAAAACTATTTAGAATCCATAAGAGTCTACAAAGTGATTCTAAAGAAGGAGATGCTTACTCATCACCAAGTAGAAATTCAGAAGGTTATATAAGTTTGGAAGAATATCGTAAAAAATAATAATTGTTTATTTTAATAGAAAAAGAGAAAGAATTGGAACTAAGGAGATAACCAGCTTATAAGGCACAGAGCTAAATTGTTTTTAAAGATAATAGTGAAACTTGCTTACTAAAAAAGATGTCTCAAACTTAGTTAAGAATAAACACCCGAACAGAGAAATGAGAATATTTCATTTAGTATGAATTATTCAATTCAATATATAATGATTCACACCCATTTTCTTATCCATTAAGATTTTTCTGTCTAGATTGAGAGGTTTATGTAATCAAAGTGTGGCTTAAAGTACACTTTCCACATTTTTAATAAGTGTCTAATTGGAAGAACTTTCTTAATTGATTTAATTTTTTTTAAATTGAATTTAATTACAAGTGAAACAAAAAGAATTAGACTTGTTTTGNTAGAATCATTTATCATAAATTTATGATTAATTAGAGGATAAATACTTTGAATTTACAAATTATGTTGAAGAAAATTCAATATTAAAAGGAAATATTTGCTTGAATGAAATATTGATATCAAAGTAATAATAATGTTAGGATTATTTAAATGGTGCATTAAGACATGGATTAAATTTTTATTTTAAATTAGTTTCTTAAATGATTTTGGTAACTATGGATACAAAGGAAAGTAGGTATGATAAACTTAATCTTGAGGATATATATTATTATTAGTTGGTATAAAATGATATTTAATATTTAGTTTTAAAATGAAATTTTCGATTCATCGTCTTTAGCAGTGCATACTTGGAACTTAGTTATAATTTAGGAGTATTTTCAATTTTTAGATTTAGAAATAATAGTTATGTAATAAATAATTAATTATTGTAGGATAACCTTTTTCTCGTTGATTGGATTCTATCATTTTATATTTTTTGAATTTAAGTATTTTGAGTCATTGAAAATACAATTCTTAAAAGTAAATGAATATTATAATCGCTACATTCCTAATGAAACATTATAGAAATAGAAAATAATGCGTTCTGAATTTTTAAGAAAGGGAGTCATAAGAAAATGAGTTTAAATTAATATTTTCTGATTTAAAAGATTAATAATTATAATTTTTTAATGATCAGTGATATCAAAGTAGGAGATGTAATCTATGGTGATGATGTTTCTTTAGCTGATAAAGAAACTGATGAAGCTTCAATTAAAAAAAAACAATATATTTTGTATAAATAAAACTATTTAGAATCCATAAGAGTCTACAAAGTGATTCTAAAGAAGGAGATGCTTACTCATCACCAAGTAGAAATTCAGAAGGTTATATAAGTTTGGAAGAATATCGTAAAAAATAATAATTGTTTATTTTAATAGAAAAAGAGAAAGAATTGGAACTAAGGAGATAACCAGCTTATAAGGCACAGAGCTAAATTGTTTTTAAAGATAATAGTGAAACTTGCTTACTAAAAAAGATGTCTCAAACTTAGTTAAGAATAAACACCCGAACAGAGAAATGAGAATATTTCATTTAGTATGAATTATTCAATTCAATATATAATGATTCACACCCATTTTCTTATCCATTAAGATTTTTCTGTCTAGATTGAGAGGTTTATGTAATCAAAGTGTGGCTTAAAGTACACTTTCCACATTTTTAATAAGTGTCTAATTGGAAGAACTTTCTTAATTGATTTAATTTTTTTTAAATTGAATTTAATTACAAGTGAAACAAAAAGAATTAGACTTGTTTTGTACAATGAAAAATACAATTATAAAATCATAATAGTTTAATTTTTGAATTATTATTAATAAAATTAATTTTTTCATAAAACTAAGAATTAAAGAAACAAAATATTAATAGCTTCTATTTTTCAGTATAACTTTTAAATTTCTATAGTAATTATTAATTTTTTATAAAACTATTAATGAATTTATAAAATTTTAATAGTTTGTATTTTTTAACAAAACTTCTTATTATCTCATAATATATATTTTTACAAAAATTATTTATGAATTCTAGTGTTTATTAAAACCATTAATAATAAAATTATAAAATCATAATAGTTTGTATTATTTAATATACTTCTAATTATCTAATAATATATATTTTTTTATAAAACTATGAATAATTATATTATAAAATTTTAACATATTGTATTTTTTAACATAACTTCTAATTAACTAAGAAAATATATATTTTTACTTTAATTATTACTAAATTTTGTTTTTTTATAAAACTATTAATAATGAAATTATCAAATCTTAATATTTAGTATTTTTTTTTTTACTTTTAATTAACCAAGAATTATTATTTATGAATTTTTTTTTTTATAAAACTATTAGGAATTAAATTATCAAATCTTAATAATGTGTTTACTTTTTTTAAATTATTTTTGATTTCGAATTCTAAACTATGTGTTTATTCTTCTTAGAATAGTTATCGATCAAATTACCGAAAACAAAATGATACGATAGTAGTATAAATAAATTCAGAAAAAACTTTTAAAATATGATCTTTTGTATTAGAAAGATAAGTTACAAAAAAAACAAACTATTAAGATTTTATAATTACTTTTTTATGTTTTAAATTTTCAAAAAATGGTACTATTAAAATAATGAAATATAACATTTTTTTATAGTGGTATATTTTTTTGAAGTAGAAAATATGATATTCTCATCCAATATATGAAAAAAGTATCCCCAGAAAATGAATAAAATAATTATGTAAAATAAATAATTATAATTAAGTATTGCTAAAAAAAACTGAAAGAATCCTAAAATTTTTTGGAAGTTCAATATTTCTAACTTTGGTCTTCTATTTTTTATTAGTATTTTAACAAAATCAGAACTTAGTAATAAAGTTGTCAATTTCTCTAATAGCTGTAATAATTAGATATAATAATATAAAAGTATTTATTTGATCAATTAACTTAGCTTGTTAATTTTTATAATTAATGATAAACTACTTATGTAATAATTTATCTGAAATTAGAATAAAGTGATTATTTTTCATTCCCTTTTACAGAGAGAAGAGTAAGCCATCTGGTTTTAATATAAGGTAATTAGGAATAAAAAAAAAAGATAATAATTAAGAATGATTTTAGAAAAACAATGAAAAAGAATTCACTATCATATTGTTTTAAATTGCTGAAAGAGCGTGAATAAGATGAAATAATACCCATTTCTCCAGATAAGCAATTATAAACAAAGAAATTTGTTAATCTAAAACCTTTAAAAAAAGCAATAGAAAAAATAACAATAATGAGATAAGAACAATAGAGTAGAAGAAAATCAGCATATGGAGAGCATTTTGGGGAATTAACATCAAAATAATTTCAGAATCTCCCAACGTAAATAGAATAGCATAAATAAATTGATGGATAAAGATTTGCATTAACAAGTTTTGCTGACATTTTAGAGAGAAAAAAAAGAAAAAGAACAACAAAAAAGCAAAGTGTTTTAAGACAACTATCAAAATAAGAATCCTTAGTTGGTATGATTTTAATAATAATTTTAATAGAGTATGATAACTTAGAAAGACCACCATCTTGTAAAACTCCCCCAAAACAAATTATTTTGAAACAATTATAGAAATCTTAATTAGAATTAATAAAGGAAAAACAATTTAAATTATTAGATAAAAAGATGATAAACTTCTTGTCTGGAAAACCTGCAGAAGTTAAAGAATTTGTACAAAGGAANTAGAAAGATAAGTTACAAAAAAAACAAACTATTAAGATTTTATAATTACTTTTTTATGTTTTAAATTTTCAAAAAATGGTACTATTAAAATAATGAAATATAACATTTTTTTATAGTGGTATATTTTTTTGAAGTAGAAAATATGATATTCTCATCCAATATATGAAAAAAGTATCCCCAGAAAATGAATAAAATAATTATGTAAAATAAATAATTATAATTAAGTATTGCTAAAAAAAACTGAAAGAATCCTAAAATTTTTTGGAAGTTCAATATTTCTAACTTTGGTCTTCTATTTTTTATTAGTATTTTAACAAAATCAGAACTTAGTAATAAAGTTGTCAATTTCTCTAATAGCTGTAATAATTAGATATAATAATATAAAAGTATTTATTTGATCAATTAACTTAGCTTGTTAATTTTTATAATTAATGATAAACTACTTATGTAATAATTTATCTGAAATTAGAATAAAGTGATTATTTTTCATTCCCTTTTACAGAGAGAAGAGTAAGCCATCTGGTTTTAATATAAGGTAATTAGGAATAAAAAAAAAAGATAATAATTAAGAATGATTTTAGAAAAACAATGAAAAAGAATTCACTATCATATTGTTTTAAATTGCTGAAAGAGCGTGAATAAGATGAAATAATACCCATTTCTCCAGATAAGCAATTATAAACAAAGAAATTTGTTAATCTAAAACCTTTAAAAAAAGCAATAGAAAAAATAACAATAATGAGATAAGAACAATAGAGTAGAAGAAAATCAGCATATGGAGAGCATTTTGGGGAATTAACATCAAAATAATTTCAGAATCTCCCAACGTAAATAGAATAGCATAAATAAATTGATGGATAAAGATTTGCATTAACAAGTTTTGCTGACATTTTAGAGAGAAAAAAAAGAAAAAGAACAACAAAAAAGCAAAGTGTTTTAAGACAACTATCAAAATAAGAATCCTTAGTTGGTATGATTTTAATAATAATTTTAATAGAGTATGATAACTTAGAAAGACCACCATCTTGTAAAACTCCCCCAAAACAAATTATTTTGAAACAATTATAGAAATCTTAATTAGAATTAATAAAGGAAAAACAATTTAAATTATTAGATAAAAAGATGATAAACTTCTTGTCTGGAAAACCTGCAGAAGTTAAAGAATTTGTACAAAGGAAAAAAGCTTATACAATAAATTATTAAGTAACAACACCGTTATCTTCTTAAATAACAGGTAATCATAGAAATTCAACATTCCCTTGTTTACCTTTGAATAAAATAAATAGTTCTTAGACTAATTAAAATGAATTAAAATATGTGCCTTAATTAAGTAATAGATAGATTTAGAATAGAGATAGACCTTATATTAGATATAATAAAACCTTGATAAAATTAATAAATTCAGAGTATAAAAGCAATATATAAACAATCTAAAAGTCAAGTTGCAACTTATGATTATATTTTGATATTAATTAATTTTATAAAAGCCATTTATTTATTGTATTAATATAATATTACTCTATATGATTATTACAATTTAAAGCTGTAGATTACTAAATAAGTTTTATAATAATTATAAATTTTAATAACTTAATAATATAAGCAATAATTATATTATTCAAATATGGTATATATTAAAACGCTAGCAGATATTTACTATTCCTTAGGTATATGAACTCAATTTGGAAAGGAAAGAGTTGGAGTAGGAAATTGAATAGAAATTAAAGGAAAATTGATATAATAACTATATTATTTAAATTACAGTATTTCTGCCTGTAAAATAATTTGAAGTTTGTCATAGGTAGAAAAATAATTTAAGAAAATTTATGAATAAAACTATTCGAAGAATTATGAATTGCTGTTTGTATTATTGTAAAAGAGAATTAAGATGATTTTGATAAATTGATATATGATGAAAATCTTATTTAAAATATATAAAAGTACATTCTAGTGTATTATTGAATTGTAAATAATCAACAGCAACATATAATAGAGAAGCTAATTTAATTAACTATTTTTTTAAGAAAAGCTACTGAAGGATTCTGGAATCATAATCTCAATTCTAAACTAAAATAAATTTTTTAAAATCTGAATTACAATATAGAATTATTATTTTATGATATTTCAAAATATAAATATTTTAATAAACTAAATTTAATCTATTTTGAAAAGAAAATTGTTTAAAATATTTAGAATATTTATCATTATACATTCTCAATTTTAACATAGAAAATCAACCTTATAAAATAACATGTTATGTGTTATGTTCTTCTTACTATTACTCGGATTCAAAATATCTAAAGTTTTTAATAACATTTACTTAAAGCAAGTATCTAGATCACAAGAATAAAATTTCTCTGTATCATCTAATCTTTTTACAGAACCAACAATATCATTGCAGAATTTACAAAATGTTTATCCATCAATATAATAGCATTCATAACACATAAAATGCCTGCAAGGATTTATTACAACTCTTACACTAGCAGGAAAATCACAAATCGGGCAAAATTTAGCTTTCTTCTAAATTGATTTAGGATTTAAAAATGTAGCTGCTGTTCTTGGATCATATCTAACTTAATTTTCTGGAGGTGGATAATTTGGGTATTAAGGTATTTATTATTATTAGGGTTGATTTTATTAAATTTGTGGTTGAGGCGGCTATAAAGAATTCATTTAATACTAATTAAGAAAATATATATTAATTAATTTTAATTCAAAGAAGAGTTTAATAATTTAATTTAAATCAATCAGGTATCTAATCAATTTTTACTTTTCTTTTCCCATGTTTATCATAATTAATTCTAATTTCTTTAATCTTTTTATCAAAAATACTTAATTAACGCATCTATCTTTCTTTTTCTTCCTCTTCTTCTTATCGAATTAAATAAGAATGTAAGATTTTTGAACTATACTCAAAAGAAGATTCAGTTTTCTTTTATATACTCATTCTTTCTAAACTTGCTTAAATGCTCTTATTGTCAGTCCTTAATTTACTTTATTCTGATACTTAATAATTTGAGTTCTTTTTAACACTCTTCATTTAAGATTTGTTACTATCTTAATTAGTTCTATTTATATTTTAGCTGTCTTAGCTTCTTGATGATAGTTAATTATCTAAGTTTGAATGTTAATAATTTCTTTTCTGATATTCTCTTATAGCAGGAAAAGACAAAGGTTTTTTATCGGGATGAACACCATTAATTAAAATTTGATTCTAATTCAGTAAATGTTAGAATGATTCAAAAATTCCTTACTTTTTTTTGAACCCTTTTTTTTTATATTCTTCCATATAACGAGGATGATAAATTTCTTTTTATTTGACTATGTATTCTGGTCTTTCTACTGAGTCTGTCAATTAAACTAAAGGATTATAAATAGAAATAGGAGGTAATTTCTTTGTAACATAATATTGAGGATTATCATGATGAATAACTGCATCTTAATGAATTGGGCTGTTAAATTATTTATTATTTGGTAGATGACTTTTACTCTCAAAACGCATAAAATCTTAACCTCTTTTAATTCTAGGAGGATCTCTATTTTCAAGAAATTTTAACATTAATAAATTATTTAATAAATTGCAGTTTTCTATTTTAGAAAAATATATTATTACCAAAGTTGTTGAACATTATATATATATACATTCTCTCTAATTAAATAAATCTATTATGTATAAAATATAAAATAAAATTGTATATATAAATAAATATATTATCAAGAGTTATAGTATATATATAATGAGTTTTCTTTATTCTAATATTAAAATAAAATATGTATAAAAGTCTAGACTTAACGTGAAGTCTTGGAAATATTTAATAACAAAATTTAATGAATTGAGTAATAATAATAATAAATAATCAAGAAAGTTTAGTTTTTTTCATCATCTTAGGTTAAACTTCAGTAGATTCTTGTTATTCAATTGTTGGTACTACTTTTTCTTATACTTCTTTTGCTTAAGATATGATTTTTTTGATATATTGATTTTTAGTAAATTGTGTTTTGTGTGTTTTTGATTTGATATGCTAAAATAAGTAAAAATTATACATCTAAATAATCTTCATAATGTTATTTACAAACATTACAATATTTAGATTAACTTTTGGGTTTGGGAAAATGCTGAATTAATAAAAAATAATTACAAGCACTTTATTTTTTTTAGTCAACTCCTAATACTTTTTTTAGTATTGATTTTGATATTGATCATTATGTTAAAGATGTAGTGGCTAAATAAAAAATGAGTAATACTTAATCAATAAGAGGAATAAATCCAGGTTACGCTGGATTCATGTCATTATTAAATATAGGAATAGTTTCCATCATACATTTCATGATTCTTATATTAATGATTAAAGTAAATACTCACTAAATGAAGGTGAATAATTAATTTCAACATACTTAAACTTAGCATCTCTATTGAGTGGATAAGGATACAAGATAAACAAATTTGGGCATTCCTGTAAATTCATTATTTGTTTAAAAGTTATTTATTTTTACAAAATTTTTTCGCATTCTCTGAAATAAGAATTGTGAATTTAATTATAATTATCCACTTAAAAATTACTCATGATTTACTAAATCTTAAAGATGTCAAATTAAGCAAAGTCCGAAAAAATTAAGAGATTGATATTAGCTTTCCTAATTGAAAAATGAAATCAAACACATAAGAATTCTAACTAATCCAAATTATTAATCTCTTACAAACTTAATATTCTTCACAATATAGATAATTACATAAAATTTAATCATTATTTTTAATATTGAGTTAATCAACCCTAAAACTTATGTAATAAAACAGAAATAAATACAGTACCATAGACTGAAATTAGAAAAATTATATTTTTGTTAATTATTCTATAATAAAGTTAGATTAGATTTAAAAATAACTTCAATATTAAATATCTCAAGTGGTGAAAATATAAAAGATGGTCATAATATATAGTTGTTTTAGTATCAGACTAAAGAATAATCTATATAAGTTATTATTGTCGTATGATTAGACATTTCAAGGCATCAATTTTTATGTCTTTTATTCGGGTTACTAGAATATAGATGAAAAATAATTAATAAAGAAGAAATTATAGATTGCAATAAAAGAAAAAAAATTAATCAATAACGTTTTAATTAAACCAAAATAGTTAAATAAGAGTATAATTTAAATTTTAAAGTTTTCCTTTTAGTGAATAAAATCACATAAAATGTTTTAATTTGATCTGATGAAGTAAATTGTGAATTGAATATTTTATTAACTAATTATTTATTTTGATATAAAATAAATGAAGCAATAAAAGAGATGAATGCTAAATATAAAAATATTATTTTAGATTGGATATTTTATTATTAAACTGATTTCAGTTCACTGAATAAGGGTTTTTAATAAAAAAATAAAAATGGTATTTTAAAACAATTTAAAGCAATTAATGTATTTTTGATTAAATTATTAATAAATTTATTGTTAAAGATAATCGAGATGGATTGCCCAATAAAAGTTAGCTAATTAAAATCAAGTACAGAATAGAAGGAGATGTTTGATAAATTATTAAAGACACCTATTTAAGAAGGTTAAAGATCATAATAAAAACACTAATAAAAAAAGGATTTAATAAATGAATTGCGCCAAGAGAATGATGAATTAAAAAATACAATAAATGAATTAAAGGATAGAATTTGGATGTTAGAATAATAATTAAAAGAGAAATAAAGTGTTTAAATAGAAGAAGAAAATTAAGAGATAATTTCAGTTGAAAAACCATAATAATAATTTTAAGAAGAAATGAATGAAGAAGAGAAATCTCTTCATTTTGCTTTGATGTTATAATAATAAGAAGAGATGGAATTTTAAAATCGTTTAATTTAGTAAAAGATGAATATATAATTAATAGAATGTAAAATAATGTAGATTTGGATGAAATGAGTTATGAATAATTATAAGAATTATAAGAGAAAATGGGTTTTGTAAGTAGAGGTTTGGTTGAATAATAAATATAAGTATTAATAAAATAATGTACTATTTAAAGTTTAACAAATGATTGGTATAAAAATAATATAATATTTAATATAGTTGTACAATTTGTTTAGAGGATAGTGGTAACCCTGTAGAGATTTAATTAGATTGTGGACATGTATTTCATAAGGATTGTATATCAGAATGGTTATTAAGAGAGAAACATTGTCCTGTTTGTAAGAGAGATATTGAATTAGGAAAATTAAGATGAAATGATTTGTTATTTAATTTTTGTTTATTGCATATTATTATTATTATTATTAATATTAGTATCTTATTGAAATTTTTTGTTTTTAAATATTTAATTAAAAATATATTATATGACAAAAACGAATAATGGATGATAATCCTAGAGAGAAATTTGAAGTATACGAATATATATAACTTTTTGATATATTTAATATTGCAAATGTTAGGTCTTAGAATACAGTATTAGATATTATTGATTCATATTGCAATAGTTTTCATAATATGTGACACTATAATATGGATCTTAACTACAATATGGTTATGTAATGTACAATTATTTTACTAGTTTAATAGCAATATCCAAGAATAACAAAACTCTTCTTCGGTATTTTGTTTTCGATTAGATAAATTTATTAATTAGAATTCAATTACCATTCTTTATTTTGGATATTTTACTATTATCATTTCTAATTTTTATTATTCTTGGTTTATATGATAATCAAAGATCCTAAAAATTGGTAGCTGTATTATATTACTATTATTTACACACAAATTGCTACAAATTTTTATTACAATTCCATTTCAATTGGTTTGGATAACATCATTATTTCTTTTTACATTATTTTACTATTTTATTATACTTATAACCAATTATAATATTATCAATGTTATTATGTCATCTATTATTTTAGCTATAACTTTTAATAATATCTATCTAATATGACTTAAATCATTTATAATAATAGAGTATAATAATAAATTTCATCCAATTTAATTTAAAGATCAAAATAAATTAATCCAATACATGGCAATCCTTCCATTATTTGTGATCAATTTTATTAATTTTATTAAATAAATCCTAGAATGAATTGATTATATATATATATCTTTATAAGTAGTTTAAAAAGTTATAAAATCTCAATTTCTAAAAATCTGAATTAATTATTTTGATAAGAATAGATATTAAAATAAAGGATAATAAGTCTAATATCGATTTACATGGAGAAGTTTGTGATATTGTTTAACAATAATTGATTAAGATAGAATTATTATAATATAAATATATTTAATAATGTAATCTTCAAATAAGAGATTATCTAATGATATAACAAAACCTAATATTGATTAGTTTAAATAGATATTAGGAATAATCAAAATAAGACCTAGTTCTGCAAAGCTTCAACATACAATAAAATAATAACCATTAGCTTTAAGAAAAGCAACCTTTTCTGGAGTTATGAAAAATAGATTGAAAAATGATATTAATAATGTTGAATAATAATTGCCTGTATCAAACTTAGAAAAGAATATATAGTATTCATCTCAAGCATCCCTAACTTTAAAATAGAATTAATAGTAATTACAATAAAATGTAAGAATTAATTAGACAAACATAAATAAAACTCATAAAAAGTATTAAAAACCTCCATTACCTCTTTTTGATAAAGATATTATTATTAAAAAATAAGAATTATTATTGAATTCTGAGAACTGTGCAATGACAGGAGAAACAAAGTCAAAAAATAATAATAGCTAATAAAAAATATAAAGGGCTGGCGCAAATATTAATAAATTTACATAGTATTATGTAGGTGATTAACAAGAATAAAGATAATCATCTTTAAATGTAATTATTAAAATATAGCAAGACAAGAAGATAGAAATCAAAAAAGATATATAAATCACCTAAAATATTACCTCTAATTTTCATTAATAATAATAAATTATTTAACCTGGTAGAATTATAAAACAAAATTACAATCCTGAGATTAATAACTTACCTATATTAGTAAATAACAAAGAACCATTATGTTATACTGATTTTAGTATGGCTTCTAGACCTTAAGAATTGCCAATAGCATTTGCTTTAATTAAAAAGGAAATCTAATAAGCCTCTCTATACGCCAAGTAATTTGGTTAACAAATTTAAGTAAATTACATAAATAGTATTTCTCTAAAATTTCGTATTTTATAGTTATTCCAGAGTAAAAAGATGAAGGCCTTTTATAAGTTCCTAAGGGTAATCTCAAAAAGTTTAAATGATGATTACAAAAGCTAATTAGTTGATTTGCAACTAATAAATAATATATTTATTCATTTATTATTTTTATATCTACAATAAGAGAAATAGATATCAAACAGAATATCACTTGATATTTTAGTTATGAATTATTAAACTGCAAGTCTTATTTTTGTATAAATTTTAACAAGTAAATCCCTAATTGACTTTGTAAATAATTCTTCTAGAAAATTATCAGTCCAATTAAAGAATTTAGTTTTTGTAATAGTCGTATTTTTTTATTATTTGAAATATAATGCAAAATTTCATATTTATAAGATAGATATATTCATTTATTATTATCAATTATTTATTAATTAAGCAAACATTTAATTTGAAAGTAGAAATTAATAGAGTAATCTTTTAAAACAATATAATTATTGCATCTGTCTCTTATTTTATTTATTTATTGATAAATATGCTAAATATGCTAAATGATACAAACTAATATTTTATACAAAAAAAATGAGAAGAATTATTTTAGAAAGTTAAGGTATTTAATTTCAATTATTATTAATTATTGAATAATTGATTTATATCCATTTATGGTAATCTACTTGAATTTATAAATTTATCTCCTATACTATAAAAAAAGGATAAATTTAAAATAAATTCTCCATTATTTTAGAAAGGATCTATATTATTGTTTTTTCATAAATCCAAAAAGATCTTTTTTTTGGAGAGATTGTATTCAGATATCTAAAAAAATAAGTAATCGTTTATCTTTAGTACTTAATTTTAAATTAAAAATTCTTTATTTTACTTAAAAATAAAATCAAATTCATTTTCTTGATACCAATCATTGATATTAGAAAATATACTGATACACTGAATTCATTTATAGAAATGAAAATAATTTATCAAAAAGATTATTAATTATTAAGAAGATTAATTCAGAGTGAAGTAATATTACTATACTATACTATTTTATTTTATTCTATTTCTAATAATTGATTTGATCGAAATTTGTGATTTAGAATTGATTATAACAGAATGTAGTACTCATCTATTAAAAATAATGAAACCAATTTCAATTCATTAAAATAAAAATAGAAAAAATAATAATGATGTAAAGTTTCTAATTATTTTATTAGAGAAGAGAGGAACTTAAGAATTCTAAATATCAAATCCTTTGTTCCCAATTAGTTAGGATATGGAGAAACAACAGGTGAAATGATATTAGATATTTTTATATGATAACAAAATTGCTTATCTATCATGCATTATTAAAATAGAAATAATCCTAAGGCTTAACAATTTTATTTAAAATATCTCCAATAACTGATAAATATCTAATTTTATCTTAGAGATCGGATCTCAGAACTTAAGCATAAGCGTGGTTTTAATAAAACTCAATTGATAATATTTGAAATAGTTATTTAAATATATCCTAAATTTTCTTATTATTCGAGGGATTTGTGTAACATAAAATTAGCATTTCTTCTAAACCTTTAAATTCTATCGATTTAATCCATTCCCAGAAATGAGGTAATAAATTTTGATTGTCAGCAAAGTAAAGTTGCACTCTTTCATTCGATACAAAATCTTGAAATATAAATTTCATTTAACTTTTTATCAAATACATTTTAATTTGTGTATCTTCTAATTATAAGCATAGGCATTACCATCTTGCTGTTTTATATTTTCTAATTTTTAATATTATATTTAAGTAATGAGGTTATTTACAGCTTCTGATTATTCTTATTTTACAATATGTATTTTTGGTTCTATCAATTGATTCAATATCTTATTTGATTAAGCTTATTAAATAAGTTATTATAAAAAGCTTAATGGAATCATAACTGATGGAGTATATTGTTTATAATTTGTACATCTGTTATTAAATGGGAATTATAAATTAAGTTAAGGATAAGTTGGTATCTGATTTTAACAGGTATTCTACTCATTTTTATTTTACACTATTTTTATTGGTGCAACTTTGACATTCTTTTTTGTTTCTTAATATGGTTCAAAACTCATAAAAACTAGATTTATATATTTTGTGTATTTACTATTAAATTATGAAATGCTTAGTTTAAAAAAGAACTTAATTATAACAAAACTCACAATTTCTTACAAACATTGTGATTTTATTCAAATTTACTTCTATTCTCTCTATTATTAATAACTAATATCTTAATTAAAAAGAATAAATAATTTTTAAAGGATTTTATATGAGAATGTTTTAATTCATTTAATTAAGGATAGTCTATTAAATTGGGTTAATAATTTGGGTATTAATGATTATAAGTGAAAGTTATGTTTAAATATTAAAGATTTAATTTAAAATCTTCTTTATATAATATACCAATGTATTATTGTGTGGTAGATTTATTATTATTCTCTATTTGATTTTATCAATGGCTTTATTAGTAGGTAAATATTTTTATAGTTATAAAAGTAAATATAATTCTTAATGAATTAGATTTAATCTGTATATATAAATTTGTATACATATTGATTAATAAATAGAGATAAATTTATAAATAATAAAGATTAGATGATTTATTAGAGATCTGATATTACTAAAAAATTAATAGATTTGTTTAATTAAATAATATTATTTATATAATTTCATCTTTGATATAATTCCATGATATTAATAGGTCCATTTGATTTATATTATTGTTATTATTACATAAAATTAGTTTATTGTTATTAATACATATTTTATTAAAACTATTATTATTATGATTAATGATTGAAATATGCATTATTATTTTAGATCTACTAATAATATTATTATTATTATTATTATTATGATTGGATTCCTAAATTCTATAAATAAGCATAATTAGCATTTTTATGTGGTATATTTTATTATGATTGCATATTTTATTTTAATTATTAGTCAGGTTTATATAGATTTAGAATATCTAAGGATGGTAATGAATGCATGACATGATTATTTTATGATGATTAGGTTTGAATGAAATCATTTTAATCTTTATCTGGTGATAATGAATGTGTAGTTCCATATTAAGTATTATTTGCATGATGGATTTCAATTTTATTTTCCTTAACTCCAAAATTATCAAATTATTCATTTAAATCAATAAGATCTCCTAATTTAACTTTAGATTCTTCTTATTTTGTATCTATATTATGAAAATAAAATGGTTTAACAGTACTAAATAATTATTGGAGATAAAATACGTTTTGGTTAACATATATTGTTATTTTGGATCAAGACATTATTATGAAGGTATAAATTTCTTTTTAATATATTTTTCTTGTACGAAACGAATCAAAGAGTCTAAACCTGTATTTATAGTTGGTTTTCTAATTTTGTAATAAAATATCGGAAAATAATATACATATAGTTTTTAGGCATGGTATTTTCCCAATAAGAATTAGCTGTTGCATTTCCAATAGATTCCATAATATCAATATTTTCTTAATACCATCCATCTATATTAGTTGATCTAACTCTAGTAACACTAGGACCTAAAGTTCTATGAGCTCCTAAAAATATAACAATTATTTATATACCTGCACAATCCATACATATAAATACACCATAATCTAAACTAACCCATCTTGGACCTTTTGTGGCACAATCAGCACATATTAAATTTTCTGGTCTTTTAAGAATCAAACCAAATATTTTTTCTTATGCTTTTGCTGGTATATGTTATTTATTCATAATATTTGAAAATATTTATATTATGTAATCAATCACTATATTTTTAAAATCGAGATGTTATATCTATTCAAAACTTTTTTATTATCATTCTACATAATATGATATATAGTTATTTAGATTTACAATCCTGAAAATTCAAAATTTTAAATAAGAACAAATAGAATTAGAAAATAATTTTAAATTTGATGAATAATAAATATATATAGATAATTAATAAAATATAATATATATAGTAAATATAATCATTTTAAATGATATTCAACTCTGAATATCTATTGCAAATAGATAAATGATATTCAACTCTGAATATCTATTGCAATAGATAAATATTTATAATTTTAAGTCATCCATATAAAATTATATTAATCATAATAATAATTTATTAGGAAATAAAAGATAATAAATTATAGATATATATAAAATAGAAATATAATATATTTAGTTAAATGATATATATAAATATATATATTTAATTAAATAATAATAAGAAATGGTAAGAATATAGATTCTAAATTTTGTTAGGCATCTCTTTTGAATATGGTTTAAGGATAACCAATAATAGAGGTTAGTTTAGATGGTATAGAAACACGTAAACATACAAGATTTTAAGATAAATAATTGGGAGCATTAAGATTACCAGTTTATTCTGTATTTATATTATATTTATAATAAATAGGGTGATGATGATATTACAGGAGTAATAGAATTAAAAATGAATAAATAAAAGAAAATAGAACATTTAGGTATTAGAGTTGAATTAATAGGAAGAATTGGTAATTATTATTTATTTATGAATATTAAGAAATTCTAAATGATTAAAAACAAAGTTCAGATTTTATGTCTATGTCAAGAGAATTAGAACCATAAGGATTGTTATTTGAAGATAAAACATATAAGTTTTAATTTTAAAAGTTTGAAAAATAACATGAAAGTTATTATGGAAATACAGTCAGATTAAGATATTACTTAAAAGTTTATATGAATCGTAATTATGGGAAAGTGTAAAAAGAAATTGATTTTGCAGTTTTAATACCATAACCAGAACTAGAAGATTAACCATAAACATCATTAAAATTAGAAGTAACTAATATTTTATTAAATAATATATAGGTTGGTATTGAAGAATGTTTACATATTGATTTTGAATATTTTAAAAGTAGATATCATTTAAGAGATGTAGTAACTGGAAAAGTTAATTTCTATTTAGTGAAAATTAAAATTAAACATATGGAATTAGCAGTAATAAGAAAAGAATAATATGGATAAGGACCATAATAATAAACTGATAATGAAACACTTGTTAAATATGAATTAATGGATGGTTGTCCTTAAAAAGGAGAAGTTATACCTATACGGTTATATTTAAGTGGTGTTGATATAACACCATCTATCAAAAATGTTAATGGTAAATTCAGTGTCAAATATATTCTTAATCTTATTTTGGTTGATGAAGATGATCGAAGATATTTTAAATAATAAGAAATTACAATCTATAGAAAGAAATGATCAATTTACATTATTTCTTCTATTCATATTATTTATTTCTTTATTTTTATTGCATAGACATATTTTTATATATTCTATTTGATTTATCCTAATATTCATATATATATCCATTATATCATATAACTCAATAATCCTTATTAATTTTAAAATATCAAATAGATTACGTATTATTAATTATTAAAATTAATTAATATATCAGAATTCATTAGTTCTCAATCTCCTCAATTCTATTAAATTCTATTATCCTAATTCTATTAATTTAATTATATTTAAAAATTATTAAAAACTATTTACATTCATAAATGTAACAAACTTAAATTTCATAGTCCCCATAATGACATAAAGAGAAAAAAAGTAAAAAAATGATTAAATTTTATCTATTAAATCAAAATAATTTCACTCAGTATATATTAGTAAAATATTTTACAAATACTATTTAAACCTGTATGTTTAATATATTTTTTATTAATAGTCATATATAAGAATTTTATAAAAATTATATTTGTTGTAAATGTAATAAAAGGATCTAATGGTTATTTTGATATGAAAAAATAGTAAATTTATGCAAGGTTATAAAGAAAAGGTAAAACAAATNTTATATGAATCGTAATTATGGGAAAGTGTAAAAAGAAATTGATTTTGCAGTTTTAATACCATAACCAGAACTAGAAGATTAACCATAAACATCATTAAAATTAGAAGTAACTAATATTTTATTAAATAATATATAGGTTGGTATTGAAGAATGTTTACATATTGATTTTGAATATTTTAAAAGTAGATATCATTTAAGAGATGTAGTAACTGGAAAAGTTAATTTCTATTTAGTGAAAATTAAAATTAAACATATGGAATTAGCAGTAATAAGAAAAGAATAATATGGATAAGGACCATAATAATAAACTGATAATGAAACACTTGTTAAATATGAATTAATGGATGGTTGTCCTTAAAAAGGAGAAGTTATACCTATACGGTTATATTTAAGTGGTGTTGATATAACACCATCTATCAAAAATGTTAATGGTAAATTCAGTGTCAAATATATTCTTAATCTTATTTTGGTTGATGAAGATGATCGAAGATATTTTAAATAATAAGAAATTACAATCTATAGAAAGAAATGATCAATTTACATTATTTCTTCTATTCATATTATTTATTTCTTTATTTTTATTGCATAGACATATTTTTATATATTCTATTTGATTTATCCTAATATTCATATATATATCCATTATATCATATAACTCAATAATCCTTATTAATTTTAAAATATCAAATAGATTACGTATTATTAATTATTAAAATTAATTAATATATCAGAATTCATTAGTTCTCAATCTCCTCAATTCTATTAAATTCTATTATCCTAATTCTATTAATTTAATTATATTTAAAAATTATTAAAAACTATTTACATTCATAAATGTAACAAACTTAAATTTCATAGTCCCCATAATGACATAAAGAGAAAAAAAGTAAAAAAATGATTAAATTTTATCTATTAAATCAAAATAATTTCACTCAGTATATACTTCTTAGATTAGTTTATTAAATAATTACAATACCTCAAATTTGATAATATTCAGGATTAGGATTGAATTATTCTTTTTACACTTAATTACTATTCAGTTTTATTGATTTTATTTTATATTGAGATGTTATTTTTTAGTGATAAAAATAATACTTTTTAATGTCATTTAATAATTTTATTCATTTTTTTATGCCTGATAATTTTAGTTGATAAGTTATAGAATTGTTTATGGAAATTAATATTTTTCTTACAAATTTTTAATATAATTATATGATGTAATTTAAATAATCAGTTTTTCTAATAAATAAATAGTTTCTTATTTTTTTAGGTAATTATTAAACTGAGTAAATTTTAAATATAAAAAATATTAGTAAGATTATTTCATAATAATAATATTTATTATTGTTAAATCTAAATCATTTTTTTTTATTAAATGTGAATTGTAGCTAGCCCCCAAGATAATTAGACTTTAATAGATTTAATAAGATCCCATCCAATCTAAGGTTCTAATGTTTTAGTAACAGTAATGAAATAGGATCCATCTTTTAAAAGAGCAGCCTTTTTACTCAATTATCTCATTAGATCTGGATCAAAACAAGTAGTAGAAGCAAATAAAAAAGTACCATCACTCCAATCTAACTTGATTTGGTAAATGAAATAATACTTCTCTAAAATCTCCATTAATAAATTCGATAATTGGTTATTAATAATCATAAACACCAATCTATTCCATTTCTTATTCAATAAGAGATTTTTATTTTTCAACTTCTTATTTTAATTTACATGCTTATTCATGTAAAGAATGTAAATATTCAATTCCTTTACAAATATCAAATTAATGCATTAAAGAAGCTGCAATTACACTTTTTCCAATTCCACTACCCAAATCATAAAATATTCCACCTTTATTTGGTTATACTTATTAAAACACTAATGATAAAGATGTGAATTCCTTTTGTTTTAAATATATTTACATACAATTTCACCATAAGAGAGTGAGTTGGATGTCAAATGATTTGCTAACCTTTCTTCTCTACTTAAGGTCTAATTTTTTAATCATTTATCATTTCTTACTCTAGCTCTTTATAGTGAATATTCTTTTGTAAATTTCTCATATAAACTTTTCAATTATTTCTTTTAACATTATGGATTATCTATATTTTATATACAATCTTAATTTTGTCAAGATGAATAAGAAAATTATAGACTTTCACCAAAATGTTTTTTCTAAATATTCTTTTTTCTCAATTTTTAGTCTCTTTACAATATATTTACTAATATAAAATCTCTAATTATATCTTAACTCTCCTCCTATTATAATTTTATATATATCTGTATTTTTATCAATTCATAAATTGAAGAATTTCTTATCATAATAAATTATCACAATAACTTTATAAAAAAATAATTTTACTACATAAAACTTCATTATTATTAATAAGCCAAGAAAAATATTAGCATTTATTTGAAATAAATTCTCTAAATTAAGAATTTATTTAAAAACATTAAATTAAGATCTCTGATAATTTGAAATTATATAAGAGTACATGATAAATCATAGTGTATTTTTGCATTTTCAGCCAAAACTCAACTAGGTTAAATACGAAAGTTTAAGAAAAGGAAATAAATAATATTAGGAATTATTAATTTTTATTTATTATATTAAATGATTTAATCATTATTTTTCTATCTATATTTCTTATTTTGCTAAGATTTCATTTATCATTGATAAAATAGCTTATTAAACATTTAATCCATCTTTAGCAGAAGTTTCTTTATTAAATAAAAAAAAATACCTAGAAAAGATATACCAGAAAGATCTGCAAATTATTTTCCTTCTTCAAATGTAATTTATCTTTAATTATTTAAATCAGTTTTATTTCCAATTAACATTTTCGGAACACCCTCCTGTCCAAGCTATTATGCCTCTAATATTATTGTGAATAAAATACTTTATAGCCAATTCTAAATATCATTGAATGATTATCTATCTGAGATATCATATAATAAAAAAATGCCATGAGAAGATTTATAATAATTTGTAAGAGTCATAAATCTTTCTTATCCAGCAGAATCCCAAAGCTTATTATTATTATATTTATAATAATACTTATAATTTTATGGATTTACCATTTAATTCTAAAGTTTTTATTTTAAAATCTAGTCCTATAGTTGGGACATAGCTTTCATCAAACGAATCGTTTGCATATTTCTACAAAAATACTGTTTTCCCAACAGAACCATTACCAGTCATCAAAAGCTTGAGAACTATTTCTTATTCAGCTTGCATTTTATTTTAATTATTGTCATTAATCCATTTTTCTGATATTAATAAATGAGAAAAATTAAAATAATAAATTTACTTTCATTCATTAATTTATTACTTGATTAGATTATCATTAATTTCATTTTTGAGTACTAATATTTCTATAAGTATCAAAAAATCAATGATGAATATAATCTAAAAAATTTGTAATTATTTTAGTTAAAATCAAAAATAATATTTTTATTTTAATTGATGAAGTTTTAAATTTCATTAAGAATTATTATGTATCTAATTAAGTGATACTAGTTGTTTTAATATAAATTGAGCAATTATGATGATCTCTTTTATTTTGATTTATTTCCACTGTAAATAATATTAATAGTTTTAGGTTTATGTTTTAGATTATATAAAGTTATTATTAAAATATGCTAAGATCTTAATGAAAGAAGATTTATTGCTTAAGAGTAATAAAGTTAATTATTATTTTACCTTATGATTTAATTAAATTTTGATGAAAAATATAATGAATATATTAGAATTGTTATATGAAAATATATGAATTAGATAAGTAATTGAAATAAAAAATTTTATTAATATATCATACAATTGTAACAGTATAAAATGGCAAATATCTGGCAATTTTTTATCCAGTAATTTCTAAATACATCAATCCTTTTTTATTTAATCTATGATGCATAACATCAATTTCAAAATGGATTCCATTATGATTAGAGATTTCAGCAAAGAATTTAGATAGTTCCTAAATGTAAATATAGTATTTTACTTTTCTCCTAATAGATGCAGCATCAATATGATTAACATATGCTTAAAATATTTCAGTAGCACCACCTTCATGAAAAGTTGTTGATGTAGGTCCTTATGGAACACTTGCTAATGTTATTCTTCTTTTAGGTTTAAGAAGTGGTGCCATATTCTATCTTATACATGCCTCATTAATTCTAACTTCAAGAAATGCTCTTTCTTCATGTCTACCTGCCATTACTTCGAGTAATATTTTATGATGTAATGGGTTGCTTTTATTCCATAATATAGTGAAATAACTTCTAATAAAATATCTAACTAAATCAGGTCTCATATCATAACTCTCAGGATTCTTTAAAATACTTTTCAAATGCATACATCCTGTATTTTCAGGTTTCAAAAGAGATGTTAACAGATCATTTTTAAACTAAAAATATATATTACTTATATGTACAGAATTCGGAGGATCAATTAAAGCATCAACTGTTAATGTCATTCCTAATTCTTTTTCTAAATGTCTTATAGCATCATCATCTGTACACATATAAAATCCATCTTATTTCATATATAATAAATAATTGCTTAAAATACTATCTACAGTATCTTAAGATAATGGAGTATTAATTGTTTATTCATATACTTATAAAGCTAATAGAAATTCACCAGAATCACCTCCTGGAGTCCCTAAAACACCTTATTCATTTCTTCCATCTAAACAGGAAAAATGATAGCTATTAGGATCACCAAATTATAGTTCATTCAAAGGTCCAATTAAATGTCTTATTTATTCAAATGATGCTGTTTTCCCATCATCTCCAGCATAATCTTAATGTAATTAAACCTTTGTTGGATCACAAAATGTTTCACCTACATGAAGTTGTGTTGTTGTTGATTCACATTAACAAGATGTTTCATATTCTTATGCTATATTACTAATTAAATCTTATATCTTACCATCAAACTCAGCCCTTCCATTTATTCTTCTTATATCTTTTGGTGATGATTCAACTTTCAACTTAACTTCAGCACATAATATACCACTTATCAATATTAATGTTATCATATATTCGTTTTTTATTATAATTAATATTATTATTTTTTATATTTCCTTATTTTCTCTATTTCTAATAAATTAAATTTATATAAATATTAATTGAAAAGATATTCAGTTAAATTGTCATCATATAAATTTAAGTCAAATAGTATCATTTAGATTGGTTAGTTTAAACTTCATGTTCCTCTGCTTAAATATAAATGTTTATTCATCCTTACAAATAACATATAGCAATTATTAATTTTACTTTCCTGTTATATGTAATTCATTATTTATTTTTTATATTAAACTGTTAGACTTCTCAAATATCTTTAAATATCCATCAGAAATAAGTAAATAAGCATCTCCAATTTAATATAGTTTCCAATTTACATTATGAGTCTATTATAAATTATCATAATACTTATTTTTATTTAATTAAATTTATAGGATTATTATATGTACTTAATTTAGTACTTAATAATTCTTCGATTGATTCATCTACTAAAGTAACAATTGATTTTGATTATAATTATTCAATTATTTCAGAAATGAATTTAGAATTAAAATTATCACCATTATTGATTGTTTGAATATTCTAAAAGAAACTTTTGAAAGCATTCTCTTTATCATATTTAGTACTTTCAATATCAAAAATTACTAAGGCAAAACAAAACATATGTAATGAATCTTCAGATTTAAATGGAAATGATGAACTTTTGTTATTGAAATTCAATTCATAATATCTTCTACTGAATTCCTTAACTAAAATGTCAAGTAAATATGGATCATTTTAAACTTATAATTTGTTAAATAGACTATATAAAGAATTGATTAAATTTGAATGATTAGTTACTTTATCTACAAACAATTTAAGAATAGATGATTGTTCTTAGAAATTGAGATTTGTAAGTAATCTAAGAATATAAGATATAGATGATATACTTGGATATTTAGATTTTACTTTTTTATTCAATATTTTAAAATAACCAAGTAATTATAGATTAAGGAGTAGGTCTAATAATTTATGTAGCAATCATATAAGATATTCCCATAAAGCATGAATGATTAAATAAATCAATAGCAAGATCCTCAGTATGATAATCATGTTTAATGAATTTAACTTAATCAACAAACATTACTCTTTCTCTAGAGACATTCTACCATAAAACTAATTAATTGAGTGAAAACTTAGAGATAGATAAGTATTAAATACCATATCATCAAAGAATCGAGGAATAGAATTACAAGGGGAAATTAGATTTCTATTAATTTTAGATCCAAGTTCTTTATTAAATTCAATCACTTCTTATTCTGAAATATTTGATTTTGACATTGATTCTTAGAAACCAACATTTTCTTTTTCATTAATTCTTGACTTTTTAGGAGTTGAATTAGGACTAATCATTTTACTTTGAGATACTTTTTCACAGAAACTATTGCATTCATTATGTTTTCTAAATATTTAATTAATTTATACTATCTTTTCAATTTAAGCAATTAAAAATATTCTTCATATTAACGTTATGCTGGATCATATTTTTTAATTGATCTTTCACTGTAGTTTTATAAATGATCTTACGATTATTTGAATATTTCAGATGTCATTTTATCTCTTACTAAATCTTAAGCAAGATTACCATCGCGATTTCTAGTTCTAAAATCAGCTCCTGATTTCAATAACAATTAACATACTTAAGCTCTTTAATAAAATGCTGCAACATGTAATGCTTAAAAATAATTGATAAATAATATATACGAGTCCAACCAGCCATATCTGTAATATCTAAATTAGCATTGTTATTAATTAATTCTTCAACTACTTATATTGAACCATATCTACAAGCTATATGTCTAAAATGATAATTTTAATATAATTTTACAATGGTGATGTTCTATCCTCATCTAAAATATTTATATTGATTCCTTTGCTTAAGTAAAAACGAATCAAACCTAAATTTCTACCTGATGCTGCTTTAAAAAAGTTTTTTTCATTTTCAGTTAAGTATGCTGTTGATTGTTAGGTAATTCTTCCTAAAATAATATTAAGTCTATAAAATAACCTCTAGCTTTATCTACATCTAGTCCTATTTGTAATTCATTTAAATCAAATCCTTCATTTTCCTATCCCATACAACCTAAACAATTTGCTGGATTTCTTCTTTTATGTTGAACAGTATTACCCATATTTTTATATTATATATATTATTAATTATTGGATGACAATTTCATAATGATATTATTGTTCTCTATTACTTATTATATTCACACTTATTATATTCATTTATTTTATGAATTTATCCATTCATCTATTTCTATTTATTGTTTTGTTGTGATTTATTTTCATAAATTAAAGATATAAATTTTTTTCAAATTAAATCATGGGAAGAGTTAGAAATAAGACAGTTAAGAAAGCAGCAAAAGTTCTTATTGAAAAATACTATATGAAACTCACCTCAGATTTCCATTTTAATAAAAAAATCTTATCTGAAGTGGGATAAGTACCATCTAAAAAATTGAGAAATAAAATTGCTGGATTTGCAACACATCTTTTAAAGAGAATTTAAACCGGATCTGTTAAAGGAATCTCACTTAAAGTAATAATATAAATAAAACTTAATAGATATAAGAAGAAGAAAGAGAAAGAAGATTAGATTATGTTCCTGAGAAATCTTCAATAGATATTGATAATCTTAGAGGAGATTAAGATGTTAAAAGAATGCTTGAAAAAGCTGGTTTAGAAATTGATATTCCCATTGATGAACCTGTTGTCGAAGAAAAATAATAAAAATAACCAAGAAGAGGATAAAGAAGACAATAATGAATATGATCATCTAGTACATATATTATAATATTAAAGTAATCAAGCATTTATAAACTTTAATCTAAAATTGTTTTTGTTTTATAATTAATCATGCTGATTTCCTCTTTATTTCATTCTCTGTTTATAATCTTAATTAATTTAATAGCAAAATTTTTTATTCATTTACATAATTCGACATATCATTGTCATATGTATTAAATCTTTTTGATTTCTATCTCTAATTTCCTTATTATTCCTCTAATAATTTTGTACTTAAATTAGTACCTCTTGTGCTTTCTGCACAATTTATTTCCTTAGAATTATAATAAAAATTCTTTAGAATGCTTTCTTTAGGAAAGTTTTCCATTACATTTTATTACAGAGGTTTAATCTATTATAAGAATTCAGCCTCACCTTAACCAAACTCTTCTTCATCAAAATTAAATGAAAAATAATCTGGTCTGAAAGGAGGATCTATCTTTTTTGACATTAGCTCTTTATATAATGTTTTATCACCCCATTATGTCATCCATGGATGTCTTAATAAAGTTTCAATCTTATCAATTCTATTTTTAGGATTCTTAGCTAATAAACCATTTAATAAATCTTTTAAGAGTGAAGACATTTATAATTATGATGGATAACTTAATTTTTAATTTAAAATCCTTTAATAAATTTCATCCGTATTCCTAGAATAAAATGGAGGCAATCCAGTTATTAATTCATAAAGCAATGCTCCTAAACAATATAAATCTAATTATAAATTATGTCCTTATTTTAATAACATTTCAGGTGCCATATATTCAGGTGAACCACAAAATGAATAAGCTATTTCTTATTCTAATTATTTTGATAATCCAAAATCTGCTATTCTTACATGCCCATCAAAATCAATTAAAATATTCTCAGGTTTTATATCCCTATAAATTATATTTCTATCATGTAAGTGTTTCATACCTAAACATATCTCAGCAAAATAAAAAAATGCTTATTCTTCATTCATCCTTTTCACCTATTACAATCAATTAAAATAATTACTTTTCTTAATAAAAAAAACAATTCTCCTCCTGAACAATATTCTAAAATAAAAACTAGAAATCTCCTTGATTCAAAAGCATATTATATTTTAACAATAAATGGATGATTTAAATTACACATTATATCTCTTTCATTTTATATTATAATTTATTTATTTTATGAAATTATCGAGCTTTTTTCAATTAATTTCATTGCATAAAACTATCCTGTTCTTTTTTCTCTAACCATATAAACTTTAGAAAATCCACCCATACCTATACATCTTATAAACTCAAAATCCCTTAAACAAACTTTCGATTATCTATTTTCTTATTCCATCTAGAACATAGGCTCTATAATTAAAGGTTGAATTGGACAATTAGAAAGTAAAGACAGAGGTCTATCAATTGAAGAAAGTATATAATCAATTGGTATAGAAATATTGTATGTTTTTATTCCTATTATTTAAAGAGAATCATTTTCAACGAATTTTTAATTTAGTTCTACTTTTATTAATTCTAATAGATGTAATATTTTATTAGTCGAGATGTCAATAGTCATTTTCTATTTTAATGACTTATATTATAAAATGATTTAAATTAAATCTTATTAACATTTTCTAAATAAATCATAAATTTATACCTAGTTGTAACAGTTTTAGTTTTTTCAGTTTAAATTTCAATAAAAGGTTGCGATGTTGTTTGAGTAGGTAATTTTTAAGTCTCTATAAATTAAGCACTATTTGATTTTTGATGATTTTAAAGTTAATAAATCTATGTTCCTTAAAGTTAAGTAAATTGATGTTTAGCACTAGAAATAATCAAAGACTTTTAGAAATTTAATCTAGCTTAAATATCACTAGATTATTTTTATTTAGTTTCAGATACTTATTATTTAAATAACTATTCTGCTTTATTTACTGTAGAGTATTGATGACTTTTAAATAATTATTTTGGAGCTAGATTAAATGATTTTTAGTTTACATTCATCTTAAATACTTTCAATAGATTTCATTTTGGTTTATGAATTTTAGTTAGAATGAGGTTATGTTTTCATATGATTGCCTCTTGATTTTGACTATGTCTTGTAATTCACTCTTTCCTAACTAGTAATCTTTGGAGACATGAATCCTTTTGATTTTAGTAGATCTGATTGTTATATTTTCCGCTAGGTTTATCTACATCTATAGCCATATGTACTATTATTAACTCATTTTTAAAGTGGGCTATGAGGCATTTGCTTTAAACATTGTGGATTAGAGAGGAACAATTTATTTGCTCTTAGATTAAATACAAATTTATACTTTGTAATCTATTTAGAATGTTGGAGAATTTGACATTCTTGCATGTAATGCTTCACGATTAGAAAGGTAATTCATTAGAGCCTAATTTGATATCTCTGATGATTAAGTTTTAAGATGTTACTTCTTGGTTAGCATTCTCGTTAATAATAATTATATATAATATTACTTGTTTGTAATAAATTAAATTTATCTATTCAATATATCGTATTTTATATAGATAATTATAATAATTGTTTAAGTCTTCCAATTCAATTTAATTTTTGATAATTATCTTATCTGACACTTTTTTATATTAACTTGTCTATAATTTATTAATTAAAGGGAACTCTACAAATTTAACATTCAGATTATTCTAAATTCCGGCATTTTTTATGAATGAAATGAAAACATTCTAACATCATCAAATTATCATCATACTCATTACATTTAAGACATTTAATATTTAATGATTTCTTTGTATTAATATCTAAAATTGTACCACAACAACAACTTAAATCTTTAAGTTTATTGTTCATCAATATTTCAATTGAACATATTAAATGATAATTGTGATTGCATTCTGGTATTGCAATATATTCAGAAAATAATTCATATTTACATTTGTAACATACTTTAATTTCATCACATTTTATACAATAAGAAAATTTATTATTTGTATCCTAATTGTTATAAAAGAATCCACAATTTTATCTACAAAATTACCAACTTAGATTTGTTCCTTACATAATCTGTTCAAGTTATTTATCATAAATCTCTTATAATTCATTTCTTTTTTAACTCTTAAAAATATTTGTTGAATAGTTTTTTCCACAATCACACTAAGCTTTTAAATTTTATTTAAATTCTTAAAATAAGCATTCTTTACATTTTTTATGATTACAAGGAAGAGTTGTTTAAGCATTTTAATGTTCGATTTAGGAACAATTATTATGAACTTTATTTTATTGATTCCCAATCGATTATTAATCAGAACCATTTTCATTTTTTTGTGCTGTTTACTTTTTAATAAATTAGCACATTTCTTAATCATATGACTTGTATGAAGAACATTTGTCACAAAAATATGACATGCTTTAAGATTTATTCAATTCTTTTTGATAAATGAAAATAAAAGGACAATATTAAGTAGAACATTAAACACTTTTTTTAGCACCAAATTTTATTTATTTAAGCTGGTTTTTCATTATTTCATCAACTTAAGGTTTTGGATATACTTTTTCATTAAGTTTTATTTTTTATCCACGACAACATATTCTTTATTCTTTAAAATGATATATAAAGCAATTAATATCAAAATAATGACCACATTGTTCTATTTTTATGGATTTATCTTTGTTTATTTGTTTTGAGCATAACTTACATAATACATCATCTAATCTAGCTTCTTATTAAACTTTTAAAATAACTTCTTAATATTGGACAATTTTTTATTCCCTTTCCTTTTTAGTTGGATTGGTTTAGTTCACTTCAATATTATTAGGTTGAGCAAGTATTTATTTATTTAAATTGTTTGCTTATTGCCTTTGTAAATTGTTTGATTTACTAGCACATAGACCCATCTTAATAATAAAAATAACAATAATATTTCTATCAATAAATATAATGGATTAAGTTATTTAGAATATAAAAATAAAAGAAATTAAGAAATGAAACATACTTAAATGTCCTTAAAAGTGTTTTTGGATAAATGTTAGATAATGAAAAAATGATTTATTTTTTATATTAGTTAATTATAAAATTTGCCTTATGAAATGCTATAATGCAGAATCTGAACTTCAAACAACAATAAATTCAAAACAATATCCTTCTGAGATAAATAGTCCATAAGTAGAGAGTTAGCCAATTTAATAGAAAAGAAAGAAATGGAATAGTGATGAGATGGCTAAATATTGTCCTATTGATATTCCAAATGCATTTTAATATGATAAGGTTAATGGGCAAAAGTTTCAATTATTTTTAGATGGAAAGTACTCTGCAAATAAGTTGGTAAAGGATATGAATGTAGTAACAAAAAGAAAAAGATTAACCTAATTAGAGTAAGAATTCCATAAGTAAAAGGAAGAGTAATAATTAAGAAAGGAATTAGTTGAAAGGAGATTTGCTAAAGTAAGAACATTGATTAATTCGAACATAAAATTAAGAGAAGTAAATAAAATTATTTATCTTAAATTTAGTCTTTGAAACTAGAATCTAATTTGAAAGGGAGTAGAATGTTCTCTTAATTGAATAATCATATAGTAGATCATATAGCAAAGATAAAATCTAAAGATTTATTGACTGATCGAATAGATGGAATAAGATAACATGAAGCAACAAAACTTTATGATTATAGTAAATCTGGCATTAAGTTAAAATTTAACAAGAAAAAGAATCTAATTAAATCTTAAACTTAATACTGTTTGAAATAAGCAGCCAATTTAGAAGTTTAGGATCATGTTCAATAATACTTTAAATAGTAACATGAAGCTATGCAATAGATTGAGTTGAAATAAAAACGTAAGGCTAAACTTAAAATTATTTCTGATAGAAAACATCGTAAGTATTTTACAGAATTCGATATCAATATATAAAATAAGAAAGCACCTCCTTCCATAAAGGATGTATAACTATTTAAATACATACATGGTTAAATGTTGATAGAAAAGTTTTAGTAAAAATAAGAAGATTAAAAGGAGTATAATAATAATACCACAAAAAGTCGAAAAAGTTATCATATTCTTTCTAATTTTGAAAAACCTTCGGAATTATATGCGTTTGATGATTGTGATTAATCTTTTGAATCAATGAAAGAGATGAAACTATCTAATTTATATGCTTAAAGTATAGAATTACAATAAAAATTATTATCTGAAAGAAAAATAGTAAATCAAGTTTAATAATCAAAATAGATAGATTAAACTACAAATTTGATTTAGGTTGTTAATAAATAAAAACTAAAATGATTATTATTTATAGATACTAAGTATATTGAAATAAAGACTAAATAAAATAGATATATATATATTGATTATATAATAATAAGAATCATGCTAGTGTAATAAAGGTTTAATGCATAAACCTTTTAGCCAACAATGAATTAATTTATTCCCAATTTCCACTTAAAACTGAATATCTTGAAATATAATAAAATTAATGATACTTTTCAACTGAATCAAGTGGACCATTATCAAATCCTCCAAAGACATAAATATATTAATTATCTGGAGTAGATAAAGCAGAGAGTGTACATCTAGGATGAATCATAGATTCAATTAAAGTCCATCTACCATCTTCATACTTTTCAACACTATTTAAATATTAAGTTCCATCAAATCCTCCTATAGCATATATTCCATCAGGTAATGACACTCCTGCTAATGCTCTTCTTGGTATATTTAATGGTGCACAATGACCCCATTTACCTGAAGTAAATACTTCAACAGTCTTAAGACAGGTGTTAACTATAATTAATTATTATATATATTTTAATACATTATCCTCCGAATCCACCTATTGCAAATATCGCATTTTCATACATACAAACAGCCAATTCATCTCTTGCTTCAATCATTGTTGGAAACTTTATCCAATTATTATCTATCTAATTAAAACAATCGAAATCTTTTAAATTCTCTAAAATATTTTATTTATTTAAATACCTTAACCATCATTCCCACCAATTATATAAATAAATTAATTTACATTCAATGTTCCAAATCCACTTCTTGAAGATGGCAATTTTATTTTTGATCCTATCACTTTCTTATCCTTATAATTATACTCTTCACATGTATCATTACGAACACCATCTACTTTACCACCCATCAATAATACATTTCCATTTATTAAATGTGCTATACCAAATTTACATCTATTATTTTTTAATTAATCCTTTTCACTTGCATAATCTGTTTTTATATCATATTTCTCTACTATTTATTTTAAACTATCAACAAAACCACCTATTGTTATATATTAATAATCCATTGACATATGACTAACATTTGTTAATTCAGGTTCAAAATCATGTATTGAATTTAAAAATGTATTAAAATCTTATTTTGAATCTTCCTAATGTATAAATGGAGATGATGGATCTTAACTTACTTTTGATTAATTTTTAAATAATCTTCTAGGTGTACTATGATCTCTATCTTTTCTTCTTTCTATACTTTTATCATAATTTCTTTCTTTCATCATATTTCTAGCTTCTTAAAAATTTGTCAATCTCACTTAATTTATTTATTTTTCTTCAACTTTCTTTTTAAGATTAATTTAAACAGCACAAGGTCCATTTGTTTCACATAAAGGTACCTTTTTTGATTAATTCATTTTTTTATGCTATTATTATTGAGATTACAACTAAAGCATTTAATTCTATTATTATTGATATTAAGCATTATATGATTACTATGGTTAAGTGTTGCTATGTTTTTTTATAGATTAAACTATTTTTTATTAAGTTGATGCTGTCTACTAAGTAGGAGGAGCAGGTATAACTTATTATGAATTAGTTTTTTTAGATAAAATTTTTATAATATTTTGATTTTCTTGATCTTTATTAATTTCAGGAAATTTTATAGATTAATCTATTGTAAATATTGATTTTGGTAATTTATTGATTAGTTTTGTTCTATTTTGTGTTGTTTATAAAAATTTAATTGGATCTTAAGATTTTTCATCTAATTCTGAAAGTTCTTATAAGTAATCAGTAATATCTTATAATTAAACTTGTAGCTTTTATTAGCTTTAAGATATCTGTTATTTTTAATTGATGAGTGATTAATTTAACTAAATCTTAAAAATAAATTACTTGTTCTTAAAGTTTAGATTCTCGTTCTTAAATGGATTGCCGAATAGAATTGAAAAATTTAGTAATTTCAATATTGAGTCTCTAATACTCTATATCAAGTTGATCATTCATCTATGCTAACTATTAAAATTGTTTAATGGCTTTCTAATGATTTTGTTGGACATTTTCAGAAATAGAGTAAAATCTATTTAATTCCATTCGTAAACTCTAAATAGAGAATAATAATACATCATCTAGAGATTGAAATTAATGACCTTTGTGACCATCATATAGAATGCAATTAATACATAACAAAGAACAATCATCAGAACAGAATGCTAAGTATTGAATTGATAAAGTACCTTCAATGTGTTTGATGTGTTTCTGACAAATGGTGGATAATGTACTCATTAATGATGAATAGTCTTTATATACAAAAATTCAAATATTTAATTAATAATATAGTTAACATATACATTTTCTTTTTAGTTTTATTGATTATAAATTAATGCATTAAAGAGGATGAATGTTGGATATATAGCTTAATCAGAGATATAATAATTTAATAATTAATTTTTAACCGAAACATTAAATGTCACTTCAAATTGTGAATTTGCCAGAGTTTAGTTATAAGTCAAACACACATCACTCATTGGATCTTGAAAACTTTTTTAAAGAGTTTGAAATGAATAAATTCTTAGAGGAATGTAATTATTCTGAGTAAGAATTATATGTTGAATGTCAAAAAATGAAATAATTGAAACAGAAGCGTAAATTAAAACTCAACCAATACATAAATACATACCTTGAATCACCTTCAGTAATTAGTCCAGTTTAATTATTGCTTTGAAGTGCAATTACTATAATATATATTCTACTTATTTATTAAATCATTCCAAACTGATTCCTTATTTTCTTAATGAATCTAAAACCAATTATTCATAATCTTCTAAAGTAACTTTACCATCTCCATCTGTATCAGTCATCTAAATCCAAATAGTAACATCCTCTTTTGTTGGTTAATAATCATTCATTCCCATATGTTTATAAGTTTCTTTCAATAATTCTGGTACCTTTACATAAATATTTTATATACTTCTTCTTCAGTCAAAAATCCTGATCCATCTTTATCCACAAATTTAAAGATACGTCTAGCTACTTCTAATCTTTCTTATGCTATTCTTGATAATTTCTCTGGTACTCTCTTAACTGGTTAAGCTGGTGGTTAACCTGAAAAATATTTCTAAATCAATTATTCAACATCTTCGGTATGAACACGTCCAGTTGATTTTCCTTCAGATATTCATAAACTTACTGTCTAAAATACTCTAACAATTTTACACATCCTAAGATGTTGGATTAAATCCTTTATTCATTGCTCTATATGCATCTGATAACATCATGGCAATTTCATTTTATTCAATATAACCATCCTTGTTTTAATCATACAATTCCATCACTTGCTTTGCTATCTATTTGCATTTCTCTGGCTCAAAAACACCACCAAATTATACTCTGTCTGATAATTGATAACCTGAACTTCTTAACTTATTAGTATCCATTTATTTATTAATATCAATCTTTTTTTTATTTCTTTTTTATTTAATAATTATTTACAATCCTATATCTTATCATCTTAATACTTAGTATATAAATACATTCAATCTTTTATCTCATTAGTACATCTTAATTATCAATACTACTTTATATTTATATATATTTTTTATTTAAAAAGATATTAAATGGTATTTAATCTATTCATATTCTTAGCCTAAAGCTCAAAAAACATCTAAAGCTAAAAAATTATAAAAAAGAGTTGCAGATAGAAAAAAGAATCCTTTATTTGTTAAAGAAGCCAAAAATTTTAGAATTGGCAATGATGTTCAACCAAAAAGAGATCTATCCAGATATGTTAGATGGCCTAGATACATCTTACTTCATAGATAAAAGAAAATATTACTTTAAAGAATTAAAGTACCTGCTGCAATTCATTAATTCAGCAAAACATTAGATAAAAATTAATGTACATCATTTTTATCTATTGTTATCAGCATCAAAAGTCCTAGGTTTATTAAAGAAATACTCACCAGAAACAAAAACAGAAAAGAAACAAAGATTGACAAAATTAGCAGAATAAAAAGCATAAGCTTAAAAGGGTGAATCAAAAAAAGTACAAGTCTTAAAATTCGGTCTTAATCATGTGACTACATTGGTTGAAACTAAGAAAGCAAAATTAGTATTAATAGCATATGATGTTGATCCTATCGAATTAGTAGTATGGTTACCATAATTATGCAGAAGATAAGAAGTTCCATTTTGTTTTATCAAAAGTATTATTTAAAAGAATAAATTATAGATAAAGCTAGACTTGGAGCATTAGTACATTAAAAAACTGCTACTTGTGTTGCTTTGACTGAAGTAAGAAAGGAAGATCAAGCAGAATTCGATAATTTAGTATAAAATAACAAATAATTGTTAAGGCTCGTGATTTAAGATAACATTATAATGAAAACCATGAACTATTAAGAACTATAGGAGGTGGATAGGTTGGAATCAAATCAAGACATTAATAGGAAGCTTTAAAGAAGGCTTTAGAATTAGAAGAATTAAAAAAAACATCACAATGAACATTCTTACATTACAGAGTATATTAATATAGTTCATTATTCAATAAAGAATTGTTAATCTGTTTTTAAGGGTGATTCATTAATAGTTTCTTCCTTCTATATGCTTTATTGGCTAGTAGCTATTCTTGAAAGTGGATTATAATCATCAAAAAAGATCTTATATCTTACTAAAAAGAAATATGTAAAAGGATACATTTATTTATATCAATCTAAGAAAAAACAAGTTTTCTTCTTTATTATTATTTAGTTTAATTTTGAATTCCAAAAAATAATGGTTTTGCAAGTTTCTTTTCTTTATCTTTATCCTCATTTAATAAATATCTCCCTTTTTTATAAAAAGGACTCTTTATTTCAGCAATCATTTCAGTAATCTAATGTTAAAATTTCTCTTTTTTTTAATCTTTTGCTGTATTTTTAATTTAAGGACCATGACTTTATTTCTTAATATCTTCATCATTTTGTTGCAATTATATTGAATCATACTTTTATTACTATTTAGTTTATTAAATTAAGTTTTTTGATAATTTTCTATTTTCCTCTAATTTCTTTATATAGGCTTGAAAGTTTTTATCTGATTTTAAACCTTTATTTTCTGAGTTTCTTATAAATAAGGCATAATTATGTATTCCCATCTAAGCATATTGATTATTTTCAACATTCTATTACTTAACCATTTAAAGAGAACTTTTTCTATTAGATTGATGAGTTGTTTGACTTCTTGAGGAATACAGTCTATAAGTTTTTATAGGATTGAATGGATTGAAAGGCAATCCATCATTATTTTCACTCATTATTTTATATTAATAAATATAAATCAATATAGTAATTCTTAATTTGATATCTCCTAAAACACATAAGACTTTAATAATACGATCTATTATCAATAATGTTATAAATTAATAAATGGATATAGATAAATTAAAGAACTTAATTTTGAATCATTATACTTTATGCTCTTACAAAATATCTCTAAATATAAAGATTAATTAGATGTTTCAAATTTATTATGAGAACGAATGATGAATATATCAGAAAAAACAATAACTTTTTACTCTCCTTAATTTTGCTAATTGCTTATCAAAATTGAGCTTTAATTCTTCAATCAATTCCTATGTTTTTTTATGTAGTTAATTTATATTTAATTTTCAGTAGTATTGGTTATTTATGCATTTTTAAAGTTGGAGAAAAATTTTATAAAAAAAGTTGAAAATAGATTAATTTTTAAAAGTAATTTATATAGGAATTTCAATAAAATATTCCTTAGTATCGAAAGAATTTGTAAAAGAGGATTTTTAACATCACTTTAAATTACTCATTTAAAAATAAAACTAATATTTATAGTATATAGATAAGAAATTTTAAAAAAGAATATCGCAACTATTTTATGATGACAATAATAAATAAAGTAATTCATATTGTATTATAAATTATATTAGAAAAACATAAAATTTGTTTTAATACAAAAAAAAAGAGTCCCTTATTTACTCTTAGTAGAAACAATAAAGTAATAATTTAGATTATTAGAGACAGTTCAAAAGAAATAAATTTATATTAGGAAATTTCAGCATAATTATAAATAAATATAGATGTAGTTGATCGATTAATAAATTAAAGTTTATATAAAGTTGAAGAATTGCATAATATGATAATTTTTAGAAGAAAACAAATGGAATATTATCTTGAATTATTAAATATAACATTTTATATAAAAATAATTAATGGTGATTAAAAAGACAGCTAAAAAAAATAAGGTCTTGCGTACCTCTTAAGGAGTTCTAAAATAATCAAATAAGAAAGTTGGTTTTATTAGTGCAACTGCATTAACTTAATAACCAGGAAAGCTATTAAGAAGATTAGGAGAAAAGAAGAAAGGAATGAGAGAATTAAGAAGAATAAAGAGAGATACTTAAAAATAAACAAGAAAGACAAAGGATAAATAGAAAGATTAATTAGAAGAGTAAGATGATATACTGGAATTGCCAAATACATTTATAATCGATTAAGTGAAAATTTCAGCTGAAGATGAATAAATATTATCTTAATTTATGGTTGGAAATGATACAAAAACAACTTAAATTATAGAAGATTTTTAGAAAGGATTGTAAGAAGATGAATAAAAGAAACATCATGAGAGTATAATGAATAATCCAAAAGTAGTTTGTGTATATGAAAAGTAAAAATGAATAGAAATAATGTAGTGTTGCAGAATTAATGAAAACTTATAGATCTGGTAAACTTCCATAACCATTCCATCTCATTCCTAAACTAGAACATTGGAAATAAGTTTTTGAATTAACTAAACCTTAAGAATGGTCACCTTAAGCAATCTTTGCAGCTACTAAAATATTTTCATCAGCTTTAGATAGATAACAAACTGAATATCTATATTCCACTGTTATATTACCTGCAGTTAGATTAAGCATTTAATAAGATAAACGATTAAATGTTCATTTATATAATGCATTAATCAAAGCTATGTATAAACCATAAGCATGGTTCAGATCAATATTATTTCCATTATGTTTAGAAAAAGATTTTACATTAAAAGAAGCATAAATTATAGGAAGCATTATTCATAAAGTAATATTATTATTTAAAATATTATAGCTACATATTCCACCTATTCATGGTTCAATAGCAATTTTTAAAGTTGCATAGTTAGATTTTACAGGTCCAGTTGCTGTAATTTTGAAAGTGTTAATTGAAAAGAAATTTTCTTTACCAGAGAGAGTATAATATCTTTATTATTTTAGGCATTAGATGAAGTAATTAAATATTTTATGAAATATGAAAATGATTCAAGAGAAATGCCAGTTATTTGGCATTAAATGATTTTAAGAGTTTGTGAATTATATCAACTTAAATAAGATCATAAAGATTAATTAAAAAAATTGATAAATAAAAAGAAGCATCATTTAATTACAAAAGAGATTTCAAAATAATTAATAAAAGGTACTAAAATGGATGTAGAAAAATGATTATAAAACTTATGTTCATATATTTTTTTATAAATACAATAATGTCAATTAATTTTTAGAAATAATTAATACTTTTATCATTGTTTAAGTGGTCCATAGTCATCTAAAAGAAATTCAACGCCTAGAAGAAGATATAAATTAGCTTAGACTTAAGCATAGTGCAACATAATAAACATTTAGCTGACTATGTTATTGCTAGTATATCTAAAGAAAGATAAAAAAGATACATTCACTATGCTTAAAAAGAGGAGATCTTGAAAAAAGATTTATCAAATAGAAAACAAATGGTTATTAATAAAAATTGTAATATGAATCTATAATAAACTTAAATGATTGACATCAATAAATAACCTATTTAATTAGATCATACATATACAAAGGATCAATCAGATATGATTCTTTAATATCCTCCATAAAGTTAAATGTTTCTAAATAAAACGAATTAATCAATTTTATAGAATTGGATTCCAACATTGCCATCAGATGAAAGCAAATTAATAGAAAAAAATAAAAAGAACCTTCACTTTCCAAGAAATATTGCATATCATGATATTATTGATGGATTAAATACAATCTATGGATAAGAGAAAAATAGAAGATTATGGCCTGGATAAGAAGCCTTATTAATGGAAACTATTAGATTATATCTAAGAAAGATATTTTTAAATCCTAAATTATTAATACATAGTGTACCATACATATTATAATAAATAATAAAAATATAAGAATTGATTTGAAATAACAAATTATAAATTTTGTATTTTTAAAGTAGAATGTCGTTGGAAAATGATGATAATAAGATTTAGATATAATGACAATCAAGAATTAATAAAACAGTCTTGGTAGAATTGGGTTGAATTGGCATAAATGAAAGGATATTTCTTAAATTTATAAACTGATAATATTCTAACTTAATATTTATAAAAGCATCAGCAAAAAGATTGAACTTATTTATTTAATATTATTTTCTTTATAATATTTTTTATTTGATTTTATGAATCTAACGTCTTTCTTCATTCAGATTTCCAATCATTTTTTGTTAATTTATGTATACAAAACAATAAGGATAAGATGATAAAGATTTCTATTTAATCAATCATTTTTATTATGTTCAACTTGATTATAATCAAAAACAGCGAAAATATAATATTAAAGTTTATTATATAATGTTTGGATATTACATTTAACCAAGTTCAAAAGAAAATATAGAGAATTTGTAAACTAACATTCATAGTCCTCAATTAGAATTAGCTTAAATTTCTCATAGATAAATGGCAATATCAAGTTATGAACGTCCTAAAAAGATTAAGAGGAATACAACAATTTCTATATTCACGTATATTAATCTAAAATATTAGTTAAAATATTGAAGGAGATTCTCCTGCTCATAAATAATAATAAAAATATGTATCCATTTTGAAAAAATATTTTACAACCATACGGATTACTTTAAGTTTTATAAACTCATTAAAAGAGTATTCAAAAAAAGAGCATATCTAAAGAATGGATTCTATATAATGGTAAAGAGTATCTTTAATCCCATTTTATCCTGATGATGTTATTGTAGTTAAATGGAAGTATTTTGTTGAATTTGTAACTTTTTTAAGTGTAATAATTTATCCAATTTACATTTGCTTTAACTTATAAAATTAATTAGAATATACTGTTTTATGTTTTGATGTTGTATTTTTAATAGATGTGTTAATGAATTTTAATACTGGATATATTGATGAAAACAATAACTTAATCTTGAATTACTAACAAATTTGTATTAATTATATTAAAAAATGGTTTATATTTGATATAATATCTGCAATTCCTATAATAAGAAAAGAAGAAGATAAAGTTAAGCTATTTAAAATGATAAGAGTACTGAAATATTTTCTATTTAAAAGATAAGTTACTTATAAAGGTTAAAAGAATTATGTTAAAGTTATAGAAACTTTTGATCCTCATGATGAATTTTAATTGAAAACAGGTACAAAGTATTTAATTAATGTTTTGATTACTTCATGTTTATTAGTGCATATATTTGGATGTTGGTAACACTATTTTTATTCAGATGATTATATAACAAATATTTATTGGGCTACTTAAATAATTACAACTGTTGGATATGGAGATATCTAAACTGAACATGAATTCTTTATTTTATGGATGATTATAGGAGTCGCTTTCTATTCATTTACAATTGGAGATTTTACTTTAATGATGGAGAAATCAAAAGTAAATTAAGAATAAGAAATTTTATTTTTAGTTGAATAGTTAGGAAATGTTAAGAAATTGCCAGATAAATTAAAATACAAGTTTTCATAATTTATAAAAAATAATATGATTCATAATCCTTTTTGGTCATATGATTATAGATTGATGACGAAACAACTTCCTCATAATTTAAGATTATATATGTCTATAAGTGCAATGTTAGATTTTTGTAAATAAATTCCATTGTTTTTATATGATATAAATAACGCTTATTAGTTATTGATAAATATCAGGTATATGATTGCAGAGGAGGGTAGTATAATCTATAGAGAAGGTTAGAATTCCAGTGAGATATTTTTTTTATTAGATGGAGACATAAGAATAATGACAAAAGATAAAGGGATATTATTAAATATATTGGAAGGAACAATGTTTGGAGAATTTGAAGCAATTGAAGAGAAATTAAGAGGTACATATTGTGTAGCTTAAAGAAAATCTATATGTTTAGTTGTTCCTTATAGAATATTAAGAAGAGCGATGGAATAAAGTCCATTATTAGAGTTTGAAATAAAACAATTACATTAAAGAAGAAGAAGACTAATAATTAACAATTTTAATGAAGAGAAAAGTAAAATATTAGAAATAAATCAGGAAAGAAAACAGCTTATAAAAGATAATACGTTAGATTTTATACATAATCTTTTTTATAGATGACTAGAGAAGAGTATTTAATGGATAAAAAGAAAAGTTAATTTTAAAATATCGAAGAATACAATAAAATGATGTTAAGTAAAATAATAGGAAAAAGGATACAGAAAGCTTAATAATGTTTAATAAAATTTAAAAGATCAGTTCGTAGAATAATTGAGATGAATCATTTATTAGATGATACAATCCAAATTTATGGAGAGAATTGAATAATTATCAAATAATAAAGAGAGTGTTTCCAAAGAAATACTTAAAATAAAAATATGAAGTAATATCTTTATCAAGAAAATCTTCATCTGTTCATTCTCATTTAAGTAGATATGTGAATTTGAGTAAATAGTGTTTTTTTTAGAAGTTACCTGAAATTAGATTGAAACATTTAGTTCTTTAACATGTAAGATAAACTAAAAATAAATTCATCCCTTTATAGTAGTCACTAAATAGTTATGTTTAGGAATATTAATAATAATAGTAAACTAAAAGAAAGGAAAATGTTGAGAGATCAATTTGGAATAAGAAATTTACAAAGATTTCGTAGACAGTAATTCTTAGAATAGATGAAATTTAAGAGAGTGGAAATAGATATTTTGAATTAATGGAAAATATAAAGAAGATAGAAAAGTTATGGTTGAGAGGATCAATGTACAAATTTGAACTTTTTTAATTAACTCATGGAAGATAGAAATCATTTATAATATGAATAGAGTTTTGTGAATAGATTATTTTGTTAATTAAATGATTAGGATGTCTTTATATATTAATGTACTTAAAAAAGAACAATCATCTTGCACCTTTTCCTTTTCTTGCAGTGTGACTAACATATGGTTTAGCATGTGATCCTGGTAATCCTGATGCTCTACCAAAATGTTTCAATTCTTCTCTAACTCTTGGTCCTCTTAATAAGATTGTTCCAGTGCCTTTAAATATTTATTTATTTATATACCAGTTGGATTTTATTGTGCTAATTGATCAAAAGTCAAAGTCTTTCCACCAGCTGCTTGAATTCTTTTTCTTGCTGTTTCTGTAAATCTTAAAGCACATACATTGATCTTTGGAACAGTTAGAAGACGTACACTAAATGCTTTTTTTAATATAATTACTCATCTGTAACAGTGCCTACAACAACAAGTGTTCTTGTCTTATCTTTGGCTGTATTAATTTATTTAACAAGTCTGCTAACACTAATTGGATATCTAGCTGTTCTTGTTTATTAGAGTCTTCTTAAAACTGTTGCATTAAAATTCGAATCTGTTCTTCTGGCTAAGAATCTATATAGCTAATATTCTAATCCATTTATAAAATACCTTGATTAATAATTTCAAATAAAGGTTTGTTGAGGTCACCTTTCTTTATACATTCCTTTATACTCTTGTCTTCTTATATGCATCAACTCCCTAATAGGATTATTAGTGATATTTATTACCATTTTAAAAATAAATATATCTTTATTTAATTTATGTCATATATTATCATAATAAAATAATTCATCAATTCTTAGAATCCTATAAACTTATATATTATTTTCCTTTTTTCCATTCTTCTACTTTAAACCAGTTTATTTTAAAATAATTATTTCCTTTGTTGGAATCAATTTCATCTTCTGGAAGATTTTACTCTTTTATATAATTGATTTGATAGAATATAATTATCTAATTAAATATTATTTTAAGATATTTGGAATGTCTAAAACATCATTCCTTTTTAAAATTAAAGAGCTAGAAATAAATATATATTTCTAATTTTATATTAGATAAATAAATTATTCATCTAGTATAAAATACTCCACCGAAATTTCTTGAGTATCCATTATTTGTACTCTTGGTATGGTAATCATTATAAACAAAACTTGATTTTCCTATTCCTGGAAGACGATTACTAAAATATAATCAAGGCTTACACTGCAAATTCTTTGTTTTTTAATAGATTCAGTTGTTTTAATTTATAAATCGATGTCATTAACTCTCTCTTCTAAAGTAATAAATCTGCATCACTAACAATACTGTCAATAATTTAATTTCTAATAGTTGATTTAGGTACTTTGTTGATTCTTTCATCAAAATATAAACTATCTTTGAATTATTATAATGTTCTCTATTTTTAAATACTTTAAGAAGGAGTAGAACTGTAAAATTTTTATTGAGTCTTTCCATGAGCAGTTTTTGGAGTTTAATTAGACAATCTGTATCTATTTTAAGTTACGTTTCTTTAGTTTATAGTATCAGCTTTAGGTGGATTTCTCTAAGATTATTACTATTCTTATTCCATTTGTTATTACTCCATTTGATTTTGAAGATTGCGATTTTCTTACTCATCTTAAAACTCTACTTTCAATTATTTTTATGGTGATTGTTACTATTAATTACAAACAACTTATTAGGATGCAGAATGTTTAGAAATTTCTTACTTAGGAACAAACACAGCAAATTTATTGTTAGTTGAATAAGGTTCATCTTAAAATTCGATATTTTTATATATTGACTTGTTATTGCTATTCATTAAGAATTTTTATTATATTATTATTTATTAATTAAATAATGATTAATTACCAATATGAAATAAGATAAAAAAAGTAAACATTACAACAAAATCCAAAAAATTAAAGCAAAGGTTCTAAATAGCAAGTGACTTAGAAACTACCTGATGATATGGTATCGTGTATCTCGAGATATAAAAATTATGATAGGAATCAGAAATCAGAGACTGTTTCAATTTTTATGATCCCTCTAGAACAGGATTTATCAATCGTTAGAACATGAGATCAATTTTGGGGAACTTCGGTTTCATTAATAAAACTGTTAAAGACATAGAAGAAGAAATTAGAGATATTGTTGAAGAGTATATTATTTCACTTCTATTCTTAATAGGACTCGAGATAGTTTTTCTTTAAAAGATGTTATATAATTGATTTCCAAAAAATGGTTTGAAAATAAAGGTAGAGATGAAGAAATTGATGAAATTTATGAATTGTTCGTGAGAAAGTATAACATAATTAATAAATCAAAGGGATCGTAAAGTTGGATTACCTGAAATTAAAAACGTATTTGCATAATATCTTGATATTCAAATAAGTGATGCAGATATTTTGGAATTCATCTCAGATGCAAGTAAAGATAAAGATGGATTAACAAAAGAAGATATTGCATCTAAAATGGGTTACATTTGATATTAAAATTATAAAATGAACTAAAGATAATTAACTTTATAAAAATTTCTAACAAAGCAACCTAACCTTTTTTTTATCTAAGTATCAAATACCTTCATTTGTAACAACTAATACTGTGTAGATTTAATAATTATGGAATGAAAAATATTGTTAAAAAGTTTTGAGAGTCAGTAATCTTACAACATTTTAATAATCTTAAGAAAAACAAAAAAGAATCACTGCGCATATCAAAGTTTAACAATTATTCCATGAACCTAAATTTGAAAAATTTAATCAAAAATATTAAGCAGCAGAAAATATATGGTTTTAATTAAATCATTAAAGAACTTTATAAAGAAAAGACAGGCATTGAGAATTTCTCTTAGAAAATCACCAGAAACGTTTCAAGAGAAGAAAAAGAAATTAAATTAAAGGCTCATAGAGAACAAAGAAAATAAGATCAATTTATTTGAATTTTCGGGTAAGAAATTTTCAGCCAAATCACTTCTTAAACTATAAGACAAAAAAATAAAATAGATATCACTATATGATGATGAATATAAATTTTAACAAAAAAGTATATATATCTCTAAATCATAGCTTTATTCATTCTCATAGTCTCTTTTTTATTTATTTACTAAATAGATTTAGATCTGCAATTATATGCATAATTTCTTTAAGGTCATGATTTTAACAGTTATTGACCCTTTTCTTATTTTTTTGTGTAACTTTTGTTTTTATTACTTTATCATTTGATTTTGTTTCATTTAACTTAGGCCTAAATGTACAATCTTTCATTTATATTTCACTCTTTCTCTTTTGTTCAAAGTTTATTTTTTCTTAAAGTCTTTATTTCCATTCATGATTTCTTTTTGCAATATCAGGAGGCGTTTTTGATTTCTCTTATTGTTTTACCTCAATTTTTGGAGCAGTTGGACATTTTCGCATATGAATTTTAGCATAACTCCCATAATTGTCTGAAATTATTGACTATTAAGATTAATTAGGAGGAGGCGATGTAAATAATTAAGAGTAGTTTCTTCGAAATACAAAATTACTGTTATTTTATTATTTGATTGGACTAATGTCTTCTACTGGAAAGAGTTCTTATTTAACGTTAAAACTTGATAATCTCAATTCAGATCGTTCTAATGGTAGAGATTGTCTTCTTAATTCTTGAGAACTTGTATATCTTTAGTATTGACTTAGTAATCCTTAATCATCTTCTTTTTATTCTTATGTTTCTTCAATTTAAGGTGGTTTCATTATGGATGGAGAACTTGTTATTGAATCAGATATTTTTTTAGGTGTTTGAGTTACTTTTAAGAATTCATCATATTTTTTAATTGTTAATTGTACATCTTTATGAACATCTTTAATTAAAGAACAAGATTGTTTTGCTACTATTTTAGCATTGAATAGAGATTCATTTAATTTTATATGAGAATTATTAGGACTTATAGGATGAGAAACTTTCTATGCATATGATTATTCGTGAATCCTCTTTTTTGATTCTGAAAGTGATTACATATTCAATAAAAATATTTGATTGTTTTTATTTAATTTTATTTATAGGTTTTTTTTATAAACATTTTTATATAAGCATGTTGTTTTCTTGATTGAATGAGCATTTTTTGAAAATTTATTAAATTTGAGGGAACCAAAAGTAATAAAAATAAATTGATTATAGGAATAAAATATTATGGATTAATTATTATAATTGAAAACTTGGAGAGGAATCAAAGAATCTTTATACAATAATAATAGGGATATAAATGCAGTATTCTTTGTTTTATATTCAAATAATTCTTGAGAAATAGAAATTGATTCGAATGAAAGAGAAATCAGAATTTTTAATCTAATTAGTATTTTTTTTTAAATTAATTTAATACTATAAACAAAAGAAAATTATTTGAATATTTAAACCCTTCTAAGTCAGGAACCATAGATTTTGATGAATTTGCGGATCATCAGATAAAAGTTGATTAAAATATAAAGTAAGCAACGAAGCAGTAAAAGTTTAAATAACAAAATTAATAATTTTCTGATCTATTTAAAAGATAAATCAATATTTAACTGGATTTTCAAATTCTGGAACTCCTTCTAATTAACAACAATAGCGTTCTCTTAATTTTTTAGATAATTTTAAGAACAATAAAAAAATACCACCACCAAAATATTCCACTTTATAAAAAAGTAGGGTGATATTCGTAGAGTAATGTAAAAAAAGTTACAAATATCATTAATGGTAAACCAGAACAACTCAAAAATTAAGAAAGGATTTTGATAGCTAACTTAAAAATAATTTAGCTAGACCAATCACAATCAGAAGAAAGCCTTCTTATCCTTAATTCGAATATGATTTTCAGAATTTTTTTTCTTAAAAATGAACCTAAAAAATTATGAATCAATTATCTTTAAATAACAGAACCATCTTTAAATAGATTTATTAAAGTGAAAAGATTTAGAGAAAATTAAATCGACCAATGAAAATAAAATTACTTTCATGATTCTACCTTTATAAGAAATTTCAATGTTGAAATTAGCCCAAAGAAAAGCGCTTTAGAGAATATTAAACTATCAGATTTCAATTGAGAATTCTATAAAAAGGAAAAATCCTAATCTCCAAAACCTTTTAATCCACAAAAACTTACTCCAACTAATAATATATATCTATCAGCTAATTTTTATCACCATTAAATAAATTTAAATAAAATATACTTTAAAAATGTTTTATATTTTATTTTATATTTAATGTTAATAAAGGTCATACTTTCTATATGGATATAAGTTATATTATTAGGCATTTTGATTTTAAAATTTATTTCTTTAAGGATAATTTAGTTCAACTTTTCAGCCTACTAATCAATCAATCATCATGTTATTATCAAAATTCTATTCTAAATAAATTTGATCTCAAGATTTTGATTTGTTTATATATTCAACAATTATGCAAAAATTAAATTTATACTGATATATGAATCCAATATATACCCTGTACTCTGTAATAATAGACAAAGAAAATTTCATAAATTGTAAATATATTATTACAGTTTAACAAGCTATGATAGATCCGAAAATAAATACTATTTATCACTCAGTAATATTAAATTAATAAATTCATCAATATAGTCAATTTACTTTACATTTCCAACTTTAATTTAATTCTACACTTAAGTATTTTAGGTTTGAATAATCCTAAATGTCATAGTAACTTATTGTCTTATATAATTATTTTGAAAAGGGAAATTAATTTTAATGAAAAATATACCAAGAAGTTTGGGATGGTTTTACGAATAATAATGATTGAATAAAAATTAATTGGGATTTAATGAATAAATTTATTTTGAAATTCTTTATAAATCAAGAGGTGTATTAAAAAAGTAGATGCAATTCTTATCTAGAAATGATGTTTAAAATTTAATTAGTTTTTATAGAACAATTAATAGTGAAGTTAATTTATAAATGATTAAATCCATTAATTCGAAATGTAATGGTGTATAATCTTAACATGATAACTTTAAATTTATATAGAAAATTTATATATATAGAAAACATTTATTAAATTATGACAAATAAAGTTCCATCCTTAATTACACTTGGAGTGGATAGATAAGGCCTCTAAAAATTTGATGACAAGATGCAGTTAGGAAATGAGGAATTCAAAATTTCAGGCGTGAAAATAAGTTTGGATGAAACCTAGATATGTGGAATCTCTTTTACATACTAAAATATCAAAACTGGCAGAAAAATAATCTGTAATGACACATGCATAACAGGAAGAAACATAAGTCAATATGAATTCGAAATAGGTCAAAGTAATAATAAATTTTAAATTCAGATGATTTTATATAAGTTCTATTTGGATATTACGAATCTGGAATTACTTAATTAGGAATTATAACTTATAAGGGATAGCAAGTGATTTTTGGAAAGGACCAAGGTTATAAATTTAATCACATGTTTATGGGTTACACTTTTACAGGATGTTGTGGTTCATATAAAAAGGGATGCGTAGAATCCTTAACTTTCAGAGTAATAAAATTACCAAGAGAATTTTTAACTCAGCAAGTATGTATTAATGATAGATTCAAGTAGTTCACTCCTTTACTAGGAATCTTATATCCAGATAATCCATATGAAAATATAGTTCTTACTAATTTTGAATAGGAACAACAATATTAATATGAATAACAACCCCAACCTGTTGTGTAGCCAGCTGTTTCATCTGAAATTATTTACTCGATGATGCCAAATTAGCCTCCCTAATCACAATCCCCTTATCCAGTTCAAAATCAATAAGTTCCTCAGAATTAGATGTCTCCTTATGGAAATCCTTATTAATAACCAATTCAATAATAACCATATTAATAATATCCAAACAATTAGTAATATCCAAATAATTAATAATACCCTAATAATTAGTAGTACTACTCCACACCACAACAAGGAGCGAATCAGGTAATTGTAGTGAATTAACAATAACAACCACAATAATAATAATAGTATTAAAAACAAGGCCCTGGATTTGCAGGTACAATGGCTAGAACTGCTTTGGGAACTTTTGCAGCTATAGAAACTGTCAGAATGATTGAAAATATTGGTCATCATCATCATCATTCTGCAAACGTAGTTGTTGTTGGTATCATATTCATTTATATCATTTAGGAAATAAACATCATGGACACCACCATCACAGAAGATGAATTGCAAAATTGTGATTATATATTATTTAAGAAAATTATTATTTTTCTTAAATTTTCAAATTAAATTTAGGAAATTAAATGTTTAATGCAATAAAACGAAAAAGGACTATTAATGAGAAGCATTATTTGTTGTTCAAAGTAATTCAATCTTAATTCAAAAGGAAAATAAGAAATAAGCTGAAATATTTAACCAGAGAATTTTTAGACTTTAAGAGATATTTAACATATTTGATTAGAGAAGGTGATTTAGAAAAACTAAAGCATTTAGAAACTATTTGGCTATAATACAAAACAAATGAGATTTCGGCATATGTTTAAAGTTTTCATTGGCAAAGGAAATTTTGCTAGTGTAAATTTTATTGAAAATGGATAATAAATGGCAATAAAAGAATCTTCAAAAAATGCTGCATATGGAAAAGAAAATGGAAAAGTAATATTAAAAGGACTCATAAATAAAATTACAATAATGAGACAGAATTATATGAAGTCTAAGGGACACAGAATACATGTGTTTGGAATTATTGTATGGAGGCTTACGATTTTATGAAAAAGAAAGTTATTCTAATTAACAAATAGAGATAATCTATAATGAAAGGATTGTTGGATGGATTGGCACACATGCATTAAAATGTATTAAGAATAGAGATTTGAAACTCGCAAATATATTATTCAAAGAATAAAAGTAATCTCAATTTTATAACAGAGTGACATAAATTCTATGGTGTTAGCTGATTTTGGTTTGGCAACATTTGTAAATCTTCCAGTAAATAATACAAACAGGAAAATAAAATATGATAATTTTTTTAATGTGCATTCCTAGGCTCAGCCAAGCCATTCCTTATTAGAATTATTTTTTAAAATTATAATCACATGGTTCTTTATCCGATTATATTCTTTATCTCATCAATTCATCAGAATAAAGTCTGTTCAGTCAGAAATTGACTTTATCAATCTATTTCTTCTATTTCTTATTTATGTTATTGGAATTTCTTTTCAAAAAACTTTGCTTCTACTAACAATAATGAACTCTCTGAGTATGTAACTATTCTGGTTTGTGAGATTATAGAAATTTCTCAAATTAAAATTCTTTTGGCAGATTCATAATAACATTGGGCATAGATTATGGATCTAGATTCATAGTTACTCATTATTTAAACATAATCAGGATTACTGCTATCAATCAAATGAGTTATAAGAGCAATGCGTAGGTTATCCATTAATAATAATAAATCATTTTATGGGTTTGTAATCTGCATAACTAAAATTATTAAAAATTATTTCTCTTAACTCTTAAAAACTGATCTAATTATCTAAATAAACCATCTTAGCCTCAAAATTTGCTAATAGTTCTTTCCAGACTTCATTATTAAGTGAAGTTTTATCAGATCAAAAAATTACTTTAATTTCATCTATTGATATTGAGCCACTTCCATCTTCATCAAATAATCTATAAGCTTATTCTAATCATAATCTTTAAAGAATGCTTTAGGGTTCATGTATAGTTAATTAATTCCCAATACAAATCATTTAGTTATTCTTGTAGAATAAAATTTTATAACTAAATAAATAAAATTTAGAGTATTATAAATTCACTCTATACATATAGATATATATATGTAAAATTATCAAGCATTAATTTAGTAAACTGAAGATTCTTAGGTATTTTCATGAGCATTGAATGAATATTTTGTTCTCAATTCGAATATGAATCAATAAATAAAAATAAAATTAACATATCAGAAATTATCGGTTCCCAATCTCTCTCACCCCTTGATAATAAACAATCAATATATATGAACATCTTAAGATTATAATTGTTTATTCTGTTAAGTCTTTAACAAAATATATAAAAAATAAATGAGATTTTAATTTCTCTAAATTATAAATTATGAGATAAAGTTAAACAATAATTTGCTAAATTGATTCCAAAGAATGTAACAATTTTATGATTTTATCAAAATAATCCATTTAGTAAGAGATTTAAGCTTATTACACTAATCATAGTAAAACAAATATCAAGTTAATTGAATGTGCCATTTTATATGGGATTTTTATTCTTGTCATTCTTTGATAATTTTCAATTTTTCTGAGGAATTCAAAAGCTTAGATTATTGCCCCATTTAGTTTCAAACTTTTTAGATAAATTTAATATAAATTTATATTCCATTTAATTAATTCAAATAATGCTCTCTAGCAGAATTTGCTCCATTTTTTCTAATTATTTAGACTAATTTTTTAATTATTCATCACCTTCTGATGACCTTTTATCTGAAATGTGCCTATCCTCAATATCTAATCTAGAGGAAGTTGTTACTATTTAAAAATACGCTCTAAAGTTTAGTAAGGGACTGATTGATTATCGGTTCCCTTTTTGAACTAAATGATGCTCTTTACATTTGCCTCAATTTAATTTTATGTTAATAATATTTCAATAGGATTTTAAATCTGCATACATGCTTAGAAATCTAAGCTAATTATTAATCTTTAAATTTAAAATATCATTTTATTATATAATACATTTTTATTCAATTTTACAACCTTATATTAAACTTTATTATTATAATTTAATAAAAAATTTTTAGATAAAGATACCCAAATATATTAATTAGTACGAAAAAATCTAATTTTATACTTTCTATTATTTTACCAATAATTTCTTTCAAAACCCCTATTTTAGTTTTTTATGTATATATGAAGAATCTAGGGGTACTAAGGGAATTTAACCATTTTCCTCTCTGAAGTTACTCTAACAAGTTTCTGGGAACAATTAAGCAATCTAGTAAAATTCCTATTTAGGGAAGCTAACTTACAATAAAAGAGGCAATTTCAATTTATCAAAATGAATATTGAATTTTAGGCTTTATAGTTAAGATTAAAAATAAATTAAAAGTAAAATTGGCTTTAGAAATCTCCATTTAAAAAATGAGAAACAAAAGTATCCAATAATTGTCTATCAATAAATGCTTAAAAACTAGTAATCAAATAAATAATTTTATAAAGAAATCATGATCGTAGGGTGAAAACATTATATAAATTGTCTTTACAAAAAATAATTATTAAATAAAGAACACTCCTCTAA